TCGTGATGATTATGGGTGACACCCGTCACGAAATTACTCTCTTTGGGCACACATCAGCATAAACAAATAGCTTTTTAACTTATTTATGCAACACTGTAGGTAAGGTGCAAAACTGACGTCAAAAATTCAATTGTCCCTTGTTTGAGGTGTTGGCAAAGACAATGATTGGAAGTTGGTGTCATGGAGCGAAAAATGAACTACATTGACTATGCTCACTGGCTCGATGACGCTAATACGCTCTCGAAAAGCTCCACACACCATGCTAGGTTACTGCCGTCCTCCCAATCATAACGCGTAAGTTTGAGCCGGAGAGAGTAGGGATAATAGTTTAAATGAGCGTTGGGGGTGAATCTGCATATCACCAGGATGTAAAAGTAATGGTAGCATACATATACCGCTAAATGGAAAACAAATGGTGGTAGTAATGAAAACAAGGGGAATGATACCAAACATATAACAGAGGATAGGGGGGCAAGATGAAAGCATAATAAACAGTTTCAGCGCCCTTCCAAATGTGAGGGAGGGTATCGAGCCATACGGCAAGAACAGAGAGACAAGTGAGTTGAGATGAAAAACGGGGATATAAGGGGGGGAGGGAAACATAGTCATGAGCGTGGTTCTCTCTCACTCAGCAGGTTTCGGTGGAAGCGGGGGTGGGGGCCCAGGAGACTTGAGAGCAACACTGGATCCCTCATATCCAGCCAGGAGAGGTGTGAACTGCTGCTGGTCATTCGCAGCCGCACTGGGCAACGGGGATGGAGCCCGATTACCTTTCCCATTGATCATGTTCGGAGAATGGTTCAGATGGTCATGGTCATCTAAAGACGGATTCTCTCCATTCATGGTGAACCTCGAAACACGTGCATCTTCCGCCTGTGTTTCTTGGATGTATTCCGCGGGAGGTCTGGGCATCAGAGGTGGGGGAGTTTGCGCAGGAGGAGCAGGAGATCCTCCAACGCGACCAGGAGCACTGGAGAAAGGAGGAGGGGAAACACTCGCATTGGCTTGTCGGCCATTCAATGGACTTAGAGTGCTTCCATTCATGCGCAGCGGTTGAGGAGCCTCCATAGCTTCGTACCTGGCCTTTAACATAGCCTTTTCTTCGATGGCCGTTAGTACCCTACCACTCCCCCCCGCAGTGGGTGGTACGGGTGTTGGCCGCGGACCTCCCGTAGAGCTAGCGCTCGGAGTTCGTGCAGGAGATCTGAAATTTCCACTAGTGCTATTAGAACGAGGAGGCGTTTGTGGCTTGACATTGGCGCTGTTTTCGCGCGATAGGGCATCACGAGCCTCAAATTTGCGTCTCAAAGCTTCTTTTTGCGCAAGGGCGTCAGCATAATCACTGGAAGAAGAGCCAGGGACCGGAGGAGAATACGTGTTCAAAGGTGGTTCCGTATTGGCGTTATTGCGAAGTGCAGCAGCATCCTGCGACTCGTATACGCGTCGCATACGCTCCTTTTCGGACAGAATAGCCTGAGGACCAGAGGGTGGTGCTACAACGTCGAATGGAGGTGGTTCGTCTGCCGCTGGCCCACTTTGGGAGGAAGAGCCGGCAGGGGCAGAAGGGTACAGCGAATCATAAGCAATAGGATCTGAACTCGATCCTGAGCCGTGACCGTCTTCACTCATAAATCCACCTTGAGTACGGTCCACTGCCCTCTTTGCTTCTTCGTATCGCCTCAAAGCAGCTTTTTCTTGTTCTGCAGTCAAATATTGTGGAACTGCGGGTTTAAACGAAGCTGAACGTGGGGCTGGTGTCTGTACAGAAGGAGCAGCAGAAGGCACCCGAGAAGGAGCAGATCCTTGTGCAACAACGGGTACTTTGGCAGTGACAGCAGGCACCTTGGCAACGGCGGGAATGGGTACTTGAGCTGGAGGGGGTGAGGCCGTTCTGGTTGCCTGCTTTTGCAAAGCATCTGCCTTATTGTTCCGAGCAGAGATAGCTTGCGCATACATGACTGCTGCTGCTGAAGGCTTGGAAGTGCTGCTACCGGACACGCTCTTAATGGGATCGGAGTACTGCAAAGGCGGCCGAACTCCTTGCGTCTGTTGCACTGCATTTGTAGCTTTCTGGTACAGTAACTTTTCATCTTCGGCTGACAGCCAATTGGCAGGATTGCCGGTCGCTGCCGCTGCGGTCCGGGGAGGCGATGTCTGGGATGTAGGAGGTGGGGATGCAGATGAAGGAGGCTGAGACGCATATATCAGTAACAGAGATCATATTTCCATACGTCGAATAGCAACTTACTGGAGCAGCATGAGCACCTTGCGTCATCTCCACCCGCTTTCTAGCCTTCTCAAATAACTGCGCCTTTTCTTCCTCTGCGGAGAGCCAATTCTTGGTCGTAGCAGGTCCATGGTCATTTGAAATTTCGGTAGGATGGGCATTCATGATGGTGAACCTATTTCCGCCACCCGGACCACCCGCTGAACGAGGTCTGTTTCCCACTCCCGTTGTCCTACCGTTCGTGGTCGTCGCTGGCGTCGCGGCCGGAACTGCTGCAGGGGGCGGTGTGATGGGTTTGAGGTTGGTGTTGATCGTGGGCGTTGGACGGACAGGCGGGAAGTCATCATTGAGGGTATTGCTCTTCGTTGGCTGGTGTGTGGCATATGGAGGCTTGATGCCGTACCCAGCCCCATAACCCAGTTCATCGGCTGGTAGCTTTGCGGTGGACGACGCTGCCGTGGGAAGGGTAGAATAAGGATTCGCAGCACCAGCTCCCGATAGAGCTGGAGGTGATATTCCGCGTGGAGGCTCTCTAGATCCCAGATGTTGGGAAGTTGGTGTATTCGACACGGGAAGAAGAGAGAGACTGGGGGCTGGTCCAATACGCCTACATATACGTTAGCCTAACCTCAAAATCGACAAAGTTTCCAATTAATTACCTAATAGCTTCGGCAGATACATGACTGGACAATGACAAGGCTAAACATGAACAGCTCGTGTTTTGCTCAGAGTACGACGCACCTTTGCCAATTGGACACGATCACAGGTAAGTCCATTATGAGATGCGTCCCAGTGCCCATCAGCGCCTTAATGGACAAGGTGTATGTGACATCTATATGTCTGGCCGCGTTGAGAGTGGTCGTCGTATGGTTTTGGTTGAGCAGGCACCACAATTCCGCTTGATGTTGTGTACCACCATATAACGTCGCATTCACGACAAGTTTGTTCTCGCATACGTTGACCACCCTGACTTGTGGGGCGGCTTTCTTTCCTTGGGCATATGGCCCCGCGCGGAAGACAGTCGATTCCTTGAGCGATATTTCAAACCCTCGGAGGATGATGGTATGTAAACTGTCAGATTTGACAGTGGCATTGACGGAGATACGATCACCAGGCCCGTAGCAGGTATGGTTGCGCTGGACGATGAGGTTGACGCCTTCTTGAGCAAGGTGCCGGGTCTCGGGTTGGCAGTAGACGGGCCAGGTAGAGTGTAGCTCATGTTTATCGATGATGATAGTCGCCTGGGTGGAAACAACCACCGATTTGGCTTTTCGAAGAAATCCTCTGGAATGGTATAAGCATATGTAAAGAGAGCGAGAAATCAACTGACTTTTTGCCTTTGGTGCATACACTAGCTACCAGCTCATAATTGATCCCAGCTACAGAAGAAAATTTCAGCAAAAATGAATCATGGAACGTGAGCCTGCCCACCTCGATTTTCCAATGCGATGCTGGGTGGAATTGATTCAGGTATCCGAATCGAAAATGGGAAATCTTGCTGCAAAGGATGTTAGCAAACGGATATGATACAACAGGACGATACTCACAGAACGTAGTAGGCCGTAATCCTCTGGGGAGTTCCACAAATTCACTGGACTCGGTCCAACGAAGTCGTAATATGTGTTGGCCTGTCCACCCCCGGGCAGCGTCTCCACCTTCCTCAACTCGATTCGCACCCATTTCGCCTTGACCCCCTGCTGCGGGACACGAACCTCGATGGCCTGCGCGCGGTGGTCAGAGAATGGATTGGAAACAGATAAACTATTACGTACACCCTTTACCGCGGCTTGGGGCCGATCTGGAGCGCCAGGTGGAATACCAGGATAGCCTGCAGATAACGGTCAGCACCATCCATTTGCGATGGAACAATAAGGAATATGGCGCTCTCTGATATTGAAGAAAGCGCTCATACGCACCATGAACGAAGTCGACGTTTGGAGGTGGGCGTAGCTCTCTATAAGATGAACATAAGAACGTGAGCTCTCCTTCGCGCGCATTCCGATGACGATTTTCAAGCCAACTCACAACTTGACCTGGGCCATATCCGCCCGATGAGAAGAAAAGAACAACAGCGGAAAGCGACACAACCAAGGAGAAGGGAGATGATACTGGAATTGGACTGCTGATCACCGTCCCCACCGTCTCCGGCGGAATCAATACGATGGACAGGGTAGAGGCGAAGAGGCCAACGATGAGGTGGAAGCGCGGTGGAAGATTGAGAAGTTAGAACCGTTGTTATTGGGCGTCATTTCCGTGATGCGGCTGTGCCTTGGTCCATGCGACGCTCATCATTGATTTCTCACTGCGACAAAATATCGGAGACAAAGGTCACAAATTCTTTTCTCACTACGACAAGGACAAAGGTGCTCCTCAAGTATAGGTGAGCGAGAACAGCTAGATGCACATGCTTAGTGATAAGGTGAACACAGGGTAATCTCTTGTATGGTCAACTCAAGTCGCGTCCAAAATGTTTGAAACACTCCCGGAAGAACTCCTTCATCAAATCATAGCTATGTGCCACTCCATAGACTATGATGTGTTTGCAGACCGATCCCCAGAACCATTGCTCGCCCATCGTAACGAGATGGCGCGGCTGCTCCTTGTTTGCCACCGTTGGCGGCGTGTTGCCACTCTATTGAAATATGAAACGGTCATTGTCACCTCTCAGGCCGAGGCCAGCATCTTGGCCTCTATTCTATCTCGAGGTGGGGTCGGTTCCTATGTCAAGAGACTCCGGATAGAGGGCGAATTTGGCCAGGCTCTACGCACAATTCTTTCCAAAGTCCCAAGGCTCGTGGCCCTCTCCGTCTCTCTTGATATTACTTCAGAGTCGAAAGGTGCTGGTCCATGTGCTGGGGCACGAACGCAACGTTCAAGGGCCCTCGCAAGAGCTCTCGTCCACATACCAAAGTTACAGATTGTATATGTTCCGCGAGCGTATTACATTAGCGAGGACGACGTAGTACTGAATGCCATCAAGAATGCTTCTGTACAGAGGATTTATAGTTGGATCCCCTGGCAAGATGGCTTTATCATCCCTCCTTTGGACAGGTACTCCCGACTTCGCGATACTATTTACCTCCCGCTCCCAGGACCATGGTTGCGACCCACGTATGCTGCCATTGGCCAAGGTTGGCCTGGGTATGTTTGCTCTTATACTCTTCTGTGCTGCTACTGAGTAACTCCATTTAGCGACTTGTTTCCGACAACTTTTACGTTCTGTACCCAGTCACACGTGTACAGGAGATTGTGGTCGGATCGATTGTAGTGGTCTGCCCTCAACTTCTTTCAGATTCAAAAACACCTCTCCTCTCGAGATATTCAAGACGCCAAACAACTTGAAGTGTACCATAGAGTTATCTCTCGATTATGATTGTTGAAGGTATATATCTGGCCACTATTCTTCGTCAAGCTTTTTATCCAACTCCGATCGGCGCGCATGTTCAAGAGTGATCATCAATGGGCCTTGTGACAACGCTCTTGGGACTTGATTTAGTAGTTACTCGAGAGTTAAGTCACAAGTGGGCATAATTACAAAATAGTAATAATGTCAAGTTAGATCTTGACATTGACACTCATCATGGCCTCGTAAGTCTTGCCTACATTCTTATTGCTTTGCCACTTTCTAAAGGATCGTCGTCCTACCAGAAACCAGAACAAAAGCTCCACTTTCTTGAACATTCATGGTTCATCCGTCGTCACTTGCCTCAAGTTCCATGAAGGGAAAATTATCACAGCGTCAGACGATCACTCCATCAATGTTTTTTCTCTTTCGACCTTTCAGTTACTTCACTGCTTCGAAGGACACCAAGGTGGCGTATGGTCCTTGGAGGCGCTTGAAAACACAATCATCAGTGGATCTACCGATCAGACTGTTCGTCTCTGGGATCTGTCAACAGGAAGATCCACACACATCTTTGGAGGGCACATTTCTACGGTACGGTGTCTAGCCCTCGTAAAACCAGAGCAGGTAGAGAACCAAGATGGGCTCTTGACCTGGCCAGAGCAACCTCTTATCGCCACAGGAAGTCGAGATGCCACTCTGCGTGTTTGGAGGGTTCCGCAGGTCGGAGAACCAGAATATAGATACCATGAACCTGATGAATCTGATGACGGCGATCCCACAGAATACGTATGCTCCTCTGGTATTTGCTTTTTCCGGAGATGACTCAGTCTCTACCATTCAGAATCCTGAAGAGAACCCTTATCATTTACGGTGCTTGCGAGGTCACGAGGCCCCAATACGCGCCATTGCGGCGAGAGGCAGAACTGTTGTCTCTGGAAGCTACGATCATACCCTTCGCGTCTGGGACATAGAAGCTGGCACATGCACGTGGGTTCTTACTGGCCATAGTGGAAAAGGTATGTATATCCTAAAGTATCATGGCTCTAAATCCCAATGACACATTTTTCACCTCCATAGTTTTTTCCCTCGCACTCGATCTCGACCGTCATCAAGTGTTTTCTGGATCGATGGATGGCACGATTCGATGCTGGGATATCAATAGCGGCAACTGCAAATCGGTGATGCAAGAACACACTTCTGTCATTGCCCTGTTGAGCCTATCATCATCATATCTTGTTTCTGGCTCCGCAGACGCTGTTGTTTGCGTGTGGAATCCAACCACGCAGGAACTGTACCACAAGTTTACTGGGCACAAGGGCGCCGTCACCGCCCTTCATAATAGCGATTTGAGAGTTGTCAGTGGAGATGAGTCTGCGCTTTCGTTGTGGAACGTGAAAGATGGCAGTGATCTGATAAATTTATCACTTCCTCATATGGAGGGCGTCTGGCAGGTTGCTTTGGAGGGGAATTGGTGTGCGGCTGTAGTGCATGGTCGTTCACTGGGAACGCAACTCGCTGTCTGGGATTTGAGCCATTGTCATGATGATAGAGAGAGCTTGGCGTAAATTATCAATTCCCACTTTATTATCCTCTTCTTCTATCCCTGATAGTTAATGGATTGCCATCCAGTATACAAACTCCTTTCGCCGAGGAGTTCAGTCGGCTTCAGAGTTGTCACTTAGTCGGATTTCACGGTCCCGTGATGAGTGAAGAGGTTGCTCTTTCAAGAACTCTTACAACCTTTCCTTATCTCCAATTTGCTTCGTGAACTGCATCATATTAGTCCAAGTCCTTAAATCTTCGCTTCTGTGATTGACCAAGCGGAAAGCTCTTGACCAAAAGGAGACGCGAAAATCTTGGTTCAGAATCTGAAGTTGGCGCTTTTTTCGTAATGGCGAACGGTGCGTATGAGATGACACAACTACAACATAACTTATGTCGATGAATATAGGCCTTCCGAGTATCGCAAGCTTATGAAACAAGGACGGCTGGATTGAGATAACAGCTATGTATTTAGCGACTTGCCTAGTCTTGTCAACATTGCATCTACGTGATGATAGGCAATTCTGGGCCACATAGGCTTTTCAACGTTCAACGTTAGTAAGAGGAACTTTGAGGTTCGCCCGATGTCCAGCCAACAAAGGCATCCTTGAATCAAATGGTTGATAGTAATGGTATTCTATCTGCCACAATGTCTCTTCTTATCAGCTGTTGATTTGCTCTTCGTTTTGGTACTCCAGGCTCTCTGCGTAAGGTGCGACACAACTTGCCCTTCTCTTAGCATTATCAAAGTCATGCCAACATCGATGCATCTCCGCCGCGTCTTGTTCGAGTCATTGTCGAAGAGGCGCCCATGCCGAGAGAGCCGAATGGACCATTCAGACTGTCGCCACTTTGGCGCAACATTCCCCTCTCTTCTGACAATTCCCCATCGGCAATACGCGTCAAGCTACTCCATGTGTTGCAGATCGTCTCGAGTCCTTTGTCGTGACTTGGCGTAGCATGCTCGTGCTATTTGCAGCTGATCATTCATCAGCGGGATTTCACCACCTCGAACGATGGCGCAAGGGGGCGTTACAACACAGCTGAAACTATCCTTAAGCGTCTGTCTAATTCCCAAGGCCATGGCGAGGTTTGATCCTTTCCCAATCGACGACACAGGCTGTCTTTCATTCTTACCATGACACTTTTGCGTGTTCAGCGCAAAACTTTCACAGTCAGCATCTCACCCTTTGGGACATCTTCTCCATCACGTATCTCAGATTTTCTGTCTTGCAGACCTCCAGCAAGCAAGAATTGGCACATATTCTCAACAAAAACTTCCGATACCAGGCGAAGCAGCTGCGAAGAAGGGTTCGATCGCGAGCAATCTAACTCCAACCCAGTCTACAAGCCTCGCTGAGTACATCAGGCAGCTTTCCGAGGTCTTTTCCGTGCGCGAGGACCCCTTCTCAAAGTCCAGTGGCTCGAGACAGAGCTGTAACTGGTTGCAGCCAGGTGCTGTGGTCCTCCCGCGCGCCTTATGTCAATCTGAAACTATTAACGGGAATTACACATTCAAAGGGTTCAGATGTATTGGATACTCTCATGGTGGTCGGAATGTGGATATTGCGATGATTAGACCTCAGCTCCAGACTCGTCAACTGATCGGCGACGGTGCGCTCCAATCGCTTGCTTGACTATTGGGCTTCACCTTTCCCTCTGAGATCCCCTGCGCTCGGTCGAAGCCGCTGGTGCCTTTTGTTGTATGGGCGTCGGAGGGAATTTGTTCATCATCACCTTACTGGTCATTGGCGATGCTCCACAATTCCCTGCAAGATTCGTATCTATTCGTGGACTTGGCGTACAGCTATGCGTGACACAGCTATAGCACGGAACGACCCATTTGTACGAAAACGCCTCTTTTTCCATTCTTTTAATCTGTTCAAGTCTCGGAAGTCGATGCGAGCCCGGTATTTTTGACAGTCTGATCATCCTTGTGCTCAACATGCTGCTGGATGGCACGAAATAAGTAGGCGGCTCGGCAATCTGACGGTTACGCCGTCCAACCCCTTTTCTTTCGAGTTCTTTTTGAGGTTCTGGCTCGGCCCGCCAAGCGCCCCGAACAACGTAGACCAGAGTCGGCGCGACCGCCTATCACGACCCTATGTAAGTTACTCGGACCTGTTCTTTGCCTGTTCTTTTCAGAATAGATGACCCTTACTTTCTATCATTCCTTTCGCATCACAGTCATAATCGGTACGTAGGGTAATAATAATATTGATCGGGGGATATCTTATCTTTCCTTTCAGAATCGCGCCATCATCAGGGCCCAGCAACATGAGTCTTTCTTTTGTACCTTCGGCTATTTTCTAACGCACATTCGTCCAACGTTCATTCCCATACTGCTGTATCGAGAATACACTTTACGTCTATCTGGGCCCTATCGATACAGACTACCTACGTACATCCTGATGTTCTCTTTTTGTTTCCCAACAATATACGGGACTGTGGACAGGGTAAAATCCAAAATTGGCGATCCATGATGGCTGCTTTAGGTTAAGTATCATCCGGCTCGAGTATTAAGAGATCGGGACCCACTGACTCTTGGGGTACGTTGTCAGGTGGCATGCTGGCTGGTGAACACGTTGTCGAGAACAACCCTTATTTAATGCATCGTGCAATTTACAAGGCACCATTTATCAGGTATACAAATTTGGTAAAAGTGCGCGGTCGCGATCACGAGACGCGTCGGGAGACAACGCGTCGCGTCACCCTAATTAGTGCATGCTCGACCCTTTTGATCAATGATTAAATTGTGAAGCGGTTACACGTAAGATTGAACTCGACCCCCGATGATATATCATTTCCGTCTCAACGCGAAATTACTTCGCAGATCATGACAAGTTGGATAAGAGTGGCATTGGCGAGTCGCCCATGTTCTCAACGAGGGTGAAACACGACGGCGAGCTACAGCTGTGATAGTGCGACAGGACCAAAAGCGAGAATAAGATATGATCAAAGGTCGTGTGGAGTGAGAGCAGAAAGACCCTTTATTTACTATTTAGAAATCGAGTTTCGAACATGAAGCGTATGAGGATTCATCGTGGACGCCGTTATCAACACAAGTGTTTCTCGATCGTCCATTAGCTACCCAGCAAGCGTTGGGTGGAGGGCAAGCATCGTGCTCGAGTCGAACTTACTAGCCAAACCAACTCGACCAACGATTTCGCCACACTAATCCCTGAGCATCGCACTGGGCGAAAGGTTGGTTATTATCATATCATAAGAACCCTCATCTTCCATACGGTAGACGCCTGAATTTGCCAAACAACCTTGGACAAATCATCCTATCACCGAGAATGAAGAGCATAATCTTATCGCATCGCCACAATATGTCAATTTGCGATCCCTCCCGCCAATGATTGGCCAAGGATTGCTTGATTTTGCTATCTGCAATGCCCTACACCTCCAAACTCTGTGAATATCACTATTTCGATGAAGTTACAAGTGGTAGTAGCAAAGCTGATCTACGAAGATATGGCTTCAATCTTGCAGCAAGGAAGTTGGCTGATCGTTTCAAGTCCCTCTGGCTTCTCGTCGCGATTATCTTTGCCGGAGAGCTAAAATCAAAATTGGACACCTTGCTGTTTAATTTTTACAGATAATCGCCCAGAGTTGTCTCTCATAGTACCCTGGATCGTGATAAGATTTCTTTCAATCAGGGCAGCGGTATAAGCTTGGCGAGCTGGTCAATATCATCCAAAATTGCAACGTCGGGTATAATCACTCCGGCCAGAGTTCACGATCGTAGCAGAAGAAAGAACACACCCAGATTTGAACGCGAAGCCGTTTTAGCCAAGATGATTCAAACGTTGCTGCAAGCACGAAGCGGTAATGGAATGGCAGGGTAGCCGTGATATCGCATGTTAACACTCATAGTAGAACCAGATTGTCATCGATAGCAACTGCTAGAGAGCACGGCACCACAGGATACCCAATATGATTCACGATAACAGAAAAACGGCAAGAGAATCAATGACACTGAGGTAAGTAGCCGTAATCGCATGCTACTTAGCTACAGCAGCAGAACCAAGATGTCAGGTCATGTGCCACTGGCCGTCATCGATAGCAATATTGGCAGCCAGCGGGGCCCCACCAGATGCTGTCCAAAATGAATCATAATTGGTCAACATGTGAAAGCATGGGAACGGCGTGTTTGCGTTTTAACAGATGCCAGGAGGTAGTGGGTATGCACGCTGGTGTCGGGCTCTGACGAGTTATAGGGGCTGCTAACAGCTTTCGCATGAGTAGCTGTATCGAAAACACGAAAGCAGTCGGCGACAAGTTCTATGTGGTTGGGCAAGTAGGGCGAGAAGACGCTCCAGCCAATTGGATCGCATCGTTTATCCGCCTGACAAACAGACGCAATTAACGGCGCTTAGATCCTAAGCGCTTCGCAGCTCTACAGCAAGCAGAAGGGCTGGTTCATCTCAGTTTCGCCACCACTCTTTCTTCAAAAGTAAAGCTCCATTGCTCAGCAGTACGCGCACTCACCATGATGTTCTCGTTGGTTTTTACGACCCTGAATTTTCTGAAAGAAAACGAAAATGCTGTATACCAGCAGCATCTCACGAGTAAAGACTGCGTATCGGCGATAACCGGAAGAACTAGATATGACGCGTCAATATGGCGCGAGAGAGGAACATAAATAGGAAAGTCACTTGACCCTCATAAACGTTCATTCATTCACTTGAATTCTATGCTTCCTGGCCGAAGTTCGAATATATGTCGGTCATAGGAGGAAGAAAGACTTCCGGAATGACCGTTTCTCCTATCGAACGAATTTAGGTATATCTTTTAGAGAACGACGACATCGGATAGCGTACCTTGCCCTTTTTTCGGACCGATGTCCGAAAAAGAGAAGACATTTATCGAGGGCGATTAAGAATCCGTCAAGAGGTGATCAGGCGCTGCGATTAGTGATATGATAACTCGGAGTTAACACACAAAGGAATTCCATTCCACTCGCACGTAGCGATGGTCGCCAGTTGGTCATCCCCACACAGAATGAAGACTTCTTGGTGAGATGGCGAAGGATGAGTGACACTCTGCAAGCGCCACCTGACATCTTTGAGTCCAACCAAGCCACAGCGGTGTGACGAGCTAAGAGCACGGAAAATAGTCAGCCGTCCGAGCTGGAGAAATTCATGAGGCATTTTAGCACAAACGTTGCGCGCAGTTGGCTCGTCCTTTTTATCCATTTTTCTTTCAGGGTTGCATTCCAGCCCTAGGAACAAAGAACGTCCTCGGTGGTCACAAATATTCAATTGAAAGAAGGTCAGATGCTTGCCATGCCGCGCAAAAATAATGGCTTCGGCCCGAAGATCAAAGTGAAGGCTTGGGATAAAATACCTCATGTTAGGAACACACGGGAACCCGAGTGTTCTTCACTTTCATTTTGCGTTGGGCGGCGGGAAAATTGGTTTGAAAACTCAAACCTGAGGATGCAGGAACTGAAGAGGATGTAGAATTAGGGTCCGGCATTTAATTGGATAGTTTTTACGTACAGTAGTCCCCGACCGTTATCGAGGCCACTCAGATATCTTCAAGGAGCGAGCGAGCTTGCGTCAACAACACATCGTGTGATTTCTTTTCTTTATGGAGAGAGTATAATTGAATGAGCCGAGTTGTTATTAAATTGTTCGATCTGGGTCACTAGACTCGCCTTGCTATTCCGCGTTGCAGATGAAAGAAGAACTGGAATTTCCGTTCATCAACGCTGGTAGTGTGGTGGGTTCGAAGTTGTCGAGAACCCGTTATATCACCGCCGAACCCTGAGACGGAAACCAGAACCCTGAGACAGGAAGTCAGAAGGACAGAAGTTTCAACATCTTTCATGACAACCTGGAAACATACCATTAGGATGTTGGAAATTGAACAACAGAGGACTAATTTGAGTGTACCACCAACTACAATGTTCCGAGTGGACGACTCGTGATTCCGAGGTCATGGAACATCTCGGAAACCAATCACTATAAGGGTATCGAATAGATGGTCAGATCTACTTCGGAGTTTGTGAACTCACTGATTGCCTGACCTCAATCACGACGATCATAGCCTGTAAGCAGCAGGTACGAACCCCCTGCAACAAAACCCTCCCCAAACCGAAGACCATAAATGGGTTGGGATAACGTCATTCCGCTGGTTATCTTGATCATGATCACCGATTGTGATAATGGCATGTTCATCTAGATGGGTAGATTAGAATTTCGAGTAGCACCAGGTACGCCATCGATGACGGATGGAATGGAGAGAGCTAGGATGACTTCAAGAGGGGCGCATGACCGTACAAATTGAGAGAGAGTCAGAGTCAGACGCTCACTTTTCGTGGATGACCGGCGAAGAGGGAGTGCCGTTCATCTGCGGGCGGCCTGTGCTGAGAACATATGTATAGAGAGAAATGAATGGGTAGGCGATGCACTTTGCATGAAAATACCCCACACTGGCTGCTGTAAAAGCCCACGAACCAGCTTGTCCACACATAAGCGGGCGCCTCTCAATCCTTCTCCCAGATTTGTCTAAAACATAATAAATGGAACATCCAGGAATGGACTAGGTTATGTTTAGTGGAAAATGAATTCGAATTCTGCGAACTTACCCAAAGATGAGAACTGATCATGATCATGAGAGCAGATTGTGCTTACTATAGATCCATATGTAACTGAGCGACTCGGACAGACGACAAGGTGTGTGCCAAGAACAACAAACAACCACAACACGTGGATCGCGCCATGCCTAACAACAACAAACGTGGTGGACTTGCGCGTTGCTCAAGAAAACGCGTGTGGGAGTGCGTAGTCGCATTTACCGCGTCGGACAACGCGTGTTTTAGTGGTGCTGTAACTCTACACGTGCATTTCAGCCGTACCTTCCTCATGTCTGTCTGTCTGGCTACAACAAGTTAGTAACTCTCTCCAAACCAAAAATTTAACCTTCAACCTTTCTGTCTGACAGTGACAGCCCAAACCCAAACGTGTTCCACCACCACCAATACTTATTCCCAAACCTAGCGCGTCCTGTCCAGACTCCTCCTGTTCAACAGCCGGGGGTGCTGCTGTGTCATACTAGCGCTGGGCATTCATAGTTCGAGTCATAGCCCCCGCCTCGACGCGCCGCGCATGAAAACGCGTGTCCGTCCTCGCGCGTTCGTGTAGGTCCAAGCATGTAGACAACCCCCCATCGCAACACCGCCGCTGAGAACAACTTTGCTCTGCGCTACTACTACTAGCCTGTGAGCCATGATCATTTGAAAGCTGTAACTTGGGTTTAACGCCCACACCGATTCGCACACACCATCACGAACGGTTCGCACATTTTTCAAGTACAATCTAATCGAAGTTGAGAATGGGGGGGAGGTTAATCTTATCTTGACCCTCTATGATACCTCGTATCGTGGTATATATGATTGCATACATACTTAAATTTCAATTTCCACGAATTGTAAGGCGTGCAAGTATAAAACGGCCGTTCGTCCCCCGAGCCCCATTTCTCGGGGGAGGTTAATCTTATCTTAACCCTCTATGATACTATACTAATATTCGTCCTATGATTGATTGCATACATACTTCACTTCCACGAATCCCCAAGCGTGCAAGTATAAAACGGCCGTTCGTCCTCCGATCCCCATTTCTCGCGTGGTGGTGGAATGGAGAAAGGAAGGGGAGAAAGAATACGGGGAATAATGCGGCGCGATTCAAGTTGGGATTTTTACCTCGCGTTCGCGGCGAGTCCAGGTTACAATGATAATGTTATGCTTGGGGTAGAACGACAACTTCTCGGTAGCTGCTTATGTGCGTGCGTTGGTTCGCGCGAAGTCTTAAATTTACATTTCTTGGCAACCCGGCCTAGGCAACATATTTATTCCCCAGAAGCTTTGTTTTGCTTTGGGTAGGTAGCCGCACCTCGTCCGACAAGATGTGATACGATGATCGTCTTCAAGTTGGTAGATAGGTACTATTTGCTCCGACTAGTAGCTCCAAAACAAAAACGCGTTGATCAATGTTGCGAAGAACTTGAGCGTGGAGACATGACAAGATCTCGACATTGACGATTTGCGCAGCGAGGCTCCCTGGGAAGCTAGAGCTACGCCTTCGGAGTAATGGGAACTTGAGGTAATTACACCAACGTTACAAAGCCGCGGTAGCACTCGCTCCTCGGTATGTCATCCAACTCCCTCGAACCTGACGTCGATCCCACCGTGACCCAAGTTGAGCGCTTGTACACGCAATACCGTTTATCTACCCCTCGGATATCATCTCAATGATGCGTAAGCAAAAAACACACCGACGGTCATAAAGCGGGCGGGCGGGCGAGGCTGACGAGTTCGAACCTACGTTTACATAAATTCGAGCTTGCTTAAGCCCACTTCCATAGGTGATTAGATTAGATGTAGAGTGGATAAGATAAAGATAAAAGATAAAAGATAAATCGGGTTCCCCATCCCCATAGCATTTGCCCCGCATTGCCAATTCTTGGCTACAGTATGACATGGACCGGCGGGCGTGCCGAGTCACCCGTGCGGGAAATGGTACGACGTCGATAATCATTATAAGTGTGCTGCGTGGAAGGTCAACAGACCCGCTGCGCAGAACACAGGAATTTGAGTGTATGTACTGCATGTGCTATGTAGAACTACGCGGGCGCTCATGGGAGTAATAATCACATTCGCGTCAAAGAGGAAGCCATTGCCGAGATGACGACGACGAGTTCGAAACCACCCGCGCTAGATGGATGATCATGATCATGAGCGCAGGCTTTGAGGGAATCCGAAGAAGAGTCGGATCGGAGGAGGAGGAATGCCGATCCCCAAGGCAAGGCAAAGAAAGGACGCATTGGAGAGGCAGGCGTGAATCGGTAAGGAAGAGAACGATGATAACGGATGAGTCAAAAGAGATGGATTCGGATGCGGGGGAGAGTGGAATCATATGGATAATGGCATGACCAAGTGAGTAATCGGATGATAGGATCGATTCTGGGATGAATTATCGGATTTGAAGATATCGACAAAGGGAGGAGGGGATAGTCTGCTGTCTAAAATGCGGCGACAGCGTGGAATGAGATGAACCGGTTCATTTTGCTTGAAGGAGTAGTGCCGGGTGGTACGGAAAGAGATTACGCAGATGATTACGCGGGGACGGCCGTAAATGGAAACGGTCAACGAGGTTGTTTATGAGCCGACACAAGACCCTTTTTAAAAAGGTGCGTTTTCAAAAGGGCGTCTTAAAGGCCCCTTTGGCCACTCGCCTCCTAGTCATCCTCAAGGCCACAAAGATCTCAGAGTCTTATATAAATGACTAGACCTTCTTCCTCACACTACATGCCTTCTACCATTCACATCCCCCGCTCCTCCTCTCCCCTCTTCTCCTGCTCATCTTCCTCCTCAAAGCGCGCTACAGCAGAAGACATCTCGCGTCTGCTTGACCCGTCTTACTCTTCTTCCACACATCAATCACGCTCAGTCTCCGTCTACGTAGACGGACACGGTGACCTCCATGACCCAGACTACCGACATTTCCCCGCAATCGTCCCTCCCCGCTCAGCTAAACGCCACTCTGCGGGTGCTCACTACTCTTCAACCAACTATCCTCTATGGGACGAGCATGCAGTAGACGACGAAGAGATAGACGAGGATAGCTGCCTATACACCCACCACTCCCCCATGCGTCGCTCACCCTCATCCCGTCGCTCCTCATCAACCACAGTGTCTCGGAACAACTTTGCTTCACCCTCCTCACGCACAAGCTCTCCCCCATCCTACCACTACGCAACCTACTCAACCTACGACATCTCCCCTCCAACATCCTACGATTCAGACGACATTCTCAGCACCAGCTTCTCATCATACACATCCCCTTTCGAGGAAAAGGAGAAACAACGATCAAGTAGGCTATCCACGAAGCGGAAGCGGTGTTCGTCAAAGGAAGAATTGCTAGACACGCCTACACCCATGATCACACGCTCGCTCCTACCTACTACGGAGGAAGAGGAGGAGGCTGTGGTGGTCAAGGAGGATGATTCAACGGGCGAGTGGGTCCCCACATGCACGCAGTCGCTGCAGAGGCAGTGGCAGGCACTGTCATTGGCCTTTCAATTCGGTGTGTTCCGCGCACGAAGACGGATGAGGCAGAGGGTGCATTCGCTCTTGTAGTTTCATGGCTCCCCTCCCGTCCTTCTGTCTCTGCATTGGTCTCACTCATGGCATCGCATCGCATCGCATCTTCAATCTCATCATCTCATGCTATATATCACCAACCATCTCGCTATCAGCTTTTTTTTCAAGTCAAGTCAAGTCCCAACATGCATTTGTACTTTTACTCATTCATCCATCGACACACACACACACGCCTTTCTATCATTATCGTTTCTACCCACCATTGGACCTTTTTGTTTTGTTCCCACTATGTCCCCCATCGCCCCCGATACCCACCTCCGTCCGGGCTCACGACCTCTTATGACACATTATTCATTATTCATTTCCAAGATCGGGCTGGAACAGTTTGGACTGGATTAGAGAGGCTTCAACACTTTTCTCCTTTCTCCACCACCGGATCCTACCTACCTTCCTCCTCCTTTCTACGTACGCAACGTACCTTATCCGAGTAGTTGGACACACCCCTTTTTGCACTTCAACGTGCGCATAGCTGTAGTCTTTTTCTTTTTAGGATATCACGAAAATGATGAAAAACATTGTTATAACGTTTTCATTTGATTGCTTTGATTGAGAGTTAGCAGAAGTGAGATCGTGAGGGAAATGAACTCGAATGAATGAGATCAGAGCTGTTAAGTTTGATGTGAGATAGGCCTAGGCCTACTAGGGATGCGTGGCGTGCCATACTCATTGACTTGTAAGTAATGCTCTGATAGTACTACCCTATAGGCAGGGAGGTAGCCAGGTTGAGGACATCCAGTCCATACCTCTTAGACTACGTACGAAATGAACTAGTTTGTCGTACTGGGACCATATGGTTCATACCTTACGCACAGCCGCGAAGTCGAAGTACTGAAGCATTGGGTTTAGAGGAAGACCCACCCACACCCCACCACCCACAGCCTTCTCAAGTTCCGAATCGCTTTTCCCCACAATGACTATGAGGTGGGACTGAGTCATAAGTGAACGCATTCACGTCAACGCGTCAACCGTATGTAAACTTGGAGAGTTGGACCTCAAGGATAAAAATAGAATTGAGTGCGTCGACGTCATTGGTACGAGTATACTCTACATAATCGTAGGCCAACTTGGCCACTCGTCATTTTTGGCCCCACGATGGAGGTGAATTAGATAGCGACGCAAAGTTGGGGTTCCGACTGATTATATAGAAATTTATCGTAGCCCGTGGTTGCAAGCCTTGTGCACATTCAAGTTATTCGTACAACATTTGACTAATTCTCTCCTCTCTGCACAAACGCGACAGTTATCGGCTACCCGTGAAACACTGCACAGTGCTGGATATATAGATGACTATAAAAAGCAAATTTAAACTGGAACTGTTGTTAGGGATAAGACAAGCGGCTTTGAGACTCTTGAATTCAGCGGAACAAAACGCCGTCATAGCGGACGCTTCAACAAATTCCCCGAAGACGCACTATTATTGAGCAATGAGCGTCATAGCGGACGCAAAACTCCTTGATTGCAAGTTTCTCGCGACCGCGATAACATTTTAGACGGGGTTCAAGAATTTTTGCACCCGCTATGACGCAAGACTTTTCCCCGGAACCTAAATGTATGGATATGCTCTGTTCATATTAAGCGCTTCAGATTCGAGCCGCAGAGCCGCTGAATATCTATTGAGTGAAAGACAGAGGTTCAAACATGAATTGCAATATTGAGCATTGGAATGAGAGATAGCGCACAGTGAGACCCCAAACGCGGCTAAATACGCACAAAAAGGACGCTCGCTATGATGCGTTCCGCTTCAGATTAGGGTCTCAGCGTGCGTCTTCGGAACCGGAGAGAGCGCTGTATTCTAGCATACAATTGCAAAAAGTAGCCGCTTGATCTTGAGTAAAAAACAGGTTTAACCATGAATGACAATGCTCAACACTGACAAAGCAGTCGAATAGCACACGGTGAAACCCCAAACGCGGCTGAATACGCGCAGCAGACCATGCAATAGAACCGGGGAGCGTGCGAGGAAGCGATAAGGCCAAGCGGTTGAATACAGGGCAGTGAAACCCCCCAACGCGTCTGAATACACGCCGTATCACAGAAACCGGGGAATGTATCGGAAGGAAACGATAATTGAACCCTCAAATAAACATGGCAGTAGGCAGGCAGAAGCAAGGGAGATCGAGTAAAGAGGGCGAGATAATAGTGCGGTGCGATGCAGTGCGAGTCGGGGAAAATAGAGGTGGACCTGGAGGGACTCTCAGGTCATTCGGCGGCGACCCCGGCCATTCATTTCTTTCTACCTTCCTGAATCGCGGGTAGCAGCCTGTGCTTCTGCTAAATAACGTCAATAGAAATCCGGCGGAAATGTTAACTGACAGACACACACCGGTAGAAGGACGAGAATTGTCCGCACGCAACTAACCGCTAAGCCCTGCCTTTGACCACCAGACCCGACCCTCCGCCTCCTACTTCGTAGACGGACCGAACTTCTGACCACGCTTGTGTTCTTTGTCTTCCATCGTTTAGGGTAGTCGGGAAAATTTCCAAGAATCGGCCTGTTAGCCCGGTTACTTCAAACGCACACGGCAACGTACTTGAACAAATCACCGGTAATTCTGCTACCCTAGGGCATTTCCTATTGCCGCGCGTCGTGGCCCAAGCATGGGGGGGCGGTATCGGTACAGGGACAGCAATTGTGCTGCCAGGGTCCTGACTCGGTGAGGCAACACCCATCAAAGGGTAATAACAAGCGCGTAGACTTTGGTGTTGTGAACACATCGATCCTGGCCGACTGCTCAGGGCGACGGATATTCGATCCGAAGTCACGGGCATGGCGTGTAGACAGACAGACAGAGTACACGAGTGGGGGCACAAACACATTTGCTCGTTTCGCGGAAGGTCCGGCGCAGCTTCCAAGCAACACGTCAGTTGAATGGCAGGTCCAGTAGTTCGAACTTCCAATTCGAAGCTGGGAGGAGGCCTCCAACTACCATACACCCTAATCGCGAAGATCGTACAATCAATTCACCTCCCATAACGTTTCTGGACTAGCACTGCCAGTGTCATGTCAAGCCAGTGTGGATAGAAGAAGTTCAAGAGCAGCAATGTCATTCCAGGAACCGCTTTCTCCATGGGCCAAAGTGATGCTATCAGATGATAACTGATTCGTCCACGAGGCGGGCTTGCATGCGCAGTGGTTGGGGGGAGACAGAGAAGAAGGCCTTAACGGGGTATTTGGTTTTTGCTGGGGTAAAAAGTGGCGTGATCTGGGATGGGGAAAGTCAAAATGAGCGCTTTAGGTTGAGGTGCGGATGCCGCGAGGCGGGCACGAGGCGGGTTATGCCTGAATATGGAAATATGGGGTTTGAGGCGCTTGGCGTAAACTCACACGCACGGCGGGTCACTTGGTCAAATTGCGGTTAGGAAAATGTCGGCCATACCACGCTGCCGAATAACACAAATGTTGGATGTGATGTGTGTGAAGAGGTTTTGAGCGCTTCAAACAAATCATGCACCGCGAGTGTTTACTTGTAAGTTAAACAGGCTGTAAAAAACGAAGGTTCTGTCATCGGATCTCATTTACGGGCACGTCCCCGAATCTGGAGGTCATGAAACTAGTTGATCCTTGTACATGCACAGTATGCATTTTAGACCTGAGGGATACAGCGTAAGAATAATGGACGATCCTGAGGAACCTCAATTAATTCGTACTGGAAAATGTTTCGCGGAAAAAATGCGGGGAAGGCCGCGGGAGACGGATGAAACGACTCGAGAGGTCAATAAAGGCCGAAATTGTTTTGCCCGTTGTCAACACAATGCTGGTACAGGGTTAAACCGTCGCTCTCTCAGCTTTGTCGATTGAAGATTAATTATAAAGTCAGCTGACGCACCATTGGTAAAGTAACCACCTGATCATGCGTACACGCATGCTTCGTCAACAGGATTACAGATCATGATCAAAGGCCAACCGATATTCAACAAGTCAAGCAGCAGCCTTAAGCTCGGCGGACACCAATGAATCGACGATCGCGGAAGCTGACAAGAAATACAGTCCAAGCACTCTGAAAGTTTCATTAATATCATAGGAAAGTCGTACTTGAGCCAAGTTTTCCGCCGACCAGAAACTGCAAGGTCTACAGGAGGAACTAGCCACTAGAGAAAGTCGGCAAACGCTTGTTAGGGTGCAGAGACACTTGTATGCGCATGCACAGCGTTATCATTACAACTTGCCGTGAAGCTTGGTAGAGATTGACAAGGAGATATCGGAGGCGATCTCCCAGAGCAATTAATGCCTATTTTGAAGATCGGTGATTTGAGAGGAATCCGATTGACGCTCAGGATACAGGAAAGTGACTGAGCCAGCTTGGTTGATGTTGGATGGTTGGGGATGAAGGACGTGCACTGGGTAGTAGTTCACGACGAGTTGAGGGGAAATAACAACATGGATTTGGTGAATCTCATTGCCCGGCTTTATCGTCATGAGTGGCAGCGGAGAAGGAATGATTTGGGGCTGTTTATTGTTGACGATTCCAAGGTTAGCCACGTGACTTAACGCGTGTGTAACAAGAACAAACTGAAATTCTGCAAGCTCGAGCTTACAGTGTCTTTCACTGCCGTTTGCACAGCGTGAATCGTGATTTCTAGAGCTTGGAATCACCGTAAGTATGACCTAGAAGAAAAAAAGTTATTGTAGCTCAGGTTAAATAATTAAAAACAAAGAGCAATTTCGGAAGTGTCTTTTTATTTTATGTAAAAGCTCGCTCGAGCGTTGAGCCAGGTGGTTGAACTGTTGACCCAATGTTGACCAAGTCATATTTCGTCGCTCTACGCATAGTAACACTGCATCGTTACTACTATAAACCGCTAGACTTGAGCTTAAACCTCCAATGTTTTGTCAGATATGTCGTCGTAACAATCATTCAAATAGGTATTTTAAGTATGCCAAAAGCTGATCTCTAACTGATCTCCATGCTTTTTTTTTTGGCTGGAATTTGCTTTGGGGTAGGCTCTCCGCAGGTAGGTGTATATTTGAATGTGGGCTTTCGAAAAGCCATTCAGGTGCGAAAAATACAGTTTTTTGAAATTCAAAAATGTATACGCGTGGTTAAACTTTCCATTCAATGAAGGAAGTCAATGCAAGGAAGTCAACGCACTACCAACAACCGAGCTTGAGATTTCACGATATTTGCTCCTGTGGTCGGACTCAATTTGTCCCGGCTTTCACAAAAGAGGCCGGGGAGTTATCAAGCTTTTCAACTCAAACTCCCGCGCAAGCGCCTAAAACCTCCATGAAAAGAACGCTAGGCGGAGCTGTCAATGTCAACCTCTAGAGCTGAGTCTCAGCAACCGCGGTTTGGTCGGGCACGCTCAGGGACAGGGCAATCCATTCTCAGGCCACTTCCACCTCCCCCTCGTCTCAAAGATGGCGATTTCAAGGTTCTGAATTCTTGGGTTCACGACATTAGGGAATCCGCAAATGTCATCTTAAATCAAGCTTTATGGCCAGGAGTTGCCGAGGGTGATGTGTTGAGGGTTGTGAGCAGCAACGCGGAGGATAGGGAATCGGGGTTTCTGTTCATAGTTCCGAAGGATGAAGGGTGTGTGAAGACGCAACTGCAGGTGCGTTATCCTTCTTGGTGGATGATATTATCTTTCTGACCACCATCGGCGAAAGATATCCATCCCAAAAGCGGTTGCAGACGCGTGTGGTTTTAGAAATAACGGGGAGGTGACAGTTACGAAGGCATGCCGCGATGTCCCTTCTCCGTCCTGTGTCATCTAATCGTGAACAGGTTGACAAGGATGCTTGCTCCGCTGATTATGTAGAATTCACCTTTCAAGACCAGTACCTAGGCCGAAACGATATGTGGAGGCTTGGGGAAGACCTTGTTGGCCAGTGCGTCTATACCCACCAGGAGATACTTTTCATTGGCGGGATAGCTGCAAAGATATCGGACATCTATATCAAAGGCAAGAGGGTGCGTATTGCTTGACTTTACTAGAAATACGTTATTGATATGGTCATTGTATCAGGTCTCCACCGCATGCATGGGCCGCGCCACGAAAGCCATCTATAGGTCCCTCTCGGCTAAGGTCACCATTTTCATTCAAGTTTGTCAGGAACTCTGGGAATTCTCTGGCGACGGGGAACGCTACAACGAAAAAATTGTACATTCCTTCCTACCGGAACTCTTTGCGAAGTGGCGTGAAGCCGGAACCAATCACACAGTAACGATTGTCCTCATTTCCCGCGTGTATTATGAGGAATCCGAAATTGATTACGCCGCTGGACCTCTTCGTCGCGATGAAAGGGGAAACTGGTACAAGGACTTTTTCAAGGTTATCACCGACTTGGAGGTCATCTATGAATGGAAGCCAACCCTTGTCAGCTTGAAAAACTCATTCTGGGACTTTCAGCGGGATATTCTTCTTACCCACCATTACCACCGCGCTTGTCTTGAGAGCGGCGTTGGACTCCCTGGTCAAGTTCGTCTTGTCGGTCGTCTCTCATATGCTCAAGACGGACCTGTGTTGGAGGCGCTCAATCTTGGCCTGAATCCAGCCGAAACCCATTACATTGATCGCTCTCTTTCTCTCACTGGCGCAACGACGATCCTAATATCTCCGGGCACAGGGTACTTTCGGGTTTCAAAGCAGCTTCTTCGCCTTACGACAACCCGGATGCTAGATCAAGGCCTTGGGTTGGATCTTGTCCTCCTAACGAAACCGCCTCTTCACCAGAGTCCCATCTTTAGCTTTCAAGGCACGGAATTGGAATCAAGGACAGACTTGGAAGATAAGGTGGATCCGCTCTCCATAGATCCTCTGTGGGGCGGAGGCGATGAAACTGCGGGAGATGCAAGAAAGAAGAAAACTTTTTGGTGGGAACCATTCTGGATATCGACAACATTCTGGGATATACAAATGGATCTGCCGCTCAGACAGGACAGGTAATCATGCTCTTCCTCCACTCTTCGTTTTTCCCAGACTGATTCTTTTTCTTTATTCTTGCAGATTTGTCGCTCGCGCTAAGATGCATGAAATTCAGATGCTCGGTCTTCTGGAGCATGACGTCCTGCCTAGTATCGAAGTCCCCTACTTGAAAGAAAGGACACCATCTTCTCTGCTCTCAGATTCTGCTGACGATGAACCGCTGACGAAGGACGAGGCAGATAGGTTTGATATGGAGATTTTTGCAACTAACTCAACCCCGACTATTGGCCAACCTACCATCACAGCTACTCCAGGATACCGACCAAACCACGAAAAGCGCATCTCTCATCGTAATTCTATAGCTGCGTCTCGGATCGCCACGATTGAAGAGAGTCCTAAGACGATCATGAAGGAACTACCTCCAGAAGGACCTCCTGGTGGTCTCCTTAGCGCTGTTATGTCTCTTAGTGAAGCGAACACGTCCCCCGCCCCCTCTATACGCTCTCTTCAGTCCGACAAATCCGCCTCCAGCAAAACTTCCGGGCGGATGACCATCTCGAAGGGGAGCCTTGCGTCAAAATTGGCTCCGGCCTGGCTCTTCAATCCGTTTCGCAGTGGCCCCAGCGAACCCCAGACATCACAAATCTCTGCATCTGCCTCTTCCTCTTCCGCCCATGCTACGCTATCCCCACTTCTTCCTTATGTAACACCCCAATCTCCTCTGCGAATGCCTGCGCCAGTTACACCCACTGTCCAGCAAATCATGCCGGTGGCCATCAAAAATAATTCAGCGAGCCGCTCCAGCCTTAGTCGGACCTTTGAAGAGGAAACACTCATTCCACAGAAATCGTCTTTTATCCGACGTTCCCCCCTCAACAGCCCTCCCCGCGAAGGGGGGTTGTCTGCTAAACGTCGGAGCACAACTAGTATTTTGGCACAGTCGTTATCATCCTCCTCAGGATCGTTTTCGAGTCCTTCGCAGCTTGAGCAACCCGCATCGTACGCTCAGAGGTTCATGTCAGGTCGATGGCAGCACATCTTACCACAGAAGATAAACAAGCATGAGATCAAGTGGAAATCCCTCATCACCCCAGGTTGCTTACCTTTGACTGTGGAGCACTTCCCTTCTACGGCCGAGCTTGAATCGTCGTATGACGTGTTCTCTTACGACTTCGTTGTCGACCCTGAGGAAACGAAGTCCTTTCTCGTTAAACCTCCCCCAAAAGGTTCTGCAGATGAGATGCGAAGAGCATGGGCCCTCGTCGTCATGAGAGGGATGACTGCTGTAAGGTTGGCGCAAGGTTTCCAGTTTGTCTTGAAGTCGCAAGACCAAAAAGGCCATATGGAAGATGATAAGACAGCACTGCGCCGGTCCAAGTCATTTGTCGGAGAGGAGAAGCTGACTCCTGCGCCTGTTGGAGCCGCAGACGTCCTTCGCTCAACAGCTGATCCGGTCTATCTTAGCATAACGAAGGAAATTCACCGGATTTCGTTTACTGGAGAGGCCATTCAAGTACGGCGGTATGTCCGACGGATGATCCCGACACGAGAGTTTGAGTATCAGTGCTTAATATGGCCGAAACTTGGGGGTAAGTTCTTCCAGCCAATTTCGAGGGCTTTGCCTGATTGGTCTGGCAGTGGGCTACACTGAGCTATCGACTAAATTCTCATCTCATGGTCTTGAAAATTACGGTTGGAACAGGTTTGTCTTACATCCTTCCCGTGTGAGTGCTCGCTCATCACCTGATGATAGGCTCGACATGTTGGTGGCGGGTTATGAGCAGGAGTTTTCTGAATCTCTCCATTACTGGCGGACGAGATTTGTTGTCATACCTACTTCAGAGCCCCCGAGCAGTAGCGGTCCAGCAGGCGAAAAGCTCAATGATGAAGAGCTCCGCATTGTAGGCATTGAGAAGTTGGCAGAACAATTTACCAAGCTACGATGGCAGACACCCGAGGAAAAGGCCACATATTTCCCTCCTGTCCGCTTCCTTCCAACGACACTCAACCCTGCAGTATCAGTTCTGGACCCATCTCTTCTGGACCAGCTGGACCAAATCCACGCTGCAGGCCCTCTACGCAAGAAAATCAAGAGCGAGAAGGAGATTTCAGACATGACGCTGAATGCTATTGCGAAGGCCATGCGAGAGGACGATGGAGTGCCCATAAAGAACTATCAATGGCATCACAGGCAGTACCCGGATTCTTTCATTGGGTTTGACTTTGTTTCCTGGATGGTTCGTGAATTTCGGGATGTGTCATCTAGATCGCAAGGAGCGGAATGGGGTGTCAAGCTGATGGAGCAGGGCTTGTTTGAACACTGTAGAGGATATCACAATTTCTTAGATGGGTGAGATTTCTTAGTCGTTGCGTGAACTTTGGATTTGATCACCTGCGTCGACAGACATTACTATTATCACTTGAAGGGGGAGTACTCCATCCCGATGACCCCTAGTAGAACAAGATGGTTCACAAGACGACCGACGGGTGTAGAGAGTGGTGATCGATTGGGCTCTGTACCAAGGAGAGGGACGGCTGGACGGAAACACAGGAAGACATTAATTTTGAGCCAAACCATGGTCATTGACGTTGATCCTAACAAGGTATATCCACCCATGTATTCTGACCAAGCTCATGCTGACATCTTCACACCATTCATCCAGCGAAGCGACCAGGCAGAGACGGTTGTACTTCATCACGATATCATGCATAACCCAGGAACAGTTTTCCACTTTGAGCTCCAGTGGATTGGTACCACCGCACGCTGCATCGAAGACCAACTGCGTCAATGGAGCCGGATCATTGAAAAGTACGGATTGAAATTGGTCGAAGCATATGTGACCGAAATCAGCGATATCCGTGAACGCAACGCATTCCAGTCCTGTTTTCCTCTTCGACTTGCTGTCCCTCCCCCATCTGTACCAGATCTAGAAAAACGAATACCAGAAGGAGAGCAAGCCCAAAGATACTTTGAGTATGAGCTCCTCCGTCGATTTGGCTTCATTGTCGACGTCGAAGCTGGAGAGCTATACCCAAATACGGTTGACGTGGTCTATTCGTATCGCAGAGCACCCTTCCGATACTCCCAGTTTGTCCATCGTTCTGGGGTTGCCTTCGTCCAAGTTCTGGGTGGCAGTCAAGGGTTCTTGTTTCTCATGAATCGGCTAATGGGGCCAGGCAGGTTAGGGACCTCAAAGACCAAAGATGATCGGCTCTCTTCTGCTGCGGAGAAAATCAGATTCGATTTGACTGCGTTCTGCTCTGATGAAAAGACATTGACGGCCTTCTATGAAGAATTGCTTGCATCGCTGGCACCCGTTCCGGAGGAACCACCTCCGTTGAGTATATAGATCATATCAGCATTTAATCATCTCTTGTACTTTTACCAACTGTATTATGATACCTCACAAGCACTGACAATCTTATCTCTCCCGTTTGGCCTGACTGAACGTCGCTTTGGATCGCCTGGAAATGGCTTTCGCAAATCTAATTCCAGATCTTCTGTCAACAAAGAACAGCTTCGTCCCGCGTGCCTCATCCCCCCAACCCCAAGACGACCATAATATTCCCGCAGCCTTTTAAACACACTGTACCCCAGTCCTTCATACATCTTGATCGCGATAATAATTGTGCGCTGGAAGAACAAGTCAACGAAAAAGTAGACTTTGTCGGAAACAACTTCGAGCATCTCGATCATTGGCTGTGCGAGGTGGTGTCGGCGGTGTTCATGTGCTACACTGAGAGCCGTAATGTACCCATGCCGTTCATTATGACTTCCTTCTGCTTTGCAGAGAACTAGATGAGCAAGTCATTGGTCTGCTGATGGGATATGCGAAGACGATTGACTGTAGCCCATTAGCCGCCCATTGGGAGCCTCTTGTACACAGCATAAATCCAGCCACCGAAAGACGTGGTTGAAGTAGAAGCCGTTGTCGAATTGTCTGTCAAACCCCATTAGCGATGTTATCGACTTGTCAAGTAGTTATGATAGACTGTTTCGGACCGGATATCTAGGTTGCTTCAGGAAGGAATCCAAAGTCACCTCGTAATTCAAGTTGAAGGTTCTATTGGAGGGCTTGAACAACTCTGTCGCCTTGAACGGACGGAGGAGGCTCATTGAGCTCGTTATAAGCGTGGCGTGATGGGGTGCTGGGTGTAGTGGAGAAAGGAAAGAAATCCCTGACGTATAACCGAACTGCATTTCAAGATTGACATCATACTCACCTATCACGGGGGTGAAAAGGAGATCATATATCGGAAGCACACGGGGAAACTGCGTCCCGGTTACTTGTTTTATTGATCGAGTCCGCGTGAGCAACCATCGGAACACAGGTTTGAAAATTATTGGCCCACTATGGAGTCAGAAACACCTGAGAGAGTGTATGTCAACACGATAATAGGATACAAAACAATGATAGTTTCACCTTGAGAGTTCTTCCAATGGCCAACGCGCAAAAATGTTGCACGACGTGTCTAGGAAATTGGTCATTTGGCAGAAAGCTTCACAGGAACATGAACGTTCTTTATTATAGGATGTCTGTACTTTTACCCTCATAGTTGTGTTATACGTCGTGGGCACTAACGATCATTTCCCTTCCATTGGGCCGCACCGAGCGACGATTGGGATCGCGTGAGAGTGGTTTTCGCATATCTGGCCAAACAAAAATAGGTCGTTTAAGCAGGTAGGATACAAGAGCACAAAATACTCACCAAACGCGTCCTCTTCGTCTCTTCCGCCTTTCCCGATCCCTAAACTGCCATAATACTCCCGCACTCTTCGATATACGCTATACCCGAGGCCCTCATACATGTCTATCGCGACCGTGTTCGTACACCGCACGAACAAGTCAACAAAGAAGCCTTTGTAAATCTCATCGGAGACCATTTCTAGGAGGGCCATCATCCTTCGAGCCAGGGAGAGCCTGCGGTATTCGGGTGCCACGGTGAGCGCAGTGACGTGTCCATGCCATTCGGCATTGCTTCCTTCTGCTTTGCCAAGAACTAGCAAGCGAAGAGAAAGAGTCTAGACCAGGATGGCATTGAGATGCGTGGATACCTACCGTATCCCATCATGCGGCCTGTCGGGGCTTCTTGCACGCAGCACAAATCAGGCCACCGCGAGAGATAGCTGAGGTAGAAACCAATGCCATACTGCGGTAAATACTTTGTTAGATGCGCTCCCAACCTCGCGAATGCATGTCACACTGACCGTTTCCGTCCAGATGTCCAAGTTTCTACCAGTGTAAAGTATATGATTGACGGTCTGGCTGCAGATTACTGGGAGACGCACATATTATTAAACTTGAACATATCAGAGGCTTTGAATGGACGAAGAACGCTCATTATGGCTTGTCGTGATTTCTCGGAGAGTGAGATGCGTGGTTTGCACGGAGGACAAATTTCCAGCTAGCGCTATCGGCAAAACGCGGGCCGCCTTTCTTCCCCTTCCTCCATCCCCACATTCTGTCCAAAACAGCATAACACGATTTGATAGCCAATGACAGGTGTTCAACAATTGTTGTTTTCCATTGGCGTGTGGGAATTCACGGCATCGGGCGAATCTTCAATCAATACTACTGGGGAGCTTGAACGGGCCTTGTGGAAGACATGCACTTCAAGATACCATTTGAACGCCATGTACACCCAAATCCTCTAAGCCCGCACGGATAACTCCACCTCTTGAATCAAACATGTCAGCCTCAAAGCGGTCATCGAATTTCATGCTCTTGTCAGAAGCTACCACGAATGGTCGACCATTGTATCTCCTCGTTTTCCGAGATTTTTGGGTCGTACATACGCAAGGGCCGACTTTCGAGAAACCCCTCGTTAAGCACGTTGCACCGCAGCTATCACCGTGACCTTTCATCAAACTCAGGTAGACTAGCCCTACCCTGCCTTTTCGTCAGTGATAGGCTGTATCGAGTATCACAGTAAACCCCAACATACGGATATGAGATACGCGAGGAGAAGAAGCAACGCAAACGGCGGACGAAGGTGATCATACATTCGCTATTCGACCCTCAACGATGCAGTTCGTCTCCCAATCTCAAATGGAAGACTGGCTCACTTCCCATTCATCCCTCGAAGTGGATGTTCTTCTCCCACTGCTGATTTTATCTAGGGTTTAAATGTGCTCTTTTCCGAGGCGCGTAGATGAGAGACCTCGGTAGATTCAAAGAGTCTCTTCCATCGTCATCCTTCAGCTCGTTCTCTCTGGATCGATTGTCCCACTCCACATTGCATTCGCGTTCACGAGACTTCTCTAGAAGCAGATTGAGACTATCAGCGACCCAATCCTCTTCTTGCGTTTACCTAGCTTACTTATTGCTGCCTCACTGCCCTCGTATACTTATCGATTATACTCTACGGGTTCTCATGCGCCGCCAAGGTGGCGGAGCCACACTAAAAGGGTAACTTCAGAGTCTATATCAAGAAGTCGAACGAGAACTGCTCTGCTGCCCTCAAGCTCGTGTTTCTCTCTTTGACTATGAACAGGACATCGATCTAATTTAATGATGCTTGCATTTTCTTCTCCTCAGCCGGAGTAGCGTCGTCCGAACTCCCTATCGTCTTAATCTTTCACCTTTCATGGCAGTACCCCGGGCACGACAATTTCGGACGCCGATGACATCACCTCTTCTCCCATGTCAATTCTACGCTACCCTGCAGGATTGGGTTTTAAATAATCACGCGGGACCCCTCCTGACGCCTATCGATATCGGGATCGGACAATCTCTGAGCTCCCCTCTTACAACTCTTGAGCTGAGAGCTCGTTGGCCCACTTACCCCGGCCGAAAGCATTGAATACGGGCGAGCTGTGGAAGATTGAAGCAGTCTAGGATTGAAGCAGTCCCTCTTTCAAGTCAATCTTCATTAAAAGCAATGCAAATAAAATATCGGATAAAAAGTACAAACCTTTTCCGCCTTTCAATATCGAAAATTCGGAAACCTTCCCGTACAGCTCCCTAAGTACGAGCAAGCTACGTAAGGAATTGGGCAGCCTTTCAGGTTATCAAGTAGATTGCTAGATATTTTTAGAGGCTCACTTTCCAATTTTGCCATGAACCACCGTTGCGTTGTGAGTGATCAGAACCTTTTAGTATGGACATGCTACAACCCGTTGCAAGCTCTTTCTGTCTGAATAGCAACCATCACTCTAAATTCAGTGCCAGGTGAAGTTAGAATGTCACGTACCGCGGGGAATCTGATAAATTTAGAGAGGTTTGAGCTGAACCGGCGGGGACTTATATTTAACAACAAACGTTCCCGTCGCCGTGAAAATTGGTCACTTGACATTGACTTGACACAACTTACAATAAAAACGTCGACCTTCATCTGATAGACACTCCTTGGATAGATCGCTGAAACGAAATAATAATAGCGAACTTCGCCACAACAATTGCTTTCAGGCGTACTTGCCTTTTTCATAAAAACTAATTTCAGTCTTCTTCCAACATATCAAGCAGGGTATTTTCGGACGGTGCCTGATTAGGTACGTGAAACTAGAGGCACGAAAAACAATAATGTATAGTCTTTTGTTTTTGTTTTTGTTGCTTCAGCAACGCCTGTAAAACTAATTGTAAGCTCACAGTTGGTTCAGCTATGTAGTAGTTGCGCCAGCGCTCCAGTGGCGATGGGATGTTCAATGTTGGCGGAAGTAGAAAATAAGAAATGATCCTCCGATCCTAACAAGTATCAACAAGTAAGGCTTCTGCCACTGCGGGACCCCAAGGACCTCGATCAAAACAGATACGTCCAATCCTGCCCTTTTCCGATCCAAATCTGTCGGCCACAAAATGTCGCAACACACAATTCAACACCACCAAGTTCACCAACACTATGTCCATTACTCTGGCCCTCAGCAACCGCTCGTGCATCATCAAAGCATCGGCATCGTGCCTCAAGATACACAGCGGCAGCTCCAGCATCATCAACAACCTCAACACCAGCTGCAGCACCAGCCAGTACCGCAGGCGAGCGGCAGCGGAACGACCACAGTCTCGCCCTTAGTCGCGACGGGCGACTGGACGAAGGATCTGGTTCATTTGGCAAAGACTGCTGAGCTCAAGTACGTTAATCCTTGTGTATGTCTTCGATTTTTGTAACTTACCAGCGCGTCCTCCGTCTTTGCCTTCCAGAAAACATGCTTTGACTCTCCAACTGCATACCGCCCATATCCTTTCAGCCCATGCATCGCTTGAGCAAAAAGGAAAGGCTATCCAAGACGTCCGCGAGCAGAGGAACAAGTGAATTTTTTTCTGTCCTCCTTGACGTCTGCTCATCCCGAAAAATAGACTAGAGAGCGAGAGGACGAGGTTGCTGAACTGTTTGAGAGAGGTTAGTGGATTCTTTGTCGGTGTCGAAGATGCAAATGACTCATTTCCTGTCATAGATAAATGAAGATCGAGACAAGGCAAGCTCCTGCCTACATGACCTTTTGACGTCACGTCATGCTACCTATGTAGGCTGATCTTATGGAGTCGACACTAAACAAAGAGTACGTTCAGTGGTCACTTTTACCGCTCTCAGAAAGCTTACGTATCCCCTCGTTTACCAGATGCGACGACATGCGCAACAAAATCGCCCAGCTCACAGAGGGCGATTACGCAATAGCTAAATCTGACGTAGACCGGCTACGCCAGGAGCTTGGACAACCTCCCCTACCCACATTACAGAGCACCCTTGACGAAAAGACATCCCAGTGAGTATCTGCCGCCCTTTATTTCTGTTCTATTTCTCTCTGCGCTTTCGTGCCATCGCTTTCGGTATTTGTAACGTTGGCTCGGTTCTGTTCACTTCCTGGACACTGTTAGAGAAACAGTTTGCACGGAACGAAAAAAAGACCATCGTTAAAGATCAACACAACCTGTCATGCATGGGAAAGTGCCGGCACGTTGCATGGAAGGCAACCTCAGCGCCCGCCTATCCGGCTTTTCTATAATCCCTTGGTCTAAATTCTAGTCTATGATTTTTTAGCTTGACCGGCACTTCCTTTCGCTTCGCTTATGTCTCTCCCCACTGCCGATCATCTGTGCTAATGAACTTCATGAATCTAGATACCTTAACGAACGCCGACTGAACGGAAACGAATCACAGTCACATACGCCGACTGAGGCTCAAGGGTCTTCATCTGCGACGGGTGGAATGAAACGGAGTGCGCCTTCTAGTGCTCGTGGAGAGGAAGGTGCAGCCAAGCGGCCCAGGGGACGTCCCAAAGGAAGCAAGAACCGGAGCAAGGGAGACGCCGCTTAATTGCGCTTATCTTGATTGTCAAGCTTATCCAGCTGGCAGAGTCGCTGTATGAGCAGCTGTTTTTGTCGAAAACGAATGGAATGGAGAGGCACACGATCAACAACACACCTCTGGGCCGGGTCTGGATGCTTGTTGCAGGCACGGCGGCAGGGGAACTAACCAGATGGTGCGTTATACCGGAGTCCATGATTTATGTAGTTAGTTGTATGCATTGTTGTAACAATGATACCATGGCCAGCGATGATTTGACCCAGGGTATAATTTATTCTTGATCGCGAAACGAAGATGGTCGCGAAGAGCATACATGAAAAATGCAAGTGCTTTGAAACCGCAGTACGTGTTGCTTAAAATTAGGGTACCGCTGAGCGGGCGCCTTGAACTGCTTTTGGCTTGGCTCAATAACACTTTGAGTAGTATTCAATCTCACTCCCACACATAGCTTACCTGCTCACCAACTTTCCGCATCCATCGTGTTGAGTGTCAGGTCGGCGTACCTTTTTCTGTTCCTTCCGCGCGTCAACACGCGTTCTCGACTCGGACTCTTTGGGATAATCATCTTTCTCAATTACCGAATTCCTTTTTCGTAACATGATCTCCCATCAGTGGCTATCAGTGGCCATCATCTTTTCTTGTGCCTGACGAGGCCACCGTGAAGCTCCCACGACAAGTAAGCACACAGCTTCAAGTTAAATCAACCACATTTTTGAAGACTGTAATCCCTTTTTCGTAGAGCGAAAATCGTAAGTGACTGACAAAATCTTTCCCGGTCTATCGAATTAACGTTGACATTTATTGAAAAATGTCTTGTCTATCCAACCTTGCGTGAATGGACTTTGTTGAACAGTGGCAGTCGCCACACCATGACTTAAATTACTACGTGGCGCTCCCGCAGTACGAGCGCTCACGACACACCATATCGTCTGCTTCTAGTTGTATTTCTTTCTGTTGACTCCACACGCAATGTCAATGGGAAGTTGTGCCCGCTTCCATTCATGATTTTCCGCTGACATGTACGGATGATGTTGAGTATAGTACGTGGACCTGAGATCAACTGGCATGCATGCTGAGCCCGAGCCCGAACTTGCTCCTTATCATTATAGCTCGGTAAGAGTTCAACGTTCAACGTTCAATCCGAACTGTGAATATACACCTAAGGGTTCAAGCTTCTTTCTTTTGTGCTGAATGGAATAACGCTCAACCTGAACGATGGACCCACCACTGCTCGTGGTGTGCACACCTATACCTCAACCTCAACTTCGAAATCTAGTCGTATTGTTCTGGAAAATGCCGTTATTGTGTAGGGAAAGAAATACAAGGACGGGCGGAGGTTATTGTACTACAACAAACTTCTGAATCTGTTGTTGTTTCTCAGTATCGCTTAGGCCCTGGGAACTTTGATCAGTGCCAGGGGGTTCAAATCGAATTCACAATAGTCGGAATTGGATAGGACGACGACACACGGTGCCTCCACCAAGGGGTAATTGAAGTTAATGAATACATAGGACAATAATCTGATCATGAACCAGGCTCGGACCAGCAATTCGAGGCCAGCAACTGACCGAGGTCGGAGCACACTATTACGAACCCAACTCGACACCAATTAATTGTGCTAGAATCTAGGAAGCCGGGATAGATACACCTCGACACAACGCATCAGATCCACAAAATGCAATTAGAGCCTGGCAGATCTTCTTCATAATTACGTCGAGCCGTCGACATGTCGGCCGACTCGGGTCTGCATCAAGGATAAGGTTCTGGTTAAGGAAACGCGAGAGCCTAGTTGGTCGATGAGATGCCAAGCAAGGAGCAATAAACCCCAATGAGGGTGCCAGATCCTCGAGGAGAGGAAGGAATCTAGTACGCTGAGAAGCCTAGATGCCGGAAGATCCAGTGCCGTTCGTTCGAATCTGTCCATCCTTCCTTGTGATAAGGGGAAAATCTGGCTGGTGTAACGCATGGAGGAAGGAGCTTTGTAAACCGCTGTCCTATGGGAACTTGATGTGAGTGTTTTGACTGATGTGAGTTGGTAAATGCTGATAAATTGAGGAGAATTCCAAGATGAAAGTAAGTTGCTTGCGCCAGAGAGGGGGGTGGTAATCAGAGCACTCGTATAAAAAAACGAGTCGAAGTAGTTGCAACGAGGCGCAAGGAATCCAATTTAAAGAACATTAATCCTTCGAGGAGCGTCGCCGTCGCGTCGCGTCGCGTCAGCGGGCAACCCAGAGAAGCGAGGCGCGATCCCAAAGAAGAGGGAGGTTTGATCGCACATGAGTGCTACTCGTTGAGTTGGATCTGATCAGAAGCGCCGTCCTGGCCTGTCGACGCAGTCAGCGAGAAGTCTTCTCCTGTTATCCGTTCGGGCAAGAACGAGTCGTGGTGATGCTTTGTAGCATTTAGGAGACAGGCAAGAGCTTCCTACCCGCAGAATTCGGGTTGCGGTAGCTCGAGGTTCGAGTCGAGGGGAGGTTCACAACTGCGTTGCGAAGGGCTGGTAAAGCTCGTTCCGAGAGGCGGTCGGAATCTGGAAAAGATTTTCGGGACCTTGCCAACTGGCAACGACGGACTACGACGGAAAGGTCGGAATGAAATTTGAAGGTCGTCGGAATTCAGCGTCAAGTCATCATTTTATTCAATTGGAAAAAAAGCCGCCACAAGTTGTCTTCCGAGGTTCATCCAGATGCTCATGAATGCTCGGCGCGGACTCTATAAAATCGATATCAGAGAATAGGAAAATTTCTAACAAACATGGTCGCATCCCACTGGGGCTTAGATAGCCTTGTCACCTGTGAAATGCGAGTCAAAGGGCATGCATATGCTTTTTCATAGCAGCCGGAGCGCGACGGAATTGCAATACATAGAAATGGAACACAAATCATGCACTGCGCATGCAAGCCGAATGTCGGCCGGGAGCTTTAGGGCGACGTCACTGCCAGTGATGGCGGAGGGTCCGTAGAGGGCGGGATAAATCGGTAGTGCTTTTCCTTTGTTGAGTTCCGGATTTTCTAGATGTTCGTATTCTTTGGGGCGGATTTTACGCCTCTTGGGTAGGGGCATGTGGGTCACGCGCGGGTGTGTCGGCGTCTGCACGTAATCCGTGGAGGACTTCTGTCTACAGAGCGCCTGTCCAGTTCGACATATCAAGTCCAAGGAGAGTTTGCTGTGTTGTCCGAGGATGATATTGATTTGGAATGAATCAGCCAGACACGACTTGATGATGAGGCTGACTCGTTGCATCAGGGTTTGTCAAAGGCGCATGATGAATAATCTCTCTTTCTGGGAAAGGGCTCGGTCATCGCCCCGCATTTATGCATTTATGTGCGAGAAGTAGTACGATGATTACTCATGACTCGACGAATACGCATGCGTGGCGCCACGTACGGCATTTCCATTCATTGTGCAGAACACACGACAGTTGGTTGGCAGGGGCAATATACACGAACCAGTCGAACAAAGCAGTGAAATGTTGGAAGACGTTTAAATTTAAATTTAGAAATACGAAAACTTGACGGTGGTCTTGGCTTGGCCAGGGTAAGAGAGGTCTGCATTGTCTTGCAATTTGGGTTAGCGAGATGTTGGAAGTAGATCTGACGGGTTGTACAATGGGTGTGAGGGGTGAAAACATCAAGAAAGGGATTTCATTAGGATACTACAATGACGGCGTGTCTAAGTGTGGGCGGGGCTGTAAAACGTCTGTAATAGATTGGCATGATAATAATACATCTGGGGATGAGCACAGCAGGGCCGCAGGTGAAAGCACCTGTTATGTGCATGGCTGTCTATGCGAGAAACGATGGATGGATCAACATGATTAGATATGGGTTAAGCAGCAGCAGAGTGGATAGCTGCGGGGACAGGACGCAGCAGAGGGTCAGCAGAATAGACATATCAGCTGAGCCGAGAAGCCGCGGCACCGGGTTTCCGAGTCAAACCAGCTGGATCAGCTTTGAACTGAGCCGATGGCAGATCTTGAATCTTTGTGGGCCCCGATGGATCTTATTCTGGTTTCATAGCTCTGACTCCCTGCGATTAGGGCTGATTACACGTCCGTCGTCCTCACTCGGCTACACCTCACTCCGATTTCCTTTATATAGACGCCATCGAATCCCAATGTCTCTTACAGCCTCTGCTCCCTACATTTTTCCGACATGGCCTCTTCAGCGTCGTCCTCCACTTCCTCCTCCTCCTCCTCGAGCTCCATCCACCACGCGAGCCTCGTCGACCCTGCTAATCACTCTCCCGCTCTTCTTGAGCTCATCGACATCAAGGTTTCGCGTCCAGTCATTGGTCAGTCCATGTTCTTTTCTGCCTTTCTTTCATATACTGACTTTTCTTTTACAGAATATGTTGTTGACTGTGTAGTGGAGACCGTTGACTACGCAATGGGGCGACCATCCTCCTCCAAGCGCGGACGCTCACTAATGCACCGCCCGGAACATGCAAAGTTTTCAACTTTCGTCACAAATGTCATAACGAGGGCAGAAATAACAACACCCACGATATTGGCCGCACTTGTCTACATTGATCGTGCACGGCCGCATCTACACATCGCTTTGGAGGAGTGGGCTCTGGAGCGAGTAATTTTAGGCGCCATAATCGTTGCGTCAAAGGTGTGTTCCTGTTCATCCACTCTTTTCTCCGATGATTCCTGACTCTCTTTTGTCCAGTACCTCAACGATTCCACATTGAAAAATGTTCATTGGGCACTCTGTACAGGCGTTTTCGGCAAGAGGGACGTGGGTCGCATTGAACGCGAATATCTCGACGTCCTCAACTTTGAACTCGGCGTTTCCGAGGCGGATCTGCTGAGCCACTACCACAGTCTAATGGCAGTTGCCGTCCCCCCACCTCATTACCACCCTCGCACATCAACCTTCCCTCCCTCACCTCAACGCCACCACCGCCGTTCTTCCTCCATTCCCGAGCTCGACCCTTCAAGTCCTCACTCCTCGGGCTCATCCGATGGATCAGCGTCTCCAGCTACACCACCTACACCTATCACACCACCGCATGTCCCTGCGACGAAGTCGACGCAACACGCGCTTCCGACTAACAAGCCTTCGGGCAAGTCGTTCCAAACGACAACCCTGGATCTGCTGCGTGCATTCCCTATTCCAATACCTACACATCGGTCTGGATCTCATCCCATCCGACTATCAGCATAACCCCCCCTCTGCTCTTCTTGGTTCTTGGCTGCTATATCTCTTTCGTTCTTTTCATTTGTCATCTGCCTGTCGAGTTCGACCTACACCAAAAGCTACTACTTCTTAGAGCTGCTGATCCCACATTTATTCTTATTCCCACCCGCTATCAGGGCAAGCTTCACCTCTCTCTCTGTGTCCATGTAGTTTCCATTCCTAACGCTCGCTATCTATCATTATCGCTGTTGTTTCCGCTATTCTACCACCATCATAGTCCCCCCATCATTGCATTCCATACTTTGCATTCATCCCGTACATTCATACTTGCATTCATTACATGTGTCGATTAGCGACTCATACATCGCAATGAAAATCATTCCGGAAATTTGAATAATTTTAACCTTGGCTGAGGGTGTTTTTAGTCTTGAGACTTGGAGCAGAGCATTAATTGGGTTTCATTAAGGTGGAAATGACGCCCTAAGTTGAGTGTAATTGTGGTGACGTGAAAGCCCTGATGTCAATCATTACGAGAGTCATGATCAAGAGCTCCTCCAACACAACACGAATTCGGAAGGTGGGTGGATCAAGTCTCTCAGCGTTGCGATGACGCGAGTACCTTGAACCTGGGGCTCGACGCGGGGTCCGGAGAGCACTCGCCTTGGTAACTTGTAGCCATGGATTAGCTCAGTTTGTCATTCCACTTGTTGCCAAGTACTTATGCGCCCACCCACCGGGCTCCTACAGGCTCTTACGAAAAACGCGTGCGGTTGGGGCGGGGTGATGGCATTATTGCTTGAATTATGATCTGCGGCGGGTGTCGAAAGAGAGCCTGAATCAAGTTTGATGACGGCGTGGACAACATCAATTAAAGTTGAATTGAAGCCTGGGGCGGTGTTCGTCTGAAGGCGATTTTTGCCCGTACAGTTCAACATTCATCAAGGCGCGTACGCAACGTTTTTCTTTAGAGAACGCAAGTGCCTTTGTAGTTGAATTTCTGAGCTTGAATGGGGCGCCCTAACCATGTGGGTTATCTCTATTGCATTTTTGGATTTTTCGGACGTTGGAGGGAGCCTGAAGTGCCATCACGGCGGGTGCTTTGCGCTTTGAGGCGCGCCTTGCTTCATGAAAAAATAGTTATTGACCTCGAGGTCTTTGTGTGCGTCCCACCGGAAACCGAAATTCCCGACTTGATAAAAAAAGAGAAAGGAAAAGTGCCTGAGCGAGGGCGAACGCCAGGCGGACTCTTTCTTGGCGTATTGATTTAAATTGCAAATCCCTCCGCCCAACATTTTTATTTTTACCGACACGACAGTCTGCAGGCAGGATGCTATTTTAGATAGTAGATAAGATGTTTAGATTACTTCCTCAATATCGTACGGTCGAATTTTTCTTTTTTTCGTCAGCCTCCGAATTTCGATGGGGAAGAAAGAAAAAAAACGTCACTTGGCATGGCGAGTTGGCCACGTCGTGTATGGTACGAGCGTTGAGGCCATGATATATGATTATTAACACGTACGATAACACGAAAGTTGAACCATAGACAATCATCTGATAAAAATAAGCGAACTGACCATCGCCCGAGACCGCCCCGGCGCCCATGATTCATCCCTGATCCAATGGAGCAAATTAAATTCAATTATGAGCCAAATGGCGACGCGTCTCGATGGCGGCGGCTGCGTCGGGATCACTACCGTGAAATCGTGATATTCGGTTTCCATCATCATCCTGAGGCACGATGACCAGCCTCCGGATAAAACATGAAATCACGAGCAGAGGAGGATTTGAAGCCAGGTTTGACGAAGTGGATTTTTGGTATACATACGTGTCGAAACGTGTTGGCTACGATACGTCGCCCTGGCGGTAAAATGCCAATCGCAGTCATGACGCGTCGCCATGGAGCGCCGAGCGATTGCGTTGGGGTGCGGAATCCGCAGGTGGCAACGTGGCGCTGGTATGTAGAATTTTGCAGAAGATATCGAAGACTCATGCGTCGATTCGAAGTTAAAAAGGCAAGAATGAGCTCATTCATGATCGTCTTCTTGTCTGATTTTTTGTGTGTTTTCCGAATGTTTTCCGAGGTAGATGAATGAGTTGGATTGAAATGGGACTTGGAATGATGGGAAGCCGGATGAGTAAGCCTTTGCCGATCACCGAATATTGAGCGGGCCGGGACCATTACTGTCGTCCTGAACCAGACCTGCAGCGTCGCCATTTGACTTGGCTCGCGAGAGGCACTGCGGCTTCCGCAATGATCGATGGCTGGGCAAGAGAAAGAGAGTAATGTTGAAGAAAGTAGGTCTTGGAAGTCTTTACTCCTGACTCATCGGGGCGGCACTACAAGTTTGCGGGAAGTGTGATACTGAAGCCGCAATCGCAAGACAACCGAATAGGGCGGACGACGCTGGAGTAGGACAAAACACCGATGCGATGCGTAAACATAGGCGATAACGCACGTATGGTTCTATGTCAGGCCTTCTCGGGACAGGAAATAGCCAGACATCTCCCGGACAGGATGCTTGCTTATGAAGTACACAGAAGTATGTATACCGTCATGTGTGCATGAGGTCGAGCGGCAGACAGACCTAAGTTGAGATGATAGAAGGGAGGAGGAGAAAAGCCGGAGGATTCCTACTTGGGTCGCTGTAATGGAAGATGCTTGTACTAGACGCTTCGTTCGAATACGGAAGAAGAAGTCCAGAAACGGATTCCGCACAATTGATAAGTCGATTGCAACCACTGTTCATTCGAGGTTTCGGTTAGAAGGAAAGCGAGTGACATAATGGATTTAAAGGGGAGGAGAACTCGGAGAGGAGATGCGCTGGATGCCGCGCTGATCGCGGTATGACAGACAACTTGACAAGCCTTGTTAGTTGTGCTGTGGGGCGTCGATTGTACAGGTTAGGCTGGCAAACCTACGGCCGACCGGTTATCGATTGCCCAGTGCCCTGTTCCCGTGTCCACAACGCCGATAAGTCACTCGTTCGATTCGATGAACTTAAGAGTGTCATTAGAATTGTCGCCGTTGTGAACTTGAAAGTTATCGTTCAAGTAGGTTCAAGTTGTAGCTGTTCTTCGCGCATCACATGATCGCTTCCTCTACCTCAGCCTCCAAACTCCGGTTACGGGTCTGTACTTGCATAAATCCTATTCTGTGTATGTACCTTGCTGGAAGTGTCTATTGTTGAAGATTCCATTTGGGTGAATTGTGAATGGCTGAGGGAGGCGGCCAGGTCTTTGAATGTACCTTAATTTGGACCTGGCAGGTCACGATGCTACGGCTGAGAAACTCAAAGCTCTTCTGGACCTTATCCATCTCACCCGTACCTTTCAAACCACCGCCGCACCATAAACCATCCAGCTCAGCTTTTACGAAATAGGTACCGTCAAGGTCACTAGGTCGCTCCAGAAAAGGGTTACGTATACTGCGTGGATACTCATTCCAAGTTCACTCCTGTCAAGTTCCGGGTTGCTGATAATCGATACGACACTGGAAGCTGCGATAAGGCGACTACGACATTGGATGGCTATTGGCAGGGCGTACTTCATCTTTCATTATGCAAGGATGACATTGAGTGGCTCTACTACGGCCCCGCGACGCCCTGTGATCAAGTCATTTACCATCGATTCTGATCCTCCCCCACAAACTCTCTGGCTTGTCCTGATGTGGCTCGATTGACTCGACATTTGCAAATCTAGCTTCACTATATCAAGTCCAAGTCGCGATCGAGCCGTAATCAGCACACTGGGACCGAGAAGATCATCGCGGCTGAGCCTAAACTCCCCAACGCTTGGAGATGCATTAGGCTGTACAGGCGACCTATTAGCAGAGGAATACCGTCAGGAGTAACTTGACATTTTGTGGCCCTTGCGTCGTTTGGAGGTCGAACAATCGACAAAGCTGCCAAAATTCTCAAAGTTCACTATATTCTGCACATCGAAATCCTTCTCTCTTCGAGACGGCCAGGAGAGTTTTATCATGGGTATGTCTGTTTTTCTGGATGAATGTGCGTCATTCCACGTCTAAATTCAGGGTGTTCGGAGTGTTCCTAGATGAACTAAAGTGCACATTTATCGGAATTGACCATTTATTCGTTTTGCGTTCAGGATTCACGCCTTTATCGTGCATTTGTTCAGAAGTTAACGATGTAGATGGCACATCGATCAGCTTACAGTTTACTGCTCTAACGGGAATGGACGGATTGCACTGCGTTTGGTCTTCGTCCTTCCCAATACAATTGCATTTTGACGCCACAAGACGAATGAATTGTTGAAATTTACATGTCTATGTAGGTGCTCTACCGATATCCTACCTCTGCACAATAACGTCGATGGGTACTATGTAGCTCCTAATATCATTATTGGCATGATCTCATAAATTACTAGGCCGCTAGATTTTTAATATCAGCAACGCAAACCTCGAATCTAGTACTAGTGAGAGGCGAGAAGCAGACGATATATCAAAGGCGCTTCGTACTAGCGCCCCGACCAACGCGACAAGATAACAGCACACGGGCCCCAGTGTAGTCGTAAACTCTCAGTAGCACCGAAGGTTTGGTCAAGCTCCGGGGAAGTGAAGAGATACACATTACGGCCTACTGCGGTATTCGCGTTAACTAGAGCAGGTGAGGTGATAATCAAAACGCGCACGTCGGTAATCCATTCTGGCACGCGTCGATGACGATCATCTACCGCTGCGATGTAAAATTTAGCTGACTGGACGACGAACTGGTTCGGGATCTTCGTGATTCGCAAATACTTAGTCATTTATTTGGCTAAGTTATGCGATCCAAACACACTCTGCCATTCCCGCACACATTCCAGACATGATCGTAAAATTTCCATATTCTTTCGTTCATATATACAAGTTTCAAAAATGTGCCATCCACGTCCGAAACTTGCCGATTTGGAGGTTGTTTTAGGCGCAGAAGAAGTTTTCATATGTGACCCCTGAATGTCGCGTTTGAACTGAAGTTGGTGAACGTTCTTCAACAACACCCTCACGCCTGCCGATACCCCATTTCTCAACATTACATTACACGAGGCGCCGCATCGCATATCCGTGCGCCACACAGTAGAGTCTCGTTCGGACCACGCACCGAAAGCGAAAAAACCATCTCCGAAACACCGGTGACATGTAGAAATCCTCAGTACCCTAAAATTCCTTGAAGCTTATACCTCTAGATCCATTGAAGGTGACTTGTGTCTGGGTCGCGATTCCCTTAAATCGAATAGCTCCGGTGTATACGGCTCGATCGTATTCTTGTTCCTAACTGAAAGCGCCGAGCTGTCTTGTGAAGAAATTTTCAAGCAACGGTGTTGCTGGGGTGACGAGGGAAGTTGTAACACCTGAGACTACGAATTAGTGTTTACATTACAGCGGCTTACCTGTGGTTATTCCTGGCCCTTCAGCTGCGCAGGTAGATCATGGAATCGAATGGCCGATAGTATCTTGTTGCACCTCTTTTTCTTTTTAAGGCGAAAAGGGTTGCCCAAAGTTCTTCAAATTTGAAGCGCCCAACTGCCAATCCACTGATGTCAGTGAAAATTCCATCACCTCGTGCTTTGGGCGTGTTGTGGCTGTTGAGGAGTAAAGCCCGCCTATACAGAAAATTTAGACGTAGAAGGAGTAGTTGTGCTTCTTGAAATTGATTGGCCAGAATGGGGACGCGAACCACGTAGATGAATCGTTCGTATGGCTTGCCACCAGACCTCGTCGGGGTAAACGTATCGCCTGCCAAGGCTCAGTGAGATTCGAACCTTGGATGAAATCCCGGTTCTAGATGTAAGAAGTCACTCAAACTGTAGCGGTTCATTATCGTCGTGTGGGATTGCCCGTTGGAGAAGTCGATACCGTCGTCACTAGAAACCTACATCCAAAGAATTGGCGGGCATCTTGGCCATGTGCAGTGACTACGACGACTGACACGGATAGAGTTCGGATCGTGCGGGCTTCTTTCTTCGACTGTCTCCCACTGTATTTGATATCCACGGGCCGGGATAAATATAAGTCATAAGACTGTACAACGAGATAGTTGTCGTCCAAAACCAGAAAGTAGCACTTCACTAGCGGTCCGCCATCATAGAACATCCAGTGGAAAATCGAGTCTCTAAGTCGAGAAGGATCGAGGAGTGGCGCCCAGGTAGACGTCGAGGTCCGCCGCTCCGTGACATAATTAAAGCGCTTGAATGGTGTTCTGATAGAAGGTTGTCGTAGGACGCGCGTTCAAGCCGACCAGGCTCATAGAGTGACATCCAGAAAGTTGGTTGACGGGCCAATGATGCTTGAAGCAGATAGGCTGGGAGAGAAAAATAAACGAGATTGGCTAAGAGATGCAATATATATAGGTTGATTCAACCTTTCGTACGCCGTCCCAGTCAAACCTCTAGTCGGATGGTTCTCTGCGCAGCTCCAGTGGCGAAGAAACTGAGGAGGAGGTTTACAGCAGCGTGATGTGACGGGTGACGCGGCCATGTCACCCTCGGACTCACACAGGCCCACATTTCCAACAACCTCTCTATTCTTCGACTCATCCACTGCTGAGACCGTCGACGACCGCAACGTCAATGGCGACGTCGTTCGCCGCGTTTGCCTCGCAGTATCTTAATAAACCATCTCAGCATGAGTCAACCTCCTCTCAACCCATGTTCTTCTCCTTCAGCACGGACGACGGATCTAGAGTGGGCCATGGACACGAAACCGATCTTGACGACCTTGACGACCCACATTTGCGAGCAAGTGAAGCCAGTATAGCACCCCCCACAATTCGCGACGATGACGATGATCCATATCTACGGCTGGACGAAGATGAACATATCAGTCGCTTGGGGTTCACATCCCGAAATCATCAACAATCTATACCGCTCATTGCGTCTCCAAATGCGTCGGTGGCCTCGGAATCACCGAAGGGTTGGCTAGCTCATCTGGCTGCGTCGCCCTTGGTAGGACGCTCTCCATCACCTGCTCGGTCCGATTCCACTGACTCGGACCCACCACCGGAATTATTCGCCCCCACTGCCCCTCGTACACATACGAACGTACTTCCACCACCTCCAACACATATAGAACCCCAGTCCCTCTCACTGACGGAGTCATTACTGCCTAGAGACGGCCGCAGTCGACCGCTTGATGTATTCACGCTCCCCGATCCTCGTCACACTACCAGAGGTCGACGGAAATACAATGATTCAACATGGACCGCTGTCTGGTTAACAGGCGTCTCTGTTTGTGTATTTTTTGCCCTCCTTCTTCTCTTCGTGGCCCGCTTGCCGCCTAATGTCCCGAGGAGTGTGCTGCCATACACGACCCTGTTACACACGGTGCCGATGTTGACAATCCTTACTTTTTCAAGTGCGTTGGTGGCTTATGCACACATCTTCCTGCTGCGTGTATTTGTACGTCCGGTTATGATTGCCACTTCGGTATTTATTCCTGCCACACTATTTATTTCTGCGATATGGGCTTTCGTGGGGAGCTTCATGTGGGATGGGGATACAGTGCCTACTTGGGGAGAAACAGTAGGGTGAGTTACTCCTATTTTATAATTGCTGCCTATCCAAAGGTGTAGGGATAAACCGATGCCATATGTTGTCCCAAATCTGCACCTCGTTACGCACTCAGATCAATCCCGTGCATTCATATCAAAGTCACGATTGCTCATAATCTCGATGTTTACTGACCCCTTCTCTTCAGACTTCGACTATTTTCCCTGATTCCGCTCGCCCTCTCGCTCCTCACCGCTCGGCGGCTTGTCGACCTACCTCGGGACATTCACACGACTTCATCAACTCTCACACTTACCACTCACCTCCTTATCATGAATCCTTTCCTTCTTGCTCTGTCACCAGCTATCCTCCTTATTATGTTGATCTCCTCAATCCCGTTCCTCACCCTCATTTTCCGCTTACTCCTTATTGGCTACGCGACTCAGCCCACGAAAGATAGTTCGCGCTGGGAATGGCATGCTCACGGATGGGCTAATTGGGCTATTTTTGGTGCTGTGGGTGTCTGGCTTTGGAGTTGGGGTGTCGCGAGGGGTATCATGAGAATGTCGTGTTCCAGCGTTATTGGAGCTTGGTACTTTGCAGAGTCAGTGATGCTTTCCTCTTCTCTTTATCGTTTGTATTGATGTCTCCTTTAATTAGTCCTGATGCTCAACCCCCTCCCCCCATGTCGACCCATACAATCCACGCAGCTCTTGTACGCGCTACGGGGCCGTCCCTTGGGACTACAGTTCTCTCTGCCATGATATTGACTATCATTCGTCTGCTCACGCTCGTTGCCCTCTTTCTTCAACGTCTACCTGCGTATATCCCAGCCAGAGCCTTCTTTGTCGTGACTGGTATCCGTATGGCAGTAGGGTACCTCGACACGGTGACCACTGCGTTGAGCAAGTACGCTTTGGTATATACGGGTTTGACTGGCGATCCTTTCATGCCTAGTGCAAGGAGGGCCAAGGCTTTGACTGCTGCAGTTGAAGCGAAGGTAAAACATGGAAAGAGGAAATCCAGTGCCGAACGTAAGTCTTTCGTTGCCTGTGTCCATTAACTCATCCTCTGATCACCTTGTCCAGCCCCACTCATGCTTCTCACGATATCACCATTGACGTTGTCCTTTCCGTTCGCACTGACAACGTACCTCTTTGTGGCCCACACCTTGAACGCGCCTCAGCAGGCCTTGGGTGCTGCTGTCCTGGCTGGAGGTGTGACTGCTCTTGTTGGGTTGTTCTGTGTTGGGTTGGTGAAAGATACGTGAGTGTAGCAATCAAATTTCACCGAAGTGTGCTTACTCTATCAGTGCTGATACTCTATACATCTGTTATTGCATTGATAAAGATGTCGGCGAGAGGAGAAGGGAGGAGGTATTTGTCACTGTACGTATTCGTTTCCAGTTCTGCGACTTCTAACTGATAGATTTCTGGATTCGCTAGTTTGAATATGAGCCTGGAGGACAGCAACGCCGTTCACGTCCACGACAACCTGAGGACATCATTCCCCTGCCCCCACAGTCCCCTCCACCTCGTGCTATTGACAACCAACTACCCTTTAATCCGCCAAATTCCCAAAAACCACGACAGCAACACAAACGAGTTCCTTCTTACCCCGAACCCCGTCAACCGAGACAACAACTCATTCCTTCAGCTTCCACATCCCTCCCTTCACAACGTCTCACGCCTTTATCTCCCCCGCCTCCAATGGTGGAGGAGGACGCTCCTGATCCGTTCCAAAGGAGCTTCGTGGATGACGAGGAAGATGGAGATCTTCCGCCTCTGCATTTACGTCGCGAGGGTACGAGTGGTGGGGAGAGAATGTTGACAAGTGCAGAGCTGAACATGAAAAGCCATCTAATGGAGTCGCGTCCCTATTCGACGTCTTCTAGGTCAGATCAGGGGAGGAGTGGGAGCGGGAGTGGAGTGAGTAGAAGTAGGAAGGAACCGGACAGTTTGAGTGATAGTGAGGTTGAAGGTGAAGGCGAGGGGGGGTCACAGTATTTCCCTGGTTCTGGATTTTTCTAGGCGTCATCTCATTGCATTGTTATATGGTTCCCACATTTTCTTGGACCTTAGTTCACAATCACCATCGCATTGCAATGCTTCCTCTGCATTCACCGTAGATCTTGACAGTCACAACCCACACCGTTACTTATGTCCATCGCTATTATCCTGGTCCACTCTTTAGCCTGCTTTTACTGTGTATATATAAGCTATTATCATATTCCTTACACTGGGGTGGACAACACATTCAATTATGCCTGGCTAATGCGGAGACTTTGAAAATCTAGTTACGCCCTGCAACTGAACGCTCCCCAGCTTAAATGTTTTAGTCGAACAAAACTTCTCAGCAAAGCTTCCTGTCAAGACACAACTTGGGGTAATTGTTAACGTTGGCATCTTGACAACATTCGCTGTGCGTCAAATGTTCCAGCTGATGGCCGCGGCGGTGGCGCCATCCACATCGACACACTCCTCATCTCATTTCAAAGAGAAAGGGGATATCAAGCTGGGTGCAGCAAGTTGGTCCACCTTCCTCTCGAGGCGGCAGGCTGGCTCACTGCCATTGATTTGCAACTTCAAAAAGGTATCATCATCCCGAGTAGTACATTCTCAGAAAACTCCCGGAGGAGACATCAGCCGCCTACTTCAAGTTGATGTGTATTTTTGCGAAACTGATTGATGAAGACGGAAATCTGGTGCGTAAGACATTGAACTTTACAACTTGCTGCGACGAAGTGGACAGGTGACCACTGGGTCCTGAAATAAGCGCCGTTGCTGCTGCCATCAGCGTGAGGCAGGCATTGGATGGAACGTCGATCGTTGATGGTGTCAAATATAAGTGGTATTTGCGTTGTGGGAGAGAGTTGAACGAATTGTCGTACGGCGCCCGAAAGCTGTTCCCTCAAATGCCAGTTACCCCACAAGTTGGGACTTGTGCTCAAACAACCGAATTAGGAGGGAAAGGGTTGAGTTTTTGGCTAAGGCCGAGCGCCGCGGAATCTGCCCTCGAACAAGGGTCGAGGACGAAAGAGAGATAGATTGGGCGGATGGAGTGCGGTTGTGATCAACATGTACACAGGGCGATTAAAAGGCGATAGTCGATAGTTCCTTGCTGGGATGGTGGGTTTGGCTACATGAGCGCTATGCGGGTTTTGGGCTTCTGGGAATGTCCTTGATATGACGGTGCTAAGGTTGGCTATAGCCTATTGAACGGAACCCAGGAGGGTGCAGGGTACGATCTCCCCCGTTGCCAATGTTTCAGAAACATGAAAGGCAAGTTGTTCACAGATAAGGCAACCTCAACCACTCCATGTGGGAAAACAGTTGCGTCAGTAATAGTCCACGATTCTCTGTCCCTATGGTAGTGGGCAGCAGTGAATGTCAAACATTCCTATTATGATCAAGTTCTTCAGTGATCACATATAAGCTCATTTTATGACGATCCAGCTCGTTGACAGAACAGAACAGACCTCCGGCTTTGAAACACAACGACAGAGAAGTTTGATTGATGTATGCAGAAAGAAACACAGGTACGGCGGATAGGCTAGCGCTGTATAAGCGAGTTGATCTTGAAGAATGGATGGATAGGGTGTCATGAGATTGGACCATTGCCCAAAAAGTCATTTAAGCCACCATTGACGTTGTTGTGGGCTTATCAACTATGATCTGAGCTGGCGTTCACCGAGAAGTTGACTTGATAACGCCGCATCCAAGACACCAGTCACCATCGTATAGAGCCGCAATCTGCCCGGGGGTGACTGCTTTCTCGGGCTCGTCGGCCGTTACGATGAGGTCGCCAGTTTCGGCTCTTGAATCTACCTCAGCAGAAGCTTTTAACGAAGGAAAAGGAGACTGACTTTCGGACGGTGCTTGGGACGGAGTGCATTCGATAACGATGCATGAGATCAACCCGGAATCCTTGAGGTGTACTTAGGTCTGGCGGGATCGCGTCGTTCCATATCCAGGTGAAGTCGGAGACGCGTAGAGTGTTTGAGTAGAGATCTTCGTGGTCACTGGTCCATCACACAACGTTAGTATAACTATGTAAATGGAAGAAATGAACAAGTGTCACCTTCCAGGAACAACGTAGATAGTATTAGAGAGTTGATCTTTCGATGACACAAACATCCGTTCCTTCATACCAGGAATACGTGCATTCTCTCCAAGAGTGAACGTCCAAAGACCCGCATGCTGCATAAGAGTCTTTCCAGACACTTGATCAACTACAGGTCCAGGGTTTGGCGGTATATACGACGCTAGCAAACGTATCAGCGTATGTACCATCACAAAGAAGCATGGCACATACATAAAAAGTTGCTAAACTTCGCTTTTTCGCCTACGAAGCATATCCCTACGCTATCTGGGCGTTCAGCAGTGTGTAGCTGGTGTTTCCTGGCGAGTTCGCGTACTTCGGACTTTTGGAGATGTCCGATGGGGAAGAGGGCGCGGCTGAGGCCTTCTTCGGATATTGAGGAGAGGTAGTAGGTTTGGTCTTTCCCGCGGTCGGATGGGCGGAGGAGTTTGGGACGGGGACGTGTGTGGGGGGAGTTTGGAGTGGTTGACCATGATTTCCTGGCATAGTGTCCTGTTTTCATCCGTGCAAGGGAGGGGGGTGAAAGAGGAGAGTTGGAACGAACCTGTGGCGATCCATGGCTTTTTATTTGAGGTGGTTGGTGCTGGTAAGCGTTCGAGGAGTGCACCAAACTTGATTTCTCTGCGAGGAGTGTAAGCGGAGTATGCTTATAAAGTGGCATAGCCAACCTGTTGCACCACACATCTGTGTTCGGGGTAACCCCCGACTCCCATTGCTTTAACGAGGGTTCAAACACTCTATTCCAATACTCCTGGGACAGGTCGATCTAAAAGACGCGTTAGATTTGGGTGATAGTGTGTCCAGGTCACGTACCATTTGACAAGGCAAATCGAGCTTCTTACAGACGCGTTGAACGTCTTCCCAGTCCTTCTCCCACTCGCAGCCTTTATCGGTGCCTGATTCGTCTCCGGTGTCCCAGTTGCGCATAAACACTGCGGAGAGGTCGTAGTCCTGCAAGAGTCAAAAACCGTTCGTAACGTATGGGCTGAGGAGCGTATTCACCTGTTGTGCTAAAAGGAACGCGGCGACGGAGGAATCCACTCCACCAGACATGCCAACAACCACTGATGAAGACTGGGTTTAGTCAAATCTCGCAGAGCTAGTTGGAAGGCACCTTTGTCTCCTTTACATGGCTCATTCTCAGAAACATTCGTCGCAAATGAACGACCAAAATACTTGCTAACGGATCTGCGAGGACAATTTCTAGTAGCTGCCTTCCACGAGGATAGCATGCGATGCAAGCCGTGGCCAAACACGACCAAGCGCGTCGCTGTTGGGTGGCGTTTTTTTCGCACGCCTGCCGCTCTTGTGTGTTCAAGTGTGTCTTCCTGAATTCAATCCACCGACCAGCCACTATGCCGACCTCTGCACGCAAGAGCAGCGTCGGTGTAGCACGAAGGGGCCCCATCAAAGCCCACTTACCCTACCGAGGCGACCAGTCTGAAGTGGGCAAGAAAACCGGTCTTACAATCCCACAAGTCGAGCGCCATTCCGATGGGTTTGAGCCGTTTGAGGAGGTCTTGAGGCGGATGGACGGTCTGGCGCCCCCTAAGCCTAAGAGGAAGAAGAGCATTGCTCCTGTTGTTAATCCGGAGTATGATGAAGAGGATGGGGAGATGTCGATGCAGCTTGATAGTACGTCCCTCTTGTGTTGGGTTGATTGATTGGGCTGAGCTGAGCTGAAATGATGATGCAGGCCCTGTTAATAATTTGGCTAGCATGCGGCCGCCGAGTACGCCAGCGACGGTGAAGCGCGTAGGGTCGACGAGCCGCCCCGTGGCGCGTACCTCTGATGTTGACTTTGACCGTATCCCGTCCCCGAAGGTCCGGTCGCAATCGAGGGCGAGTTACGGTGCTGGTCCATCGAGCCTCTCAAAGTCGGTCAGCCGACGCGATGTAGAGCCTGAATCTGATTCGCCAGATGAAGGCGGGGGTTATGATGACGGTGGTCAGGATAATGCTGACTTGGACGTGGATGACGGGAATGGTGGTGGCTTTGATTTTGATGACTATGGACCTCAGGAGTCATCCCCCAGCAGTCGACGAACGCCGAAGCAGACTAGTTTCACGCAGATGGACCAGGACGATGACGAAGAGGAGGGAGAGGAGGAAGATGAGCCACCCGAGGAGACACCTACGAAGAATAAGCGTGATAAGGGGAAGGGCAGGGCTGTTGAAGTTGAAGAAGAGGAACAGGACGATGAGGATGTGGAGGATGATATTGCGAATGGGTTGGAGGATGTTGATCAGGAACAGTTTTCGGATGATGAAGAGGAAGAAGAGGAGCCTGAGGTCAGGCCAAAAGGCAAGAAAGTGAGGCTGTCAGAAGCTAAACCTCGGACAGAGACACGGAGTAGAGGGAAGAAAGAGAATAAACGTCAGTTCTTTCTAATTACACCACTCAACCTGCTAACCAGGTGTTTGCTAGCTTATCGCGAAGGAGTGCGGAAAAGCGCTCGTGAACACTATAAGCCTCTAGAGTGGTGGCGAGGCGAAAAACTTGTCTATGGCCGGAGTGAAGACCGCGGGTCCAAAATCCTCGTCCCACAGATCCGCGAAATTGTGCGGATACCCAAGGAAGTTCCATTGCCGCTGGGTACGCTGGGTAAGCGGAAAAGGAGGGCACGTAGTAAGAGTGCGAAAGACGCGTCCGCGACACCTGCCCCTGCCCCTGCTGTTGCTCTAAACCCCGAAGAAGGCTGGGACGAAGACACACCGGATAGCTGTCCAGTACTTGTGTATGGCGCGGACAATCTGGAGCCCGTTACCCGACGTCAGTCTTTTGCTTTTACAAATGGTTTTCCAACTAAACTGAATGTGTAGGCATTGCATGGACCGCGAAGATGGTCAAAACTAGGCCTGCTGCGAACGCCGATTGGTCATTTGACAAAATATTTGGAGATGGAGACTTTCTCGCTGCTGGACACCTGGTCATTCCTCCGCATGGGCGTAAGCCTAGTAAAGCCTCAAAGGACAATACATATGTGAGTTCCATAATGCCTTCTACATCTACATTCTGTCTGATCTCGCACGTTCTACCACTAGGTCTTCTACGTCGTTGAGGGTGCGGTCAACTTGAAGATACACGATACCTCATTGATCCTCGCAACAGGGGGAATGTTCATGGTTCCCCGTGGTACGTTTCCCTTCCCTTTTACTCTTTCACACTTACAGCGTGTCTAATATCTCATTATCATCAAGGCAACACCTATTTCATTGAAAACATCTCCAACCGTGACGCCAAACTCTTTTTCACGCAAGCCAGGAAAGTCGCTGCCAGCCAGGAGGAGGTGGAAAATGAAGCAAGGCAAGCGGCGGCGAAGAGGGCGTTGCGTTCGTCAAGTGCTGGGCCTATGGGAACGCCAGGACAGGCTAATGGGAGAGCGCGCTCGAGAACGGCGCCTGTGGCTAGGGCTGCATCTACTAAGATGTGAGCACTGAGTTTTGAATAATGGGTGGTTAGGTTATTTCATTCTTTATCGTTATGTTGGTGGCATTTGTATATTTTCCTTTTTATCGCGATGCTTCACCATGTGTCTACCAAGTCTATCCCTCATTGCTCGGATAAATGTTTTGACGTGTTGTGGTTGTGATAAAATAACAACCTTTGGATTCCCTTCATCCCAGTCATCTCCACGCCATCAGCTCTCATCGCGCACAAAAGGGGACCAACGACAGTTTACGCTCACGCAAGCAACGGTGACATTACATTTCTTGTTTTTGCAGACAAGGAACCACTGGTAAAAACTGCAGACTCACGAGACTGACTCTGAGCACGACAAGACTCCAACGACCACGGTTATAACGGACATTCGGCACTACTCGAGGATTCAATTTCGGTTCTTCTGATACGTACTTACTAGACAACCGTACGTGTTGAATGAATTACGCTCAATGTTCCCACCTTACGAATTTTTTGACAGCTGCAACCTTGACCTGACCTTTTTTTCCCCCAATATCTCGGCCCATGGCAAGCCCACATCCTCCTTACTCACATCCGGGGCCAGGCGGACCTTCGTCGTATTACCAACCTTCACCCCCGCCCTCCCACCACGTCTACGGCTCCCACAGTCCAGGTCCAGGCCCCAACTATCAATACCAGTACCCTCCTCCACCCCCAACCCACATGGGGCCTCATCATCCCGGTGGATACCCGCAACCGGCTCCTTCTCGCTCGACAGCACGCGGGGGCTCGTATTCAAGGGCAGTCCATAACTACCACGGGTATCACCAACAACCACACCATCAATCCTACTCGAATCCGCACCCTATTCATGCACCCCATCCGCAACCTCCTCCCCCACAACACGGCCCTTACTCGCCACATCCAACAAAATACAATCAGCCGTATCCACCCTCGTACGCTTACCCACACCCACCACCTCAAGCCACGTATTCTCCCTCGTGGCAATCGTCCCAGCCTCTGTCGCCTCTTCCAAAACAATTGACCATGCCTCCTCCCCAAAATGTTCTATCTGGGTATAGCGAGCCGCCCCCGGCTCAACAATCTGAACCTGTAGCTGCTATTGAGACGCCAGCTGTCAAAACCCCGAAATCAGCTGAAATTTCAATAGAACCCATTCCTGCTGTTGAGCCAGAAGAACACGGTAAACCACCACCTGCACCTTCCTCTCCTCCTCCTCCTTCCTCTTCGCCTGTCTTACCTCAATCTTCCTCTTATTCCCATGTGGGAACTATCAACACTTTTGACCCACTTACCTCCGCAGCTCCCCCGCATCCGCCAACCGAATCACCTTCAAACCAACCCTCATCTCCCCCTCCCGCCTCTGTGACATCTATGGCGCCCTGGGCCATCTGGTCGCGCAGACCTCAGGACCCTTCACTCGCACCTAGCATCATCATATCTCCCCGTGCACGTCCCCCACCTGAGATTGTAGAACGAGCGCTCAACCTGAGAACACCTCCGCCTTCTCCGCCAGTTTCCCCCTTGGCTACTACTAAAAAAGTTCTTCCACCAGCAGTTTCTACTGTTGAAGAAGAAGAGGCGGAAAAAGAGTCTTTACCAGAACAAAGTGTGGATGAGGAACCTGTATCGACGGCTGCTTGGTCCTCTGAGACGAATTCGACTGTTCCCTCTTATGCCGCTACGGAGACGACGTATACGCCTACCGTACCTGGCTCTCCTTCTACCACCAACACTTCCGTTTCTGTGGCAGGTACACCAGCCAAAGAAGCTGGAGCGAAGTTGGCTCCTGAAACTGCCAACGGTGTCGTTGAAGAACCTGATTCGAAGGCACCAGCTGCCCTTGATGCCCCTTTGTTGGTTGAAGAGGCCGCCCCAAGTCAGGCTACACCAGAACCAGCGCCTGCTGCAGCTACACCAGCAATCCCACCTCCCAAAAAATCATGGGCGTCCCTCCTCCGTCCAGCATCCTCCACATCCACACCAACACACACCAAAAACGCGCTACCCACCTCCTCCGTCGTCGGTTTCTCCATCCCCGCCGAGGCTTCATCATCACCAGCAGGCACCTCATCAACCGCACCTCCAAGCACCATCACAACTCAACAACAGCCCGTCCTCAAATCCGAATTGGTAGCACTCTTGACACACAACCCAACGAGCACACTGAGCAGTGCGCGTATCCGCTCCCGAGGGCTCGTGAACAGCGGGAACATGTGTTTTGCGAATTCGGTGCTGCAGATCCTTGTGTATTGTGCGCCGTTTTATCAGTTGTTTGGTGAGCTTGGGAGGGTTATGCCTGAGCCTGTTGTTGGGAAGGAGAGTCAGAGTCAGAAGGAGCAGCCGTTGGTGGCTGCGACTGTGGCGTTTTTGAAGGAGTTTAAGGGGAAGGATGTTGTTGGGGCAGGTGGTGCGAGGAATGGGAGCGTTGGGAGGAAGGGGAAGGAGAGGGAGGAGAGGGAGCAGTTGGATGATTGGGATGGTGATTCGTTTTTGCCGAGTTATGTTTATGATGCGATGAAGGAGAAGAAGAGGTTTGATAATATGCGGGTTTGTTTTCCCTTTCTTCTTCCCCCCTTCTTTTTGGACTGGACTGATTTGATGCGCTAGGGCGGACATCAGGAAGACGCGGAAGAGTTCCTTGGGTTTTATTTGGATACCCTGGAAGAAGAGTTGCTTTCGATATTGCATTCTGTTAGCCCGTCACGGCAAAAAGCTGCGCCTGCTCCTGTGGAGGAGAAGGAAGAAGCTGCGCCTCCTGAGCAGGATGGGTGGTTGGAGGTCGGGAAGAGGAACAGGACGGTTGTTACGAGGACGGTGGGTTTTTTGTCATGGTTGCGGACATGGAATATCGCACTAAGACAACTTTTTCTTTCTTTCTTACAGATAAAAGCTACGGAATCACCGATAACGCGGATATTTGGTGGAAAGTTCAGGTCGACGTTACGTGCCCCACGACAAAAGGATTCTGTCATTGTAGAGGACTGGCGGTCCCTACGGCTTGATATCCAAGTAACGTTTTATCTTTCTAGTACCTCAGCAGATTCTAAAATGTTTGTTCTGCTAGCGTGAACAAATTCATACAATCCAAGACGCGCTCTCCTATATTTCACATCCCCAACCCGTTCAAGTGACGCACCCGTCGCAGCCTGGCATCACCATCGACGCAACGCAACAAGTCCTCATTGATGCGCTCCCACCGATTTTGATATTGCATATTAAGCGGTTCTGTTATGATACGACTGTTGGTGGGGTGGTCAAGGTCGGCAAACAAGTGCTTTTTGGGCCAGAGTTGGAAATCGGGCCTGGTAAGTTTTCGAGGGCTTTGGACCTTTTTGGTTTTTTGTTGACTGGCGGCTTGATTAGATTTGATGTCGACGACGGTACGGAAATCGCATCCTACGAAGTATAAGCTCTTTGGGGGTACGTCAAACCGCGCCTTTTCTCTTCTCAATTTTCAGTAACTAATGCGATAAACCCATATAGCCCTCTACCACCACGGCCACTCCGCGTCAGGGGGGCACTATACCCTGGACGTCCTCCACCCCAACCGATACCCTGGCGCCACCAAGTCGCGAGAGGGGTGGGTGCGCATTGACGATGAGTTGGTGTCGGATGTGAGGTATGAGGATGTGTTTGGGGTTTCGGAGAGGGATGATTCGCGGTGTGCGTATTTGTTGTTTTATAGACGGATTTGAGGGTAGGCCTTCCTTATTAGATAGGGTAATGAGGATTTTGGAGTTTAATACAATTTAGTTTGGGATTGGGTGTGGACCGTCGCTGTGAAAAGTCGAGGCTATTTGGCAGTACTACAAGCATCCGCACTTTTACTTGTTCCTATGATAACGTATACGGAGTTACTCAGAGCACAGGTCAAGCAACGTCCTGGAAGCAATCTGAAAGGTCCAACCTCAACTTCTCTTGTAACGCTCGAATGGCTTTCAGGCCTTCGAGAGCACAGGGTCTTGTCATGCCATTCAGGGCAGTAGCTGCGTATTCTGATATCTTTACGAATTGACCCTCCAGCAGCTGCAGTCTTCCTAACAGGTCCAGGGGGTGCAATGAGTTGGCAGCTGGAATTGTGTCAGAGTCAGAAATTCCACCCGCGAATAGATTCCCCCAACACGATGCCAAACTACGGCGACATGTTTGCGCTCCATAGCAATTATGGAACTGGGGTGGTGACCCTAACAGGCCTCGAGAAAGCTCAAAAAGCGCATGATGTCCTGATAATAAAGTAATCCGCTGCTCCCTGGAAAGATTCGGTTTCAGATCCCAGGCTTGTCTCCCTTTGATCATAATGGCGTAGTATGCTGACGCCCGGAGATGGCGCAGTCCAAGGAGTTCCGCAACGCGGATTGCGGTCTCTGCATAATCTCCGTGGCCTAGAAGTAGCTCCCATCCTGCCATGGTCTTCTTGAACAAAGGCTGATCCTCACTGGTGCAGAGCACGGCAACTTTGGTCAAGTTCTCGAGGATTTCGGGAGATAATGGTTCAAACGAGGGCCCATCAAGTTCTGAAGGAATGGGTTGTTGGGAAACAGAAGTGAGATATAAAGTGAGAATTTCGAGGGCCCACTTTTCGGTTGAGATAAAGTTGTATTTGTGGGTTACTCGAGCGAGGTTCATGAACTTGATCGTATCGATGTTTTCCGGTCTCGTTGCATCGAAAATATCACTTGGCCTGAGCCGACCCGTAGAAGGAATTCCTCAATCAATGGCCTATAGGAACCAAAAGGAGATATTGAACTTACAGCGCGTAAAAAGACCAAAGCAAAGCTCGAAACTCGTCCACCGTATCTCCCTGCAAATGGATGGGATGTTTATCGCAGACGCCCTCGCCGTCAGGCACCGCTTTCAAGTTGCCGCTGTCTTTGAATTCCCGGTGGCTGTCAACACCTAGCAAGAACATATCCTGGAACGTCGAGCCATCCCTGGTCAGAGCCGACTGGTGTACCTGCAGGAGCGCTCTCCGTCATCTATTCACATTGGCTGAAGAAAATACAGCGACACACGTTGAATAAGGTCGATTGCACCTGAAATACTGTATTTCCGTCAGATAGATAGTAAGTGGGGTCATGGGTTACATCCATAAGCGCAGAGGTGTCGAAGTTATCGTTGCAATGGCAAGGGTTACATAAACGCCCCCAACACGGTACAGACAATCGATAGGCGCCCAAACGTCGTCCAAGCCTGGAAGTCGGTATTGAGATGTTACTGCCGGTGAGACTGCAAATTGTCATATCCACGAGAGTAAAAGCATGGAGGGTAAGACATCTGCAATGAAAGGGGGAGAGAGACACGAGTTTGCTGTTAGAATCAGCCACGTCCTTTCGTTGCCACAAGATAGTATGACTATGCGCAAATTTGTCCTTTACACTGTCTGAGAAATAATTACACAATGATGCTCTGGAGGTGTAACTTTGCGTCTAGGATATCAAGAAAGTAGTCAGAGGCAACATATGCATGAGGGGTATCAGAATCATCGGAATCTGCCCTCAGTTGCATGACCACCTCCGCGGCTCCACTCATGCGCAAGACACGAGCGACAGCAAGTTGAACATTGCAGAATAGAGGAAGCGGTCCTCCTCCAAGCCTCTCCCCCTTGATACCACGCCCAAAGTGGATTTCTTTCCCGTCTCGCAGATTAATTGACGCTGGGCCAACATTGGGGTTATAAGGAACCCTCCTGTAGACGTACTTCACCTGAACTCATGAGTTGAAATGCATAACGTGCAGAAAGTTTCAATCACGTACAGTTTCACCTTCTTGAGCTTCAATTCCCCATCGCAATCCATCATACTTCACGTATGCGTCGCTTTGAACATTCGCAACATTTCCAATATCATTCATTTGTTTGAGGACAAGGTCCCTAGCTTCCTCACCGGCGAACGTGGCGAGACATTTTAGGGTGTCCGGCTGGAGAGCGTGTCAATAAATGGGCGCCATTAGAGTAATACCACAGACTTTGCCATGAATCGAGTTCGGGATTAGATGGGTCAGAACAGGTGAGAAATTGTCGTCCTCAGTAGGGAGCTCGTCAAATGTCACCCCCGTCATCACACATCGTGCACCATCACGCTTAAAAGCCTGTCCACAATACCGTCAGAGCTGTGCGTGATGAAACCACGTTAGACCATACCAAACGTTTGAGGGCTTCTTGGTTTCGCTTTCCGAACCCCTCCTTATTGGCCAACTCAAGCAGTTCGTCCGTCTGCATCGATATGATATCACCCACTGAGGATGGCGTGCTGTCCGCTGATTCAGGTCCTCCTGGGTTTACAACTATGATGAAATCAGTCATGAGATGCCCATCAGAAAATCAAACACTGCGCACATGCAACGGCGAGATGTGCAAAATACTCAGCTGCCATGTCGAATAATGGACCTAGGCGAATGTCTTCTCTATTCACCCCCGCAAATAGTATTGTCGATGCCTGACCCGGCGGAACAGACGTGACAGTTTTAACTGTATACAGAAGTCAGACCTTATTGTTTTGAAGCGGAAGAATTTGACGCACTATTATCCTTGAGCTTGTTATCGCATTTTCCAATTGTTTCCCAGAACTGTTCCAGCACCGTACCACCGAGGGCCTGAGACTCCTTTATCAAACAAGACAGCAAATTTGGAAGTAGAGGTTTGCCTTGGTTGCCACTTTGTTCGATGCGTTTTACGATAGGCCAATTCCAGGACTTTGCATCTTCCAAAACTTCGAGAGCGAATGCATCCATATGTTGGCAACAGAAGGTACCGATAAAGGACGAAGACAAACTGGGCACACCCAAGACATGGTCGTGTGATGTCCGGAAACCTTTAGCTCTTTTGCAGACTCCTTAGCTTATACGGGGAAAGGCGAATCCCCTATACAGTCGTGCCCATGAGAAGACGACCTTCGCTAAAACTTTGAGAAGGTTCCGTTGAGAGTGTAACTCGCCCAGAAGTTGGGGTTCGTCTTGAGGCAGGTGTCAAGACAGGAACCCAGATGCATGTATGGGAGATGACATCCCTTTCCCTCCATCGTGGTACAACATCATCTGAAGACTGAAAGAAGTCAGATTTTTCTTCAACGTCGCCACGAAACCGGAAAACAGACCAAAATCACTTTGGCAGCAGTCTACGCGGGTCCAGCGTGGATAGTGGTCGCTTCTGGATAGTTTTGGATGTGATGGTAGTGTCTATAACAACAGAGCATTTCCTTGCACTCTCGGAAGGAAGTAAGGAAGTATATTGTTCGGAGCACTGGGAAAGAACGTGTCATTGGTGCATCGCCTGACATCAGAAAATTCTGACATACCTTGGAGTCGTCGCCCATCATCGTCAGGGAGCTTGAAATATCTCCCCGGAAAGAACTGGTGAAGTAGTCGGAAGATCAACGAGAGATGATCGTACCACAAAGGTGGTTCTGCTAAAACGTTGTCAACAGGTGTCATCAACAAGCCAGTCACCGGAATTGATTCGCACGCAAACGAATTGGAGGGTTGTAAAGACGTCGCTATCCACGTAGTCTTGACCACGATAAGTTGTATCCTATGCCATCGATTTCCTGACCTGCCTTCTTCTCAAACGAAGCATTTGAGAGATGGGTGTTGAGGTCTGAAAATGTAGTGTGGCCCAACATTTCTCCAGAAGGCAAACAAATCCGCCAACATACTCGCAGCACTCGCAGGCAACAATCAGAGGGCCGGAGAGAACTGCTATTCAAAGGGCTTTAGGAGGTAAGAGTTGAGACAGTGACGATCCCCACAAGGAGAAAGTTTTGAATTATCTGAATGATGGATAGATCATTCATTGGTCCACGTCCCGCAAAATTGTAAGGGGCGATCGTGAGTAGAAAAGATCCGAGCGCTTCAAGGTTTGACATATGTGAATTGTGAGTACACTGGGATAGGTCTGAAGATGTGGGTGGAAACCATAGAATCCGGTTGCAGTTCGGATTAAGGCATTGGAGCGAAGGGTCACTTAGGAAGTGTTAAAGCGTTGGGTTGGGCGAAATCCCGAGCTAGCATACAGTGCAAAGTGTAGCTGTCGAATATTCCTATGTCCACGCCAGAATCGTGTGCTAGTTTCGAGAAAACCTCCACTGGGACCTTCAAAGGGGGTTACTGGGAGTAGATGAGGGGCTGAAGAGCAGATAGCAGACGGAAGGAATACGTTTGGAGGCTAGAACGATTGGGGTAAGCTTGATAGCTTCATTGGTACTCGAAGGTCGAGTTGCGCCAAAGTTGCGCCGTCATATTCGCAAAACCTCGGTCCCAGCTGGTCGTCGAAGTTGTGTAGAAATTTGCAGAGCAACCGTAAAAACTGAGAACCAACATATTGAATCTGGATGGATGATGCTCGTGTTCGGACTCGAGCGCAGCGAAGCTTTTCCATAAAGGTTGGGGTAGGGTCGGGTTTATTGCGTTTGCTCGCTTTCCACCGTTCTTAGACTTCGCGTCAAGCTTGGGTGTTTGTTGATGAAAAAGTGCCGGAGGTGCTTTAGGCGCACGGACGACGGGAGAGATGTCCGATTCGCAATACAGTAGGTTGTTCGGCAAAGACAAATCAAAGTGGCATCCGAAGAACTAGAGAAATCCTCTTGAATGTATGAGAAAGCAGAGAACAGAGGTGAGCTTGAAGACATTCCGGCATCGATAATTTGAGGTTGAGCGGCAGTTGAAGTAGGAGAAAGAAATCCAAAAGTGTGTGGCGAAGAAGACGTATTGAACAGAGTCGTAGCAGCAGAGTCAAGCGAAATCATGCGATGATGAGAGTTTAGGGTAGCCGGAGGAATAGAGCTGGGTTATATCCGGTTGTCCGATGATGGAAAGAGCATCGGAGAGGTTTGTTGAGGATTCAGAAGGTTGTAATCATCAAGAAATTCCTGGGGATCGTAGAGGTAGTGCAAACACGCTTCGGCTGCCGTAGACCTTGAGTTCGGATAGAATGCATCTTGAGCAGGAGAAAGCGGTCGAAGATGGGGAGAGAAGTAGAACCGATCAGTAGAGTCCGGATGTGAAGAGCGTGTCGGGTCCAAAGGCGAAGCGTCGAGAGCCACAGATGCGCCAAATCCGCGGACATTGCAATAGAGATGTCCAATGAACCAGAGAGATCAGCTCACGAGAGGATGAAGCCAGGAGATGGATGAAGGTGAGGTCAACGTCGTGACCAGCGATGTTGATCGTAGCTTGCCGAGCTCAGCCGAATGGCCCGAGCCCCAAACTTTTCTTCAACACGGAGTCCTCTTCCTTACAACGTCAAAAAAACTTCGAACACGCTGGGACCTTCCGCGTAAAAGATTGGCCAATCTTTTTCACGATGCCTAAATTGACTCTTTGAAGCTGGTAAGATCAAGGTAGGATTGGCGGGAAGCTGAGCTCAGTAGGTAGCAACCAAGTGGCAAGATCTACTTGGCAACCCAAGGCAAGAAAAATCAAGCTCTGCAGTCTATCTATGAATCAACGAGGTCCGCTGTAGTCACTTGTAAGAATCAAATTGTTTACTCGCTAGGAAAGTTTTGTTAGAAGCGTTCAGAAGTTAAAATTTCTAGGCGACGTACTCCATAAACTCAAAGAAAACGATTTTCTTGTTAACCAACCCAGGTATCTGCTTTCGTAAATCGTGGAGCCCCGCTTCAAGGTCACATTCAGGTTCGGTATCCGCTTGGAGGTCAGAGCCACCATCCACCTGTGGGTCAGGTTCATCAGACATCTGCAGTTCAAACTCCGACGACGTCGACTCCGTTTCGTCAGTCCTTTTGAATGAAACATCCACCCTCCTTAACTTCGAGAAGCGAGGATGCGTTAAGATTGAATCCAACTCTTGCCAAAATGGAAGGCGGCAAAAACGGGGAAGCCAGTCATCATCGACAACATGTATATCGTTAGGAGGCGGACTGTAGTCCGCGAGCAACCTGAACTCCTCGAGATTGTTATCGGAGGTAATTTTTCGCAATTGATCGATCAGGATTGGTAGAACATTGAGGTTAGGGAAGCTTTCACAGGCATAGAAGGCTATGTCGAGAGAAAATACTCGAAGATCCGGGAACGGGCGGAAGTCTAGGAGTTCATGGGGAATGCCTGAGTTAATCGTAGTGAAGTTAGAGAGGAAAACATGTAGAAGACATATCGGGTATCTCACGAAATTGCTCATTAGCCGGATACATCTGGATGATGTCCAATTCTTCAAGTGACCGTGATGTACAGTCCGCGAGTTTTGACCAAAGAAAGCAATCGGCTGGACAGGTGAACCCGATGCGTAACATTTTCAGACAAGATAAGTCGAGGTATCTGATCAGGTCAGGAATAACAAGAGCAGAGTTGGTGATGTCCAAGAACTCTAGCTGGCTCCGGACCCGAGGCTGTGCGATCTCAAGGAAGCGACGTGAGGCCTTCAAAAGTGTACCCCAGAGGGACAACCCTTTGAGATATCTTGAAGAGGTAACGACCTCATACGGGAAGTTGGTCAACTCAACAAACTCGATCTTGACCAGGCTGGGAAGCAAGAATATTTGAGAAAGTGCAGCTGCGAGTCTGGGCGGGAGGGTGGACCAGTCTAGCTTGTGGCGATGCTCGTCTGCTCTGATGGCTAAAAGTTTAAGAGACACCAGGAGCGGCAAGAGCAACGGGAGTGTTTCTTCGCGTGATACCCATCCAACTCTGGTACCCTTTTCTGAATCTGGACTAGAAAATAGCGATTCTTCGATAATAATTCTCTTGATACACGATCCAAGCCAAGGGTTGGCAGAGACGATGGCATACAAACCACGACAATCTTTCGACCCCCGTTCAGCGTCACCGTCCGTGCCAAGGGTGACCTGGTTGAAGACGACTCTGCGACTGGCTGCAAGAAATGACCTGCTAGTGAGGGAGCAATTCAACAAACTTGGTAGGTCATCCTCAGGCTCGAGCTCATCGACGATTTTGTCGATCACCTCCTGTGGAAATGATAGTGGCGAGGGAGACATGGCTGGAAATTTTTCTATTAAAGAAGTTGTTATCAAATGCGCCTGACGAAGGGAAAGAAACACACCAAGCCAGCTATCAAAGCCTGCTTTGCAATCACAGCGGCCGATGTGATTCTTGACTGTGGCGATTCCTTCAACTACCCGGTACAGACAGTTGGTCTTTTGAATACCACCAGGAGCTTGTGTAGGCCAGGATATGAACAAAGAGGTAGAAGTTGACAGTGAGAACGATCCCGATCGTGTAATGGCAGTGCCGCGTGCTTGGGTATTTCCCCTCATTTGCTGATTCGTGAAGAACTTGCAGCCAAATTCAAACAAATTTCAGCGACCAGCCTCTGCTGCACCGCAACACATGTCACATCGCGTCAAATCCACCAACATTCCACTGAATCCAAATTCGTGATGGGTGGACATCAGCAAGTGGACTGGCAAAACTTCATTGAAGAAGAGTCACTCGGGGATGGTAATGTCGCGGTGGGCAATAGCTGTTCGTTCCTCTCTCCAGTATCTAACACGTTCCTTAGCCTCATGACTCTCAGCAAGGGGAGCGGGACTTACAGGGAACTCAAGGGATTTTTCCGCCCCCTTATGTCTTTCGCTTTAGGTGGAAATGAAACGCTTGCACCCTCAAACCATCTACATGCACAAGGAGCGGAAGCTGGGCATTTGCTGGGAGTCATTCGACGATTGAGGACGAAAGATGCCACTTTTCAGCAGCCATGGCCTTCGCCAGGAATGGCGAACTGCGATTCAACCCTCCGATGTCGTCCTCTAGAAGTTGGACATTTTTTGGCGATTGTTCAACGATGGAGCTCAAGGACAAGGATTGCCACTTTCCAGACAACCGTTGCCTTTCCCAGCAGTGGCGAGCCACACTGGGCCCTTTTGAGGCCGTCTTCCATTGGAAGGGCATTGGTTGGCGGTCATTGGACGATCGAGGGCTCAGGGTGCCACTTATCAGCCGTCGCCTTCACCAGCAGCGGGCTAGCGGCGGACCCTATTTGACGTTGTCCTCCACCATCCTATACATGTCCATCATTGTCGGAGCTATGATCAAGGCCGCCCTCCGTCCCAGAAAAACCAGTGGACCGACAGACTGGAGCTGTGATTCTTAAATTTCAGAAGAGCATCTGCCCGATCCTAGTGACCCGATGTGTCGGCTCTCATGAATTGAATGTCTTGATTCGCTTTTCGACGGGAGCTTCTATATCGAGGAAGCTTACAGATCGGGATCCATTGATCAAGGCGACGTCTAGAACATCGGTGAACCTGAAATTTGAAGCAGTAGAGCTGAGGGAGCGATGCACGACATTCCCAGATTTTTTGTCAGGTTTAAACTGGGGATCAGCACTTTGAGACTTTCAGGCCCGTGTAACGACGACATGGGTCGCCCTCTCTCGGGAAGTTGCTACATTATCCAAGAAATGTCGTCCAGTTTTGGCTTGACATTGGGCGCCTTTCCTGATTGGACCATCCTACCGGCCTGAACGCTGCTCCTAGGAAGCCATTTGAATCTGAAACCCTTATATGGCGGCGAAATGGGAATTACCAATGTTGGCCGATGGCCAGAATCTCGTCGACGACCAGCACATCTTCCCTTCTTGTCCATATGCGAAGCCTGGCCTGAGGAGCGCAGTTGTGCGGCTGAGCTCGGAGTGCAAACATAATAGTGAAAGACTACGATTGCCCTGTTGGATATGCTCAACATCAAGAAAAGAAGTCCTTTTTTCAGACGTGGTTCACCATCTCTTGACTCCAGATCGACGTTGTCTATCCACGTGGAACTTGAAAAGCTTGAAAAACGACTCAAGAACCCGAGATGAGCCGCGCCTTCAAAGCTACCCGACGCACGACTGTAGCGTCCAGGTTCGTCAATAGTCAACTTGTACGCCTTCGTAGTCAGCTGGTTAGGGTAAATAACCCAAGAGAATCAATAGGCAAGCCCACCAGGTTTTCAGGTTGTCCTGCGTCCTAACTCGGTTAGCTTCCCTTAAGATCCTAGATATGTCACCCACCCTTGAAACTAGGTCAACAGATGTCGAAGGATGTCTGGATGTTGGACGTTCAAGGTTGGTCGGTGATAATCACGATAAACGTTGACTTTCTCTCACACATCTGCCGTTTGCAGCAGCCCAGGCCTGCCTTTCTTAGTGAGCTCGAGCACTTGGACCCCAGCTCTCCAATGCACGTCGTACTGGACTCTGTCCCTTTGTTCGCCGCCCATCTATTCCAATTCAAATATGGATGAAGTGAATTGTCAGGCGCGAAGGCAAATTTCCGGAGCTAGGGCTAGCCAGGGACACCGTTTTCAAACTCCACGGCAACCCAATTACCTCAAATCTCTCCAGTTCCCCGTCTCTGTGATCGGTTGTCCCCGATTTGGGCCTCTGCGCCCAAAAAAAAGACGGTATTTAAAGTCTTGTCATACCTTTTTGTCGCTCGTTCGGTTTCTTACCACAACCCCACCACCACCTCCACCACCACCACCCACCCACCCCGCCAGGATATCTTTTTCGTTCCTACGCCCTCTTCAGCACGTACACTCTATATACGCAAAAAGAAATGCCTCTCTCGCAACTCCATTTACCCTCCTTCACTGTTGTCCTGACCTCGGACCATAGCTCCACGATCCTCAGAGATTATCAACGAGCGCAAAGTCGCGAAATTCAAATCCCTATTTTTGGGCCACAAGACGACGGTCTATTGGTAGGCTCACTTCGCAGCAGCTGTAGCGTACTCTTTTCTGAGCTTCTCGCTTTCAGGATACCATGGACATGCGAACGCCGACAGGTTTTGCTGTCTATAGATGCGAGTACGCAGTGAGTCTTCTCGTAACTTCGATCATTTTCGCGTGCTTACTGAGCCGTCTGAACAGCGCGACCAAGATACAGCCACCCTCTTTGAAGATGATATCCAGACGGTGGATGCGAAAGGGTCCTATTGGGTACGAACGTCGGATTGGTTATGACGCGATTAACGTTTGACATACTCATCACACTGCTTTCAGCGTCGTTTGAAGATGTTCTGCAAGGGTTTGGGACGCAAGTAGATGCATTTCCGAGTCCAAGTGGATTGCTTTCTGGCCATCGGACGTGGCCATGGACGAGCGCCTATTTGTCTTCCCACTTTTCTATCTTGTTGTTGCGCCTTGCTATCTTGTCATTGCTGTCTTCGTTGTCATCGAGAAAAAACTGACCCTCACGTTCATTCAAATCAACTATCTTTATCATCTGTTCATAGTTTAGCACCGTTCTCCTGCAATCATTGACTTATGCCAAATGCCTTGGAGTGTTTTTTTAGTCTCATTGGATTCTGCGGTCAAGGTCGGTTGCTTGTTTGCCTGCCTGCTGAAAATTGCGACATCTTTTGGCAATGTTGATTTGACGCAAAGAACGTTTGAAGTGGTCGTGAATACTCACTCTATCAACGACCAACTGGATTGATCAAACCTCTAACTACGACCGATTGGAAGCCACGTTGAAGGTCTTCAAGTGCAGGTTTGATATGTTCGAGCGGTGTAAGTACCATCACAAAAGACTGAAGTTCAGGCGATTTGTTTTCGTTGCGACGTGCATTCCAGGCACTCTTCCTCTGATTCACTTTCATACAATGCTTGAAGCTTGAAAGTTCTTGTTCTTCATATCTCATTCACGTTGCTTGCATCTTCTTCTACGATCTTCGGCAATGGTTGAATGGTTCCTCTTCTTCATGAGTCAAAGTTGAGGCCCTTCATCTCCCGCAGAGCGTTGGTTTCAGTCTGGATAATAATCATGATCATATTTTTGTTCCAAAAGATAAAAGACGGAAAGTCAATGGCAGGGGAGAAAGAACGTGAACCCTCCTCTTGCCTCCAGTCTCCATGAGGAGCAAAATAGAGGAAAGAGGACACTACAGAAAGAGCCCGTGCGCTTCAAGCTACCTTGAAATTTTGACCGATGTAGGCGCCCAGTAGAGTGTTGGACGTGGTATGGAGGTTGTGATGGGTCGAGGACAGGTTGAACGTTGACATTGTAAGCCCGAGCCAAGATCCAAAAGAGGCCGAGCTATGACCAGGAGGAGGCGTCTGCCAGAATATCCCTGCAATGAAGGCGGGAGATGACCGCCAGTGGGTGCCAGACGAGAAAAAAGCTTGGATCCTTGACACTGTCTGGGGAACAATTACACAATAATACTTCGGAGGTGTAACTTTGCGTCTAGGATATCAAGAAAGTAGTCAGAGGCAACATATGCATGAGGGTATCAGAATCATCGGAATCCTGCCTCAGCTGCATAACCTCCTCTGCAGCTCCGCTCATGCGCAAAACACGAGCCACAGCGAGTTGAACATTGCAGAGTAGGGGAATTGGTCCTCTTCCAAGCTTATTCCCCTTGGTACCACGCCCAAAGTGGATTTCATCACCATCTCGCAAATTGATCAACGCCGGGCTAACATTGAGGGAATAAGGAACCCTCCTGTAGATGTACTTCACCTGAACTCATGAGTTGAGATGTAAGAGAGTGCTTCAACCACATACATTTCCACCTTCTTCTCGAGCTTACATTCCCCATCGCAATTCATCATACTTCCCGTGTGTATTGCTTTCAAAGTTCGCGACATTTCCAAGACTGTTCACATGTTTGAGAACAAGGTCCCTAGCCTCCTCACCGGCGAACGTGGCGAGACATTTTAGGGTGTCCGTCTGGAAAGTGTGTTAGTAAGTGGGCGCCATTAGAATAAGATCATCGACTTTGCCATGAATCGAGTTCGGGATTATGTGGGACAGAACAGGTGAGAAATGGTCATTGTCAGTGGGGAGCTCGTCAAACACCACCCCCGTCATCACACATCGTGCACCATCACGCTTGAAAGCCTGTGCCACAATATCATCAGATTTGTGCGTGACGAAACCACGTCAGAGTATACCAACGTTTGAGGGCTTCTTGCTTTCGCTTTGCGAACCCCTCCTTATTAGCCAACTCGAGCAGTCCGTCCGTCTGCATCGATATGATATCACTGACTGAGGATGGCGTGCCGATTTAGGTCCTCCTGGGTTTACAACTATGATGAAGTCAGTCATGAAGGTGCCCATCAGAACATCAAAGGATGCGCACATGCAACGGCGAGATGTGCAAAGTACTCAGCTGCCATGTCGAATAATGGATCTAGGTGAACGTCTTCTTTAATCACCCACGCGAATAGTGTTGTCGATGCCTGACCCGGCGGAACAGCCGTGACATTTTTAACTGTATATAGCAGTCAGACCTTAATGTTCTGAAGCGGAAGAATTTGACGCACTATTATCCTTGAGCTTGTTATCGCATTTTCCAATTGTTTCCCAGAACTGTTCCAGCACCGTACCACCGACGGCCTGAGACTCCTTTATCAAACAAGACAGCAGATTTAGAACTAGAGTTTTGCCTTGGTTGCCACTCTGTTCGATGCGCTTTACGATAGGCCAATTCCAGGATTTCGCATCTTCCAAGACTTCGAGAGCAAATGCATCCATATGTTGGCGACAGGTGCCGATAATGTCAGAACTGGCAGAAACAGCTGCTGACGAAAACAAGCCAGGCCACAAGCGTTTTGAGAGCGAAACTGAGAGTCCAACGCGCAAGCTAATCCAGAGACTGCGGCTAGGTGATTATGAATTATGCATTATGATTCATGACAGTGTATGACTCGAGCTCTGGGAGCACACGGCGTGCACGTGCTCTTATTGTTTGCCGCGTCTATATTTAGACCAATTCACCTTGAACTTGTTGCATCTTACTTGCATCTCCCTTCATGTCGATTGACCTCAACCTTTCGAGGCTGGCAAAGCTTCTACCGCAGTTTCCGTACACCCGGCCAACACTCCACGTCGCCGGCACAAATGGGAAAGGCAGCGTCGCTTCGATTCTTTCCTCTATTCTCCGTTCATCGTCGCTCTCTGTGGGTCGATACAACAGTCCTCACCTCGTATCGATTCGTGATTGTATCGTCGTAAACGACGAGCCTGTTGACCCAACATCCTATGTCATCGCGCGTGGCGATGTTGAGAAAGCAGACAGAGAGGAAGAAACCAAATTGACGAGCTTTGAAATTCTTACTTTGACGGCCTTGCTCGTGTTTGAACGAGCCATGGTTGATGTGGTCGTACTGGAAGTGGGTATGGGCGGCCGATTAGACGCGACGAACATCGTACCAGATCCTACAATTCTTGTCTCGGTTTTGACGTCCGTTGACCTGGACCACCAGGCATTTCTGGGAGACACGGTGTCTGCTATTGCGAAAGAGAAAGCAGGAATAGCGAGGGCTGGAAAACCCGTGATTCTTGGACCCCAAAAACACACCGATGTGGAGAACGTGGTAGAGCACGTTGTTTCCCAGGTCGGTGGAGAAATATTGCGCTCAGTGCACATTGAAAAGCGGGACTGGGATGAAGATGTCGATGGCCCTCGTCCCGAGGCTGCATTCAGACTCCCTTCGTCATCAGCGACGTACATTCTCCCGCCACCCTTACCTATCAAGGCATGTCTGCCATGCTTTTCTGAAGCCGTTCAGACACCCTTTCCTCTTCACGGTGAACACCAACTTGACAATCTCGGCTCTGCCCTCGCTGCCATCTCAGCCCTTCTTACCCACCCACAGCCTAACTTCAAACTCCAGAGCCATATAACGCCCGAAAGTGTCGCGGAAGGGATCAGGAAAACCCGCTGGCCAGGTCGACTTTCTTTCCATATCGTCCCTGCGTCAGATAACAAATCACTTGTCGTCCTAGCAGATGGGGCCCATAACCCTGCTTCATCAGCTACCCTGGGCGCGTACGTCACCGAGCTCCTCTCCTCCCTCGATACATCGTCTTCTCGAACACAAGTTACAATCACATACATCCTTGCCTTGTCACATTCGCCCCCGAAAACGCCTTTGCAGACACTGTCACCGCTCTTACCTCCAAAGTTGAACTCGAATATAGACGCGGCTGTAGAGGTCGCGGTGTTGCGATTCTCCCCACCAGAGGGTATGCCATGGGTAAAGCCTGTTCCTCTCCAAGAGTTGGCGGGTGTTGTTAGGCAGCTTGTGCCTCAAGGAGACGTTTGGGTCGCTGACGATGATGGAGACCCTAGTCAACAACTGGAAAAGGCAGTGGAGTGGGCAGGGAGAACGAGGAGTAATGCAGATGAGGGACAAGGCCATCTGGTAGTGCTCGCCGGGAGCTTGTATCTCGTTGCTGATTTTTATCGGTTACTTGCGAGGAGGGGGTTATCGCTGTGACTTCATTCGCATTCTGTCTAGGTGGCGCCCTTTTTGATTTTCATCCTCAGAATATTTCCAACTTACTTCACTTACTGCAGACTATGATTTTTGGTTGCCACAAGTCCAATTATAGATGTGTTTTCTTCTTGCGATTGATGTTCTCCTCTTTTTCTGAGGTCCTTCCGTGCTCCTTTCAATCTAGCAGGAATCGCCGCCAAGAACTTCGGGCTACGATCTCCTCCCTGCTAAAGCTGTGGTCAATGCTTCCCCTCTCCGTCGATGGTCGGAATTACGACCATCTTTCTTCAGACTTGACGTGAAAACCAAGTTCAAGTCCAAACCCACTCTATTCAGCAAAACTTATTTTTATCCCGATCATGTCCGCTTCAGCTTTCATGCAGTCTCCTCCAACCTCTTTCGAAAGCGTCTACTTTGGCGATATTTATGCGGCGGCAAGCACATGCAAGGGTGTCGAAAACCAGGTCGCAGACATTATGGCATTCTTGATCACAGAACTCGGTTGTGCTGTAATTCCCGAAGACTCCACCCTCGTTCCCTCTAACTCGATTCCATCACAAACGAAGCCTGTTCGTCAATTGCTCCAGCCGAGAGGTGTCGTTTCGGAGAGCTGCGAGTTGGAGTCATGCAACGAACGACGCCGCTCCGAGTCGCCTGTCCAAGAACCTCTACCTTTTTTCATATCAATGATCGTAAACGCCACTACGCCCTACACTCTTGACATTGGAGCTGTCATTGATGCGGCTCACGTCCTTGTTATGCGCCTCTACGAGAACGATCCCTCCGTGGGTGCTGCATGGTCAGGCCACCAGCTATTCCTCTCCGCATTCGTCGTTGCAGCACAGGGACAACCATCACCCCACCCCGAGATTCTCAATGCTTGCGTGTTCTGGACCATTCTCTCAAAGTTTACACTGGAAGAATTTATTGAGATACAGGTCCGCCTGTTTGATAAGCTTGAAGGAAGGCTGTGTGTGTTTGCTGAGGTGACTGAGAATGTGAAGCAGTTACCGCCTAAGGGATCGCGAGGGAAGTGGAGGCAGGAGAGCGAGGAAATGAGGTTGGCGAAGAGGCAGGGATCGCTGGGTGGACAGATGTCAGCTTTCCTTCGTCGTCGTCGATCGACGTGGTAATGAAGCGTCTTGTCTATGATTTCCTTGCCTTTCGTATATACAATATACCCTGTGCTTCGAATCATACCCTTCTTAGTATCGAATGTGAACAATGACACTGGAAGAGTAACTTGCAAGCGGCTACACGGGACCGAGGTCAGCTGACTCCAGACAAATTGTAGGTAAAAACCCGTTAGCCACTGTTGCCCTGTAATTATAGTCCTCACTGCATAAAACTACCTCAGAATGTCTGCTCAAGTTGCTAACCAACCTCGTCAAGTCGAGTCTCGCCGAGGAGCACCCAGCAGGGGCGGAAACCGAGGACGCGGTGGTCATCGTGGCTCTCATCATCGCGGAGTACGTCCAAACACCAAGGCCCCTGATTCCAAGCCACCCACTATCGTGCCTGACGAGAAAGTGGGAGATGTTGCTGCCGTCTTTGTTGCGGACGCACAGTCGGCCGAGGACGCTGACGATTCCGATGACGTTTGTTGGATTTGTGCTGAACCCGTCAAATATTATTCCGTGTCCGAATGCAATCATCGTACATGTCACGTCTGTGCCCTACGGCTCAGAGCGCTATATAAGAAGACAGATTGTGCTTTCTGCAAGGCAAGTCTTTTAAGTCTTTATGCATGTTTAAATCGTGAACTCCATTTCTGTGATTAGGATCCACAACCATCTGTCATATTCACCGTTTCTCCCGATGCTTTGTTCAGCTCTTACGCTACGGACGCTATTCCTTACAAGGACGCGAAGCTCGGGATCACATTTGAGACCCAAGAAATGATGGAGGACACGCTGATCCTCCTTCGATTCAACTGTCCAGACCCGGACTGTGATTACATCGGAAACGGTTGGGGTGACTTGAAACTACACGTTCGCGCCACCCATGGGAAACTTATGTGGTTTGTGTCTGGTCCTCTGGATTTTCTGAATTTACCTAACCTTGACAAAGTGAGCTTTGTATCCGAAGCAAGAAGGTTTTTGCGCATGAACATGCGTTATATCCACCTAATTTGCTGCCCATTCATCTCCCGTCCATGCACCATCGCCCGGGGAAGACCGCACTCAAAGATGCGAGCCAAATAGAGGGTGGCATACACCCTCTATGCGAATTTTGTCGAGAGTGTTTTTTTAGTGGCGATGAATTGTACCCTCACATGCGAGAGAAGCATGAGGAGTGCTTTCTCTGTAAGCGGAATGAAGTTAGAGATCAATAGTGCGTCGATCTCTGCGCGTCCTGGTTCTCCCTAACTAACAAGATTACGTTGCAGTTTCATTAACTACGAGAGTCTAGTGTGTCTCGTCACTCGGGTCATTGACCTGACAAAACTAATTATCTGTCTTAGGAAAGGCACTTTAACAGCATTCACCATCCTTGCACGCAAAAAGAATGCCAAGCTCAAAAATTCGTCGTCTTTAACTCCCCCTTAGACCTCAGAGCTCACATGGTAGAAGTTCATGGAGGAGACATGAGCTCACGAGACAAAAAGGACGCTAGAAGGGTGCCCGCCGAATTTGCCTTTGAAGAAGTAGGACATGGGGGACGGCACGGTAGAAGAGATCGGGAACGAGAACGTGAACACGAACCACCACCTCAATCACACCGGCAGCAATTACAGACGGCCCCTCCACCACAGGCCGTCGCTTCGGTCACTCGACCGCCGGGAAGCGGATTGAGAAGGCGAGAGGCCTTTGGAGGCGCGCTGACAACTGACGGAAGTAGTATTCCCCAAGCAACCTCCAATAACAATACTCCTGGTGCTAGTCGACCTTCTTCACCACCACATGCTGGAGATGCAGATCCTGCTGTTCTAGAGTGGGGTGTATCTCATTACCGTGTAGAACTATTGCTAATAAATTTTCGCAGGAGACATGCTCTTTTCTTGACACGTTTGGAATCTGTCGCTTCTAACCCTGCTACAGCAGTACCTGCCGTGAGGGCTGCGACTCGCGGCTATCGGTCCTCTGAGTCCAGTGCAAGAGATCTTATCTCGACAATCTGGAATGTCCTGGACAGGAACCTGGATCACACAGCTGGCATTGTAAACGCCTTTGTTGACCTCCTGGACGAGGAAGAAAAGAAGCAGGATCTACTATCGTCATGGAGAGGATTCGCAATTGAGGTAAATAGTCCTGCTTTCAATACTGTTTCATCCTTCATATTTCTTGTCCACCTTAGCAACGTCGTCAATTCCCCGATCTCGTACCTACCTCAACCGGCTCAGGATACGCGGGTATTGCCTCAGGCCGCGTGCTTAATGCAAAACACTCCACTGCAACCCGATCCTCTGAACGTTCCTCACGACAGGTCTGGGACCGTGTTGCCCAGGCAGCTGGTTCTTCCTCCGCTGCTGTTCCACCATTGAATCAAGTACCCGGACAGCAACGGTCGCGGTCGCCAGCAAAGTTTCCCGCTCTAACAGGCGGGTCCACAACAGCATCAACACCTACCCCCGCCTTCCGCCAAGGCCAAAGAAACACTCCATGGTCCACCAGCTCTGCAACAGGGTTTAAAGCACCCACTGCCCTTCCCGGATCGTCTTCGTCCTTCCCATCCGCGTCTGAGTGGCGGCCGGCTTCCTCTTCTTCCTCTTCTGCCTCTGCCAAAGCCGCTGCACATGGGGGACCACGTCAAGCTCCACCTAAACTCTCAAAAGCGCTGTTCCCCGAGCTTCCGACGGCAACGAACTCAAGGCAGAAGCCACAAATCAGCGGGAATGTATCCCTCAAGAACATTTTGGGCAACTCCGCAACTCCGGCCGTGAGTGCGTGGGCTGGTGCTGCTGTTGGACATCCTGCTGGACAGGAAACGCCGAGTGGTGCCAATGAGACGCCTGCTACTGAGGGTAATATCACAACGGCAGCAACAGGAAAAGGGAAGAAGGGGAAAGCGAAGCAAAAGCAGACATTATTTACCCTTGGCACGTTCCCAACGTAATTTGCTGAGCATGCGTGACTGTCTTGTTTGGAATTGAAATAACAGGCTCATGGCAAGAGACATTCATGTTTCTATTTTCGCAGCTACAGGAAAATCTACATAGACGGAACTATCTATTCTACGATACCCGCCCTCCATCTGCCCACCTTATCCTCACCCTCTTGTTTTTTCCTACTGTGGCTGCCTTCGAGTTCTCATAGGAGAATAGCACAACGTCCTCACTTCGTTTTCACGTTTTCGGAAATTTCTACTGCTGCTGAATCTGCCCCACCAATCGTTTGTGAGGAACCCAGTTAGGCAAGGGTGGGCATGGAATACTTGGCCGGCTACTGAGAACGTTTACATTCAATTTACCGCTTCGTAGTTGTAATGAAGGAAGATTTCCGCAGATTTGCTAATGCGTGGGTATCGGAAAGTGTTTGGGGTTTGCCTGACAGGTGGCGAGCCATTGAAAAGAGTATCTCGCTCCCTCCAAGTATCGAGAATCACTGAAGAGGGAGGTACCCGAAAACGATCAATTCGACGATACGGTGATCAAGATCCAAGAATGACTGTCAGATTGCTGGTACAGAATTGCGGGTGGCGTAGCAGTGCCAGTGGGGAGAGGAAAGGTGTTTTGGTGGACAGTGGTAGGAGACACTTGACCGGCGCGATCTGCTGAGTTTGAGGGAATGATTTTCATCCAAGGGGACGAGATCGCCTTCTTACTACTCCTGACAGTACCCAGTGTCCCACCACCAAAGGAAAAACCCGACGTCGTTTCGCAGTGCTTGGATTGGAGGTTCTCCAGTTCGTTCGCACTGCGAATCCGCCCAAGCTTGAAAAGATCTGAGAGGGGGTAATATCATCGGCTACACGATAGCGACCATCCACGTCATTTCCAGCCGAAAGCCATCCGAGTCTAACGCTCGTCGACGTTCCAATCTCGTGAAAAGAAGGCTAACAAAGGGAACTTGCCGTCTGTCTGAGAAACGCAGATCGCGGGTATGCCAGGGCACGTGGGCGTCTGCATGAGGATGGCGGGGTGTACGAGAGGCAAGATAGGGCCTCGGCTGGGTTAGGGAAAGGTGGGATGCTGCACAAAAGTACTGTTGAATGGGAGTTCAAGAGTTATAGTGGTGAGCAAAGAGGAGGTCTTACGGCGAAAGTTTTCGGAGGAGATGTTGGTCTTGTTCGACGAACTGGCATCCAAGCTCGTACAGTCCTGCTGTATCATGCAATTGAAGCCGGGCGAACGGAGTGTGGAAGCGTTGAATGGCGACCCAGAATGCATAGAAACGAAGCGCGAATCCGGGCCTGTTAATGGGAACGGTGACACAGTAGAAACAAACGGAGACCCCGCAAGTATAAACGGAGAGCGCGAGTCAGAGCCGGTATGGACAGGCGTAAGCGTATGGCAGGAGACGAGCTTGGTGGGTTGATTTCTTCTCCTTCCGTCCGTGTGTCCAACTCTTCCATCTGATTTCCACTAGGACCACGAGCAGCACCAGCAGAGAACGAGAATAAATCATGTACTGTCTCCCGCAAGGGAAGAGTGCGCTGAGTTTTGTTGGGTCAATGCGAACAGGACGCGATGCAGCCGAGAGGGCAGATTTAAGTTGGATTTAAGACCCATTTTTAATGGACTGGCGGGAAAGTGCAATGTCGCGGGGGCTTGTCGTAAGAGTTGGCTCAGTTGTGCGAGTTGGCGTCGGTATTTGAGAGTGGCACTTTTGGAGCAGAACTCTCATGCAATTATACTTAATAATTTCGACAACGAACTTCTCACAATTGATCTCCGACTGATCTCTGCTCTTCTTCATCAACGACGACGACGACCCGACCTATCGACGTCTTGAGACTTTCAAACTTCCATACTACAACACGTCATCTCACTCATGGAATCCTCGTCATCAACCACACTCTTGCAAAACGCTATCGGAACCACCATCTCTGGAAACGCACAGGTCAATATCGCCGGCCGTGACATCGTTTTCCATGGCTTTCCGGCTTCTCCTGCCGCAGGTATGTCAGGTTTTTTATGAATTTTCCAATACTATTGAATGATTCACGACATCTAGGTCTTCCGGACTTGCTTAGGCCTGTCAGCAACGCCACCCATACTCGTGCGGGTCACGTTGCTCGATGTGATCCCGGAACTCGTCTAGAGGTCATCACTCAGATCAAGAAGTGGCTCGATGACTCTGACAAGCGACCTGCTATCTGCTGGCTCAACGCACCAGCTGGCTATGGCAAGTCAGCAGTGGCTCAAACCATTGCAGAGCACTATGCTGCAAATGGCCGTCTTCTAGGGAGCTTCTTCTTTCTTCGAGGTGCTGGTGAACGAAGTCACATATCTCGCCTGATTCCTACCCTTGCCCATCAGATTTCCATTTCTGTTCCTGCTGCAAAGCCATCACTCGAGAGGGCTCTTCGTGATGAGCCAGCCTTGCTTGAACCCTCTGTCTCTCTTGTTCATCAATTTCAAAAGTTAATCATAGATCCCACTCATTCCACCACTTTCAAAATCCTTTCTAGTGTTGAAGCCTTTTCTCAGTTCGCAAAGCAAAAGATTCTTGTCATTGATGCTCTTGATGAATGCAATGACAAGGCTGAGATGGCAGCCTTCATTGATGTTTTGATCAATGTATCTTCAGGGAAACATCATCTTCCTTTCCGGATACTTCTTACCAGCAGGGTGGAGGAACATATTCGGAAAAAATTTGATCATTCTGGCACTCAGTCAGTTTTATACTGTCTGGACTTGGCAAATTATAATGCTCGTTGGGATATCCAAGTTTATTTTCAGAAAGAGTTCAACCGCATCTATGACCAGAACTTGCGAATGATGCAGAGGATATCAAAGCCCTGGCCATCTGTCAAAGATCTTGGTGTACTTGTAAATCAGGCTGGCAAATCATTTGCATTTGCCACAACATTGACTCAATTTGTTGGAGGATATCTCATGCCACACAAAGCCTTGCAAAAACTTCTGGAATCTGGAGTCAATGGTCTGGATCCACTGTATGAACAAGTTCTTTCTTCTGCATCTGGGACAGCAGACTTTCATGAGGTTCTTGGAACAATTATCATTTTGGAGGACAACAAATCTATTGCTTTTCTTGGCTCTCTCCTCCATCTCCAGAATGAAGAGGTTGTTTGTGAGCTTTTGGGAGTGCAGTCCATTGTCAACATTCCTGGAAATGATGATGAGCCTATAATGCTGTATCACACATCCCTCCGAGATTTTTTGACCATAAAATCACGATCAAAGCAATACTGCATTGATCCTCCCCTGCAACACCTTCACCTGGTCATACACTGTCTGAAACATCTGGGAGAATACCCCTCAAAAGACTTTTTTGAGGGAGATGTCCTTGAATATGCTTGTTTTAATTGGTCATACCATCTTCTCTTAGGATTTCAGGAGCAAGAATTCAATGTGGATGAAACAGTTGCAACCTCTTTGGTAACTCTCATTAAAAAATTACTAACTTTCCAGAGCAAGACATGGTATAATACCATGCTGACTTTTGAACTTTCTAAGAAGACAAGAATGTTGAGCTGTGTGAGAGATGGAAAGGATTTATTTCAAGTCAGTTATTGAAATTCTCAGATGCTCATCACACTCTGAATATATGTAAGGCATCACAGGGGTCAATTGTTACAAAGAATTTGATGAAGCTACTTGAACAAGTTATTGACTTCTGTAAAGTAAGAGTCCATTATTAAGATATATCTACTGATTTATCAAGATTTTACAACAGAGAGTAAGTAACACAAGAATAATGCTGCTTGAAAGTTAATCTGTGAGATGAATAGGAGGTAAGTCATAATAAATAGTAACTAAGAATTGAATATTAATCTGTTTTACAGAATGTAAGCTTCAACATAATAAGATTTTATTGCTGTTGATAAAACACAGGAAGTAAGAAAAAAACAATTACCAAGTAAAGCAGAGTTTGATTCTTATTGTTGTTCTTTCTTACAGAATGTATGTCTGCAAAATATCCAAGTTTTTGTACTTTCTTATGGTTGTCATTAGTTTGTGAGCAATTATTTTCTATCATCCATTATGTCTTAACATCAACTGTATATTGTGATTAGATGGTAAGTGCAAATTTATATTTCTGTTGCTTACATGGCTAATATTTTTCATATCATGAGACGGTAATATATAGTCTATTCATAATGTCTCTATATGTCTTCAACAAAATTTTTTAGTGGGTAAGTGATTATAAAATTTCTGAAATAACTTTGCTCTGACTTGATTCTTTTTTAACCCTTCCATTTCTCATTGACCACTATCTCTTCTGATGACTTATTTTCCTTTCTTGCACACCATTCTGGTAATCATGATGTGCTTTTACTTATTTCAGAAAGTATGCTTTCTTGAATTTTACTTCATGTGCTTCTAAAATACATACACTGCCCATTCTTTTTCTTAGGTGGTGAGTTAGCATTTTTTTTTACTCTGTGCTTTTCTGATGCATACTCTGGCCATTCTTTTGCAGAAAGTGAGTTGGCATAGTTTTTGATGTGCATTCTTCTGGTGACACAGACTGTGGCCTGTCTTGTTTCAGGGGGTGAGTTGGCCTAGTTTGTCATTTACACTCTTCTGGTGACACAGACTGTGGCCTATCTTGTTTCAGGAGGTGAGTGGCCTGGTTTTAAATGGGCAGCCTTCTGGTGATGCTGTGGCCTGTATTGTTTCAGAGGGTGAGTTGGCCTGGTTTTTAATGTGCATACTCCTAACACAGAGTGTGGCCTGTCTTATTTCAGGAGGTGAGTTGGCCTGGTTTGTAATTTGCACTCTTTTGGTGACACAGACTGTGGCCTGTCTTGTTTCAGATGGTGAGTTGGTTTGGGTTTCACTGTGCAATTTTCTGGTGACACAGATTGAGGCCACTCTTATTTCAGAGTGTGAGTTGGCTTGGTTTTAATGGGCACTTTTCTGGTGACACAGACTGTGGCCTGCTTTGTTTCAGATGGTGAGTTGGCCTGGTTTTTAATGTGTACTCTTATGGTGACATAGACTGTGGCCTCTCTTGCTTTAGAGGGTGAGCTGGCCTGGTTTTCAATGCACACTCTTCTGACTGTGGCTGTCTTCTTTCAGAAGGTGAGCTGGCCTGGGTTTCAATGTGCACTCTTTTGGTGACACAGAATGTGGCCTATCTTGTTTCAGTTGGTAAGTTGACCTGGTTTTTATTATGCTCTCTTCTGGTGACACACTGTGGCCTGTTTTTGTTTCAGAATGTGAGTTGGCCTAGTTTTTAATGTGCACTCTTCTGGTGATACAGACTGTGGCCTATCTTTGTTTCAGAATGTGAGTTGACCTTACTTCCATGTGCACTCTTCTTGTAACACAGACTGTGTCTTGTTTCAGGAAGTGAGTTGGCTTGGTTTTGAGCATGCACTCCTCTGGTGACACAGACTGTGGCTTGTCTTTTTGTAGGTGGTGAGTTAGCCTGGTTTCTAATGGGCACTTTTCTGGTGATACAGACTGTGGCCTGTCCTTGGTTCAGAATGTGAGTTGGCCTGGTTTTCACTGTACACTTTTCTGGTGACACAGACTATGGCCGGTCTTATTTCAGGAGGTAAATTTGCCTGGTTTTTAATGTGCACTCTTCTAGTGACACAGATGTGGCCTGTCTTTATTTCAGAATGTGAGTTGGGCTAGTTTTTAATGTGCACTGTTCTGCTGACACAGTGGCCTGTCTTCTTTCAGATGGTGAGTTGGCCTGGTTTTTGAATGTGCACTCTTCTGGTCACACAGACTGCGTCCTGTCTTGTTTCAGGAGGTGACTTGGCCTAATTTTCAACATGCACTCTTCTGGTAACACTGTGGCCTGTCTTGTTTCAGTTAGTGAGTTGGCCTAGTTTTTAGTGCACACTCTTCTGGTGACACAGACTGTGGCCTGTCTTACTTTAGAGGGTGAGTTGGCCTGGGTTTCAAAGTGCACTCTTCTGGTAACACAGACTGTGGCCTGTCTTTGTTTTAGATTGTGAGTTTACCTAGTTTTTAATATGCACTCTTTTGGTGACACATACTGTGGTCTAACTTTGTTTCAGAATGTAAGTTGGCCTAGTTTGTAATGTGCAGTCTTCTGGTGACACAGACTGTAACCTATCTTGTTTCAGAGGGTGAGTTTGCCTAGTTTTGAATGTGCATGCTTCTGGTGACACAGATTGTGGCTTGTCTTGCTTCAGTTGGTGAGTTGGCCTAGTCTTTAACATGAGCTCTTCTAGTAACATTGACTGGCCTGTCTTGTTTTAGAGGGTGAGTTGGCCTAGTTTTCAGTGTCAACCCTTCTGACTGTGACCTGTCTTGTTTCAGAAGGTAAGTTGGCCTGAGTTTTAATGTGCACTCTTCTGGTGACACAGGCTGTGGTCTAACTTTTTTCAGGGAGTGAGTTGGCCTGCTTTTCAATGTGCACTCTTCTGGTGACACAGATTGTGGTCTCTCTTTTTCAGCAGGTGAGTTGGCTGTGTTCTTATTATGCTCCCTTCTGTTAACATATGTTTTGGTTCTCTTTCAGGAGGTGAGTTGCTTGGCTTTTGGACATGAATTACTCTTTACTTTTCTTAGTATGTAAGTTACTTGTTTTTTACTATATATTTTATTAGCAACTCATTTTTGACATTTTCTTTTTAGGAGGTGAGTTGCCTATATCCTTATCCCACCCACTTATTTCTTGCACCCCTTTTCTTTTCATTTGTAGAAAGTATGTGGTCTTTTGCATCTCTTGTAAGTTTTCTTTCATATCTTTTATATTCAATGTACACATATTCAATCATTATTATTTACTAGATAATTAACCTTTAATCAATATTGTTCAAGTTGGTTAGTAAATTTCAGCACCCCAAAGACCAATTTTATAACATGTCCATGTTTCCTTTTTGTAGGATGTAGGTTGTCCATTCAGTCTCATTTCTATGACCCTGATATACGCTTTTTCGAACTCAGATTGTATGTTTTCATTTCCTGTTATTCATTGATACTTATGTTTTGTAGCTTGTATGTCTTTAATCCATCTCCAAATTCCGGCACTTCCCTCTTTCAACTATTCTTTTTATTAGGAAGTATGTATTTCTTCACATTATTTGACAAGGTCACTTATTTCAGATATACAGTGGGCAAGTCAACTCCATTTTCTATCATATAGAATCTTTGGTGTCATGAAAGTTTCCAATTTACAGAGGGTATGTTTTTCCTTTTGCTGTTACTGCTCACTAAATAGTCATCTTCAAAATATACAGAGAGATTCAGAGCTATCCAGCCTCTAATGAGCCTATTTCTTTGCAAAATGTCAAGTTTTGTATGTGTATTTATAAGCTCTATCTCTTCTTGTTTACCATCTACATCCCTCTTAGTGGTTGTTACATGCCCTACACCAGTGATTCCTGTACCACCTGTATGATTGAGCTATGTAGACACTGAGGAGAAGCAAAATTTCTATGTACTCAGTTTCACTTTCTGCCTCTTGAGGTATATGAAGATGCACTACTGATTGCTGAGGATGAGTATTGGTGACCTTGCCCCAACAACATGTCTTCCCCTCTACAAACAGGTTATTGTTGATGGTGCCTGCTGATTGGCCAATGTGTAAATTGACCCCATTAAAGGTGTAATGGCCACCAATATTGTCTCAAGGAGTGGTTCTCTAAGTCAGCCAAGTAGACCACCCAATGAATGGACCAAGCTGAAATTGCCTTGGATCATGGGTCAACCAGTGACATAGATATATTCAATAAATTAGTTGACAATCAATCCAATATGTATCATGGGTCAGTCAAAGAGATTTAAGTCTGAGGTCTTTACCTTCCCTGTAGTGTTTAAAAGTCCCATCTGGTCTGGCTTTTTTATGCCCCAGGGCTTTAACCATAACCGTAACTGGTCTGCCTTTCTCCCAGAAGTCAAAAAGACTGGACTGGACCACAAAAAGACTGCAGACCGTAGTTTTTTGCAGTCTATAGACTGGTCTTGGCCTTCCTCGGTTTTAACTGGGTTAAGACTGGTTTTTTAGCCATTCTGAGTTGGTAAACTTATTAAAATTTTTCATAGCTTTTATTGTGATTTTCAAAATGATGTCATTTTGAAAAAGAAAAGTTTTAAGTCTGAGGTCAGCCTGAGTGACAGTCACAGTGATTTGCATTATGTATGCCAGTGTCAATGGACTCAATAGAAAGTGCAGACTAGACATTGTCATTGACTGATTAATGCACCATATCCTCTAATCCTTACTACTATGTATCCCTATACACTTGATAAGCAATGATCTCAAAGAGGTGGCTTTGTGACTGGAGGCAATGTACAATCTAGTGTTCACAGGTCCAGTCTACAGGACTGAAAATATACATAGGACTGAACTGGACTGAACCACGGTCTGGTCTTTTTCAGTTGCAGTTGCCCACATTTCTGGTCAGTCCAGTTGCCAGTTGCCATGTTTTTGTAAATATTTAAAAACCAAAAAAGACTGGTTTAGACCGGTTGCAACTGGTCTTTCATCCCATCACATGTTGGACCTTACTTGCACACATTTTTACTTAATTTTCTTGAGATATGGCCAAAAACATTTTTATATGCAATTTGAATGTATATCCTTTCTGTTTTTGCCATATCTCAGTCAAATCTTCACAGAATTGCTTAAAGTTTTGATCAGTCTACAGAGAATTAAAATTTCTATCTATGTATGCTATGTACGTGAGGTAATATTTAGTTCCTGTGGTACAATAAAATTTTCAACAAAAGACCGGTTTTTTTTACGTTGTGGACCGATTAGGACTGGTCTAAAAGGGTCCAGTTGCGGTCCCTTAATATCTGGATTGGTCTGGACTGGTTGTGGTTGCCAGTTGCCTCGTTTTGAGGTAAAAAACGGGACTAGACTGGACTTTAAAACTCTAGTACAATTACTAGCAAAGCAATGAAGGTGTCACATAATGTGACTCAGCAGACATCCAACAACCCATCAACTTGAGACTTTTCTTCTTTGAAATGTCATCATTTATGAAAATTGCAATAAACGAGCCCAAGAATGTTAATTTCCATTAAGAATTGGTGTTTCTATAAAACAAGCCTAGTACATCTAATATTTTAAACAGTATTTGACATTTTCAACTATATCTTTGTCAGTTTTGGACCAATTATTGCTGTTTTGAAATATAATGACACATTCCCAAAAAAAAAAAAAAAAGTCCAATAGTAATGTAGACAGCATGACAACTAAATGACATCAGTGACCTATGTTCACCCCCTCGTCCTCCCCTTCCAAGTCCTTACTCTCTCCTCCCCATGCCTTTTGTCCTCTACCACCATGGTCAACCGCCGTATCAGTGATGACCTCAAGCTGGCTGCGCTTAGACTGAAAGCTTGTGGGCACGACTCAGTCTCCGAGATTCTAGATATTGTCAGCTTCTCAAAGAAAACTTTCTATCATGTTCAGAGATAGTACCGATGGATCGGGACTGTGGCAAAAGCTAATGCTATTGGATGTGGAAGGCCTTGGAAAATCTTACTTGCTGATACCCGATACCTGGTTCACCTTGCACATCACAAGCCAACCCTGTTCCTTGATGAATACAGAAGCTGCTTGGAACGATACCGCCTTCTAACTGTGTCTATGGTGACAATTCATCGCACACTTGAACAAGCTAGCCTGAATGTAAAGCAAGTCCAAAAAATGGCCTCGGAATGTGACCCCATACATTGCATCACCCAATATCCTGCCAGCTGTCTCTTGCCAATGGATGAAGTCTTGAAAGATGATTGGACCTATGCACATTTATGGGGTAGATCAGAAGTGGGATCAAGAGTTGAAGTCCATCAGCCCTTCTGCCAGAAGCAGTGCTTCTCAATGCTTGCTGCACTTGTGCTGGACAAGGGAATTGTTGTGGTGGATGTTGTCAAAGGGTTGTTTACTCAAGACCTTTTCATCAAATTTTTGCAGGATGATGTGGTTCGCATTTTTGTTCTCTTTAGCTTGTTTTTTCTTCCTATATGTGCTGCATTATCTCAACTCCCACTCACGACACCACATCCCAGCCCTTGAAGTGTGGTCCTTATTGACAATCCCTGAATTCACCACCACCCAGATGTGATTGAACTTGTGGAAAGCTATGGTATGTCACATTCCTCACATTTTGATTGCTCATCACTCTCTTTCTCAGGATGTCATGTGGAATATCTTCCCCCTTACTTGCCTGATTTCATGCCTATCAAACAGGGATTCTCTGTCATCAAATCCCACCTTCACCACCAGGGACTGGGATTTTACCATAGTGACTCAATGTATTTTGAGCTCTATGACGTGTGCACTCTCATCACACCTGAGATGACATGGGGATTTTTTCATCATTGCGGTTACTATCTTGGGTAGTTAGCTTGGTCATGGACTCATGTAGATACATCAAATATTATCATTTGTGTTAGCAAACAGTCAAAGACTCAGAGCAATACAAACAGCAGGATAGCGGAACAAAAGGAGCAGAACAATGTGCAAAGGGGTAAAGTAGCAAAGAGGAAAAGTGAACATTCAATGTGTGTGATACAATGTAACCTACCACTCAGAGAATTTTCTCCACTGCTGTTCTGCATCCAGGAGTGTCCCCAACTCACCAAGCAAGAGGCACCTTCTCCTCATAAATCCTCATCCTTGATCCAACAAAGGGCTTGTGGGCCTTGGACACTGAGCTTGATGAGTTTCTCTTTGAGTTGTTCAGGAACTGTGTAATGTTCACAGAAATCCGCAAGGCTCATGGTGGGTATGTCAGAGCTGTCAGTAGCAACACGAGCAGCGGGCGTGGTGGGAGCTGGCCCAGGGGTTTTGTTTGTCGGCCCACATAACAAGTCTGCAAGGCTGTCGAAGCTAATCAAGATATTCTGTGCGCTACCAGCAGTGGTGGCTGCAGCTCGGTGGCAGGCCATTGTGGCGAGATCAGTGCTGGAATTGACAGCAGACAGCGGACAGATCAAATAACTTGGTGGGGGGTGGATGCATGTCATTGACGCCATCGTGCTTCGCTTCCTAAAATTCATGCAATGTTAGCAATGTCATGATGCAATACTTTACCATCCCCCACATAATCCAGATGGACTTCACTATATACTGGACCATTATAACAATATTCACAAATCTGGACTGGACTGGATGGACTGCCTAAATACAAAAGTGGACTGGACCCCACTGGACTTCCAACACTTAGAATTAAACAAGAGAATTGGAATATATTTAATAGAACTACACAAATTTATCTTACTACATTGAAATTATACTACATGGGAGGGGGAGGGAGGAATGGAGAGTGGTGAGCTGCAAGGGAGGGGGGAGGGGATGGTGGAGAGTGATTGATAAAGGGGGAGGGAATGGTGGTGCTGGGCCCTTGTCGCCATCGTTGATGTGGACGTGGGTGGTCGTTGACGTGGACATGTTGTGGTCATCAAGTCCATGTCCATCGTCATTGTCCACGTCCTCGTGGTCATCAACGTGGACACATTGTTGTTGTTGTTGTTGCATGTTGTTGTGGGGTGGGCCACTTCAGTGACATGGCAATGGGTGGTGGTGGGCGCTTGTCATGGTTCGTGTGTGGTGGGGGTGGGTGCTTGTCGTGGTTCATTGACAGAGTGGTGGGCGCTCGTCTTTTGCCCTGACGTGTGTTGCCATTGCATTCGTCACCTGTCGTGGTGAGAAGGGAGGAATGGGGTGGTGGGACACATGTACCATTGGCCCTTGTTCTTGTCCTGTCCTTCTGCATTGGCATGGGCACTCTCAGGCACTGACCCTTGTTCTGCATTCTCTTGTTGTCATGCTTGTCGTGTGTTGGTGGGGGGTCATTGGCATGGGCGTTGCTTTGCATGTTGAGCAAGGGGTGTTGAGAGTGGTGGTGGTTGAAGGGAAAGGGATGGTCACAGTTCTGTGATCATCCCACAAACAGCAAACATGATGATATGGCACGCCCTCAAGTAAGTCACTTGCCACTTTCACCCTGCCAACTGAACAAAATGATCAATCCTTATTGCAGCTAGCCCTTACCAATACTAATACATAAATCATTAGCCTTGAAACTCCATCTATTAATTCAAGTCTACCTTATTTATTGTGTAGTCTTTTTTTGTAGTATTATAATTAATAAATAATAAGTAATAGTGCACTTGAATCCAGTGGACTATAACTGGACTGGGACTGGACTCTGAAAAGTGGCTTGTAGTCCAGTGCACTGGACTGGACTGGGCATTGTGCAAGCCAATTTGGCCTGACAAATAGGCCACTGGAATCCACTGGAATCCACATGGATTACGTGGGGGAGGGTAAAGACCTCTCTGCCCCCTTCTCTATCAGCAGTTTTGCAATGGCCTCATGGCCTTCATTTGATGCTGCTTGGAGTGCATTTCCAAAAAATCCTCCTCCTTGTGCATTTACATCTGCCCCCTTCTCAATCAGAAGCTTTGCAATGGTGTCATGGCCTCTAATCAATGCTGCCTGGAGTGCATTTCCATTTATTCCTCCTTGTGCATCTATATCTACTCCCATTTCTAGCAAAGCACATGATGCTTCAATCAATCCAGCAATTGATGCATAGTATAGTGGTTTAGCAATCTTAGCCTTCTGTTTTTGTAAATCACAACAACCACTATCATCTATATCACAAAGTCGAACCCAGTTCACAAAAGCAGTATTTTCCTCTGTCAGAAGCTTTATCATCAAAGCAAATACTAAAGATGACTGAGATTTAATTTTGGTACCATAATGTGCATGTATAATCCAATGTTGGGCAGCATACTTTGCAAGAGGGAAGGATATATCCACATTCACATCAAGTGGCTCAGATGTATGAAATTGCAGAAGATAGGCTAGACATATTTGAGATATGACAGAGTGTGACAGCTCTCCAGTGAAGCTGAAGTCTCTAACTTGCATGATAGCATGATTTTGAACATACTGAGATATTAGATATTCCTTGACAGAAAAGTGGGAAAGCTTGATGAAACCTATTTAATAGTAAGTGCCCATTTCAATCTGGTACTATTCTAAACCATACCTCCTGATTTTATAATAAAACTAGAACATATTTTCAAGACATCCTTGATATCTTGAAGTTCATTGTCAGATTTATACTCAGGTCCATCCTCAGCAGAAAGATCAACAGCAGCAGTTGTAGCCAGCTCCTCCAGTGTCAGTGGACGAACAGCAAAAGACAGCCACTGTAAAAATGTTTTTACATAACCATGATCTCTCTCCTTGATTCCCAGCAAGATTTGATCATATGTTTTATCCAAACCCTGAGGCAAATTAGCTAGCTGCTTTTTCAGATCAGTCTTAGTTCGGCAGTCTTTGAGCTCATTTAGCTGTAATGCAACCCAACAAAACCTGAAATTGCATTTAGTAATCATCCTGTTATTTGAACATTGATAATAAACATACATTCCATCTGCTTGTTCCAGTAATGTCAGCTTTATTTGCTCTTGAGTGTCAGATTTCCATTTTTTGAAGTCAGAGTCATTCTGAAGCTGATAGTCAAGATAGGTTACAAGATCATGATTCCCAGATGCCTCAACCAAGTCAAGATAATGATAAGACTTGAACTTTTCCTCAATATCCTGTTCTGGGCGACTAGTAACTATCAAGTGAAGCCCCAGATTTATATCTTTCTCCAGATTCTCCAAGATAACAGTCTCAATCCAGTTTAGAAGTTTTTCTCTTTCAGTACATTCATCAAGAGCATCCAGAATTATGAATGTCGAACTAAAGCCATCAAGCATTGCTTGAAGAGTATTCTGCAAATCAACTAGAGTTGGCTCTTGATGGCCATTGCCACAGTGATCATACAGATTCACCAAGACTTTAGGCACTTCACCCTTACATTTGAAAGAGAATTGCCAGATGAGTGATTGCAACAGTTTATCATACAGCTGGAAATCCTTCTGTGAGTCTCTTCCATCAAAAAAGAAATATGCAGTAGCAGAATTGAATCTTTGAAGAACATGGTGAATGATTGCTGAGCTGTTAAAAGAAAATTCAATTCAACTTCATAAAAATGTTGAAATTTTCAACCTCAAAATGGTTTTCCCAGAGCCAGCTGGAATGACGATCAATAACATATAAATTTACAAATTTTGACAGAAGACTTACATTTTCCTTTGATCCAGAGAAAGCCAGGCTGTTTGAGCCACCCATAAAATGTGTTTCCTTTGAGAAACCATTGACAGGTGTCTGATTGATTGCCCAACATTGCATGTGCAGCATTGTAGTTGATACTTTCCTTGGGTGGAGAAAGCCACTTATAAATTTTCCCCACTGTAACAAAGAAAAATGAAGTCAATTATATATTTGAAATAAGAATGTGAAATAATACCCAGTTGTTGGTCCCTAATCATCTCAAGTGAGATTTGAATATTTGAGTCCACACCTACAACTACAAATGACATTGAGATGGATATGATGCTTTTCTTACTACTCACCTTGATTGATGGTACCTATTAAAATATAAGTGAAAACAATAAAATCTGATGATGCAAATTCAACAAACCATAGTTAGAGCCTGTGTTCACATTTTGAGCTGAAATGATGTTCATAGTCTCTGCATAGTCTTCAGATTTGAGCTAGAATATATTGATCAGAGTACTGACCAGCAGGCACTTCTGCATTCAGAGCAGAAGGAATGGGTAGAGAGGTAGGTGAGGCAGAACTTAAGAGATCTATACAGAGTTATTAGAATGAGAGTAGAAAGATTTGGAGCAAGCATGAACCAGTCAAGATAGGAGAAGAAAGTTGCAAGATATCAACAGCTCCTTCCACATGACCTCCAACCTGATTAACTGTGAGATTTGAATTGATGAAGGTCAATATCAACTTTATAGCAAACAGATTGAGAGATATCTCACAGGCCATTTCAGTATCTGCTGACACAAGGCCAACATACGGAACAGGAGTGATTGCAGGAGAGGTAGGGAGGAGGGAATCTATATTGGTGTTACCAATGATGAATAATAGAGGTTTTGGGGTAATGCAGACCAGTGGGGGCAGGTAAGACTCGTTGCCGGCACTCAACCACTCTACCCCCATAGACATCAACCTGATCACCTGCAAAAATGATTCGATAAGCAATCAATGTTCACTATAGGGCAGGAAGATTGAGAGTATTTTACTGGTGACGTCCACTGCATGGATGGTTGAAGGTAAGATAGGTGGGGCAGAGTTAGGGCGAGCTATATCGATGCTAGTACCATCCGCGGATTCACGTATTGGAGAGAATAATTTCAAGATAGGCGGGGCAGAGTTGGGGCGAGCTATATTGATGCTGGAACCATCCGCGGATCGAGGTATTGGGGAGTGTAAACTCATGAATGGAGTTTCCAGACTGTAGAGCGGTTCGACAAAAAGGTCACTGGGTAGGGCACACATTGTAGACGACGAGATGGATGTTAAGAGGAAGATGCGGGTAGGGTGTCTTGTTTTGGGTGTGGCTATGCGAAAAAGATAACTCCGCTTTCCCAGAGCCCCAAGTTGAGTCGTTGACCACCAACGCCTTTTTCCCCCACCAGAGGGACGCCCTGCGACTCACTTATGGGCTCTCGTACTTGTAAAATTGTCCGTGTCAAGTCGAGGTTGTCTTTTTTCGGCCAGCTTCGATTGGGGTACGGCTTCCAGTCTCGAAGCAACCATAGACTCAATGACGACTCGTCCAATGTTTCTCTCTATGTTGTTCAGCCACTGCCGACATCGCCTGGATACCCTTACTCGACCTCTCGCTGCAATCAAAACGAAACCCGATGGACGCTTTCGTCAACATGTGCCGATGTAGAGAGAGCGGGGAGTCGTTGGGATTTCAAGCATGCGCGAAGAGTTAAGTCATGGGCGAGTGCACCAGCTCTGAGTGAGTTCCTCCTTTCATCAGATTTACTCCCCTTTCTACCTCACCTCGTTTTCCCCTTCTGCAACAAACTTTCCCCCTTTGTTCCGCATGCCCCCGTCAGTCTAACATACTGATAATTCTCTGACAGTTCCGGGGTCCTCTTAACTTCCTTTACGAACGTCATGTTTCTAAAGCGGGCAATGCCGCAAGGACAGCTTTCTACTGGCACAGCAATTGAAATCGGGAAGTTTACTGCATCCTTGCAGTAAGAGAGGATTGGAATCGACCTCCCAAGTCCATCTTTGGACTCCCACCCGGCAACCCACTCGAAGCCACTTTGCATATGACGGAGGAAACCTTGTTAGCTCAAGTTGATCGTCAGTATTTCTTTCTTAGAAGTCAACAACGCATGCCCTAAACGGCTTTTCATTGCAGACACGATTCCCAGCTCAACGACGCTGATACGCTCTGAAAAGCTCCACACACCATGCTAGGTCACTGCCGTCCACCTGATCATGAACGCAAGCCTCAGCTGGAGAGTAGGGATAACGGCTATTTCTCCCTCGGTAAGTTATCGCCCTCGCATATATTCGATCTTTTGCCTCGCTAACTGCTCCCGTTCGTTACTCAGGTCCTGGTTTCATAACACCAACGCAAGCCCCTCTTCGACGTCTTTCTAAGGACCACCACGACGCGGCCACTCGCATCCCTTCGTGGATCGACTCGCGAAGGAGATTTCGCTATGGGTCAATCCATCTGACGAACTCGCCTCCATACCTAGTCTCAAATTTTTGCCAGTGGCCGCAGGCAGATCTCTCACATACATCGATCGCCTCATCGGCTGCGCCCACCTTGTGGCTATTCGGCCATTCTCCTCTGCCAAAGCTCGCTCAGTGCTCGAAGCTTCTCGGTTACTTCACTCCCGACTATGTGTCGTTACACACATGCATACCACCCAATGGCCCCAATCTCTGCCTGGACTCAGCTTTCACACCGCGTAGATTATACGTCATACGTGTCCATCCGCACGTAACAGTTTATCGGTATCCTTTCCATTCTCTGAAGACCGCGCGCAGGCCATCGAGGTTCGTGTCCCGCAGCAGGGGGTCAAGGAGAAATGGGTGCGAATCGAGTTGAGGAAGGTAGAGATGTTGCCCGGGGTTGAACAGGCCAACACATATCACAACTTCGTTGGACAGAGCCCAGTGAATCTGTGGAACTCCACAGAGGAATACGCCCTACTACGTTCGGTGAGTACCGTCCTCTTGGATCATATCCGTTTGCTAAATTTCTTGCACCAAGATGTCCCATTTTCGATTCGGATACCTGAATCTATTCCGCCCAGCATCATTTGGAGAATCGTTGGTGGGCAGGCTCCACGTTCGATGATCCATTTTGCTGAAATTTTCTTTTGTAGCTGGCGTCAATCATGAGCTGGTGGCTAGTGCCAAGGTACCCCGTTGTCGCACAAGGATCTGCTCCTTCTCGGTGCCTTCTGCTGCTCCTCCCGCACAGACACCAGCCTCACGTTCAGCTTCGTTTAAACCCGCAGTTCCACAGTATTTGACTGCAGAACAGGAAAAAGCTGCTTTGAGGCGATACGAAGAAGCAAAGAGGGCAGTGGACCGTACTCAAGGTGGATTCATGAGTGATGATGGTCACGGCTCAAGATCGACCCTATTCCCTATGATTCGCTGTATCCTTCTGCCCCTGCCGGGTCTTCCTCCCAAAGTGGGCCAGCAGCAGATGACATTGTAGCACCACCCTCTGGTCCTCAGGCTATTCTGTCGGAAAAGGAGCGTATGCGACGCGTATACGAGTCTCAGGATGCTGCTGCACTTCGCAATAACGTCAATATGGAATCACCTTTGAACACGTATTCTTCTCCAATCCCTAGTTCTTCTTTCCTTTCAGTGATTATGCAGACGCCACTGCGCAAAAAGAAGCTTTGAGACGCAAATTTGAGGCTCGTGATGCTCTATCGCGCGAAAACAGCGCCAATGTTCAGCCACAAACGCCTCCTTGTTCCAACAGCACTACCGGACAAGTTAGATCTCCTGCACGAACTCGGAGTGCTAGTTCTACGGGAGGTCCACGGCCAACACCTGTACCACCCACTGCAGGGGGCAGTGGTAGGGTACTTTCGGCCACCGAAGAAAAGGCGATGCTCAAAGCCAGGTACGAAGCTATGGAGGCTCCTCAACCGCTGCGTATGAATGGAAGCACTCTAAGTCCATTAAATGGCCGACAAGCCAATGCGAGTGTTTCCCCTTCTCCTTCTTCCAGTGTCCCTGGTCGCGTTGGAGAATCTCCTGCCCCCCCCCTGCGCAAACTCCCCCACCCCTGATGCCCAGACCTCCCGCGGAATACATCCAAGAAACACAGGAGGAACATGCACGTGTTTCGAGGTTCACTATAAATGGAAAGAATTCGTTTTTTGATGAACATGATCATCTGAACCATTCTCCGAACATGATCAATGGGAAAGGAACCGGGCTCCATCTCCGTTGCCCAGTGCGGCTGCGAATGACCAGCAGCAGTTCACACCTCTCCTGGCCGGGTACGAGGGATCCAGTGTTGCCCTCAAGTCTCCTGGGCCCCCACCCCCGCTTCCACCAAAACCTGCTGAGTGAGAGAGAACCACGTTCACCACTACGTTTCCCTCCTCCCCCCTATATCCCGTTTTCCATCTCAACTCATTTGTCTCTCTGTTCTTGCCGTTTGGCTCCATACCCTCCCTCGCGCTGAAACTGTTTATTACACTTTCACCTTGCCCCCTATTGCCTGTGATATTGTTGGTATCATTCCCCTTGTTTTCATTACTACCACCATCTGTTTTCCATACAGCCGTATGTATGCTACCATTACTCACATCTTGGTGATACGCAGATTCACCCCAACGCTCGTTTAACCTATGATCCCTACTCTCTCTGGCTCAAACTAATGACGGGAGGATGGCAATAACCTAGCATGGCTTTTTGAGAGCGTTTTAGCTTGGTATTAGCGTCATATTTTCGTTCCAATCATTATCTAATCTTATCTCGCAACTCATGGCCAACACCGGTTACTACCAAGTCACTATCTCCGGGTCGTCCAACAGAACTCGTGCAAGTATATGGCGGCCCAGTGTCTCCCCAAGTATACGAAAGCTCTAACCCTTCGCCAATCATCAGTTGAGCGGAAACCCACCTACCACGATGTAGTCTTGGAATCTAGATCACTCCCACCATTGAAAACAGGGGAATTGCTTGTTAGAATCAATGCTGCTGCTTTCAACCACAAGGATGTATGCACCCTGAAATCTCTCTCTCTTCCACGAATAAAGCTCATTCATATACAATGGCCGCAAAGGTATGGATACGGATGGGCCAGTATCCTGGAATTGTTATGGGGAGCGTTCTCGGTGGGGATGGTGCAGGTAAGTCGCTGGGCATGCCACATCGAAGTGAGCACGCCGAACTGACTACCTCAGTACAGGTGTTGTCATCGCCTCTGGAAACACAGGAGACCCATTGCTAGATAAACGCGTGTTTCTCACCCCTAGTCGAGGTTGGGAGAAAGCCCCAGACGCCCCCGAGTCGAGGTACGGCAATTCGCTAACCACTGGCACCCTGACAGGTCTTACACAAGTCAGCTAATCTCCTTATTGCTCAAATTTAGATTTGGTATCCTCGGTGGCGGCTCTTTTCCGCCCCTTGGAACTTTTACACAATATGTGGTGGTCGAACGAGATCAAGTGATATTGTCCCCTGACCACCTAGACGATGTTCATGCTGCAGCGTGGCCTATTGGTGGTGTTACAGCTTGGAGGTAGTAAGATATCTGTCCTCTACCGGATATCTTTTGAAAAAACATTGACGCCTCGTTGTAGAGCCGTTTCCGTAAATGCGAACGTTCAACAAGGTCAGAACGTGCTCATAACAGGCATAGGCGGTGGCGTAGCTCTCATCGCGTTGCAGCTATGCATTGCAAAGGGTGCTTCCGTCTATGTGACGAGCGGCAACCCGGAAAAGATCCAGAAAGCTATAGCACTTGGAGCCAAGGGAGGTGCGAACTACAAAGACAGTAAGTGCAGAATTAACTTGTACCGTATCCTACTAATCTCCGACTGTTAATAAAAAGAGGACTGGCCTGCTGAAATCGGGGCTTTAGTCCAATCCCATAACCAGAAGGGCACCATGTTGGATGCCGTTATCGACTCTGGCGGAGGTGATATTCTAGGCCAGATAAGCAACTACTTGAAGCAAGGCGGGAAAGTGGTTTGCTATGGCATGTACGCACAACACCAATCCATACCCACTGCATAACCCAGAACGAAACCTTCCACGTCTTTTTTTAGGACCGCAAGCCCAAAGATCACATTCACGATGCGCGAAGTGTTGAGGAATCAACAGCTGCTAGGTGCGCTTCCATCGCGAACGGCCGTTCTACCTGATCTCTAACACCACTGGTTCACCCTAGGCTCTACGATGGGTTCCCACAAAGACTTGGAAGACGCCACTAGGTTCATTGAGAAGCACCACATCGTGCCTATCGTTACGCACGTCCTCCACGGGTTGGAATCGGCAGAAGAGGGGTTTGAGATGGTGAAGCGCGGAGACCACTTTGGTAAAGTTGTCATCAAGATGGTGCATACCGACAAGTTGCCGAAACTGTAAGGCGATTTCAGTTGAGTAGCATCTTCGCGCGCAGAACAGATATTGGCACAGATAGATTCTTCGTATCAATATGTGGCATGCATAAGGGAGGATTCGAACAGAAAGAAATGCCCGTATCAGGTGTTGGTGTCATTTATGATTTGGGTGTCATCCCAAATAAGACGTTCAAGCCACATATGTTGCGTGCGCGAAAAAGAGGATCTCTGCAGTGTCTAGATGTACATCAGAGCACAGGGAAACCCGTTTGTATGTAGTGCGGGAGACTAGGGTGCAGTTTGTTCGACGATCACAAGCATTTGAAGTGTACAAACATCACCACCAAATGACCACATCAAGCAATGAGCAACCACTGAATTCTCCTAAACTCCCTGACACAATTTACTAAATGTCTGAGCCACCACTCCTAAACAGCCGAAACTTCATCGTTATCCCACTATGTCTTCACAACAGGCATTTGACCCAACATTCGCGTCCATCGTCGAAATTTCAAGCTATATGCAACCATGGCCGATACTTTATGAAAATCATCCCCTTGCTCAATTTCATGCAAAGTTTTGGGGCAAGAACATGGCGGACGAGGAGAAGCAGTGGCTTGACGCTCAAAAGGCCAGTCCTGCAACGGGAAGTGAGTTTGGGTTACGGAATCAGGTAGGAGAGGACGCCGTCGTTAACGAGAAGATGGTAGTGGATGTAACCATGGATGAGGCAACGACAATGGATCCAGATGACGATATCATTCCGGGTTGTTATATGCTCGACATTGGCATTGATGGACTGATTTCAAAACTGTGGATCAGAGCTGAATACATTCGTGTTTTCAATTCTGTTAACGCTCATTATGACGAACCCTCGTTCGTCGGTAAAGCACCCTGTGCAGTCGTCACAGGCCAACCAGGGATCGGTGAGCTTGTCACCTCCTCAGATTGTTTCGAAAATGACAGTTTTGCACAAAGGCAAGAGCGTATGGGTCTATTACGCTTTGCGCCGATGCTTTGCCGAAAGGAGGCCGGTCATTTGGTACTTCAAACAACGCTGCCACTTGTTTGTGGAGGAAGGTGTCTACGAGATGCCTAACGACTTTCAGAGAGCCGAACTCAAATCATTCATTTGGACCTTTGTCGATTCCGATGAGGACTCTGTGGGCATTCCAGACTATCTAGTCCCTCGCGGTACTCCACTTTTTGTCATTTTCTCCACCTCTCCACGTCGTGCAAGGTGGTCGCGTTTACACAAGACGGTGATGGCCCCGCTAGTTGCGATCATGAATCCATGGAAAAGGAAAGAGATCTTACGAGCGTAAGTCCAGTATCTGATTTTTCGACAAAGCTCACACCTTAAAGAACTTTAGTGCATCGATATACCCCCTAGGTCGCATCAATGAGTCTCGCACCAACGAAATATTCGACCAGCTTGGTCCTACCCCTCGCCTCTGTATCGAATATCAACTAGACCCTAATGCTCTGAGTTTGTACGAAAAGGACATCTGCACTGCACTCTCGAAGGTCACGTCAAAAGACCTGGAATTGTTGCTCGTCGCCGCTGGCAATGGGGGCCTTGGGATTGATTCCATGTTTGACACGATTGCTCTCCTCACCCGCCAATCATTAGACGATGCGTATAGCCCAGGCATGGCCACTCCCATCACTCCTTACATCCAATCAAGACTCTCCTATCAGTTCCGCAACCTGGAACGCAAGGAACTTTTGCGTCTCTACAAGACCTTTGCAAAGGTGCGTGAAGGTAGGAAGATGGCTGGTGTTTTCTTCGAGGCCCTTGCACAGAGAAACCTTCAGGAGGGAATCACACTCGAGGTCGTTCCGATGGTCAAGTTGGATGAAGCCCGAAATGGAGTGCCTCAGTGGTGCTCCCGCCACGTATCCACAATCAATTCAAAACCGGAGGAACAGCGTATGGTGGCGTTGAACATCGATATCGATCCCATCCGAACGGAAGAATTCGCAGAAAACAAACGCCTGTCCCTTGCCCGCGATGTCATGTATGTCCCGGAAGCGGACAACAAGGTGGCACTCAACTCGTTTATCTGGCTCAATGAGGGGCTTTTCATCTTCCAGTTCACTACTGCAGAAGCCCATGGTCTACTCGACTTCTTCAAAGAATATGTGGACCCATTCCCGTCGAGCTGCAAAATTTTATTTATTGTTGGACCCAAGCAGCAACTAACCTGTCCGCAACCACGAAATGCCACCTTACGTGAGTTGGATATGTACTCTGCAGTAGTTGATGTGGAGGCAGAAATATCTTACTGGTAGGACCAAATTGGGCTGTTCGTCGTCGTACAACTTGAACTAAGTATCGTTGTACCTGATCTCTAACACGACTCGTTCACCTTGGGTTTCCACAAATACCCACTAAATTCGTTGAGAAGGCATCGTGCCTATCGTCACGCACGCCTTCGCGAGTTGAAGTTGGCAGAAGATGGGATCAAGCTGATGAAGTGTGGTGGTAAAGTTGAGCATCTACATTCGCGTACAGAACAGATATCGGTACAAATGAATGCTTCGTATCAACATGTGGCATACATGAGGTAGAAAGGAATGTCCGTATGGGAGATTTCATCAGGAAATCAGGAATCGGAGTGAGAGTGTTGGTAATATCTAAAATAAGGGAATAAGTTACGTTCAAGCTATATATGTTGCGTGCGCAAAAGGTATCGTCCCAAAAGATCTCTGCAGCGTCTAGGAATTCAAGAGTCCAAAGTCAAAGTCCAAAGTCCAAAAGTAAACGAAGTGACCAGAGATGGAGATAATGTAGATGTAATGAACGGGAGTGATTATATCAATCAATACGAGAAGATCATCAACCACGGGTTAAGCACGATCTACACGAACGCAAGGAAATAAAGAATCCATCATCAGCTCTAAAAAAACCCCATCAAAGAGAAAAGAGAAAAACCCACAGGAAGTAGTATATGACACCCAACAACCAAAGAAAGCGGAATAACCAACGCATAGTTCCACCCTTCGATCTGCCACCCAAACGGCACCACATCAGTGGTGAATATGATCATCATGGCGATGCACGCAAAACAGATGATGAAGGACAACTTGAAGCGTTCCCAGATTCTTGGGACTGCAAGTGATTGTTGTTAGTGCTGAAGCAATAAGAGAGGAGGGAGAGGAGGAAGAAGCCACAAACCTTCAATCCAGAATGAAGACCTTTCGACTTCTTTTCCCGTTGATCCCCAAGTCCTAAAATACATCATCAGCGGGCCGAAATATCGAGGCATAACAATATCTCACATATCGTACGAGAACAGATGCGCCAGGAGAGCGGTTGAGAGATGTATACTCAGCCCACCAAAGAAGAATAAGCTGTTGACCATATTAGTCGTCACAATCCTCACAGCTTGTGAAAACACTCACAAGAAAGGTATCCACCTCAAGTTCTCCAAAAGCGCACCAGCCATATTCCTATGCCCAAGCCGATATTCCAGGAGCGTGTACCCCACATTTCCTATACCAGGAAAGACAGCCGTGCACGCAAGGAGAATCTCGAAACTGTGTAGATAGAATTGATCGATTTGGAATGAAAGACCCAGTAAGAGATAGTTCATAATCGAGCCGAAACACGCGGCTGCGATACCGTCTGTAGATGGGATGTTAGAAAGGTTGATTGATACTTGGGCACGCTTCGGGTAATTGATGGACTTACAATACGAGAACATATCTAGAACAGAATACGAGTGAGCCAAATTAGAAAGATGAGAGATGAAACGAGGCATACAAGACATCATTCCAATCTTATAATGAAGCGGTGCCTTCGACCATACGAAACCACGGAGTTGGGGACTGATAGGTCCATGACGCCACCACTTGATAAGGGGGTTGAAGATGATCTCGTTACAGCCTACAAGAACGCCATCAGCCTTGACAAACACAATGGAAAGAGGGAAGAAAGAGAGACAAACCATAAGCATACTTCTGCCACCTCGCAAGCTCATCAACAACAGTCAACGACACACCCTCCTTAAACCCCCCCTCAGAATACGTCGCCCAGCGCAAAGTATACCCCTTCAACAAGAGCCTAAGCGCAAGATCAAAGTCCTCAGAGACGTTAGCCTCCGACCACTGCTTTCGCCTCCCATCCGCCGGATCGATAAACGCCGCGTCTTGTACTGCAGACCACCGTAGAAAGGCATTATGTCCCACAAAAGGCGCTACTTCGCCATTAGCGCACCCGAGAGAGATGCACTTGTTAATGCGCCGCGTGAAGTGGGTTATGCCGTTTTCAAAGTAATGGTGTGCGACTTGCATGACATCTTAGAAGTGGGAAAGTTGAGCGCGTGTGAAAATAGGAGGAGAAAAGAGAGAGAGAGAGAGACTTACCAGATTCATGTTGGATAATAGCCACATCCGGAGACTCTCCCATCTCCCTTGCAGCATCCCTAAAACAATCCTTCAGAGTGGCCAGTCAACCTTAGCCAACTTCCTCACAAAATAAGGGCATACCTCCGGGACAACCGTATCCGAATCAATAATCAAAATAATCTCGCCCACCCTCAACGACTTCCCATTCGCACAGCGGGGCTTCCACTTCTTCCCACTTTCTTCATACATCTCCTCTTGCGCCATGCGCATAGCCTGGTCCTCGAGGTAATCGTCCCCGTTATCCTGCGCGCCCTGCGCTTCCAGCTGTGCGAGGAACTTCTCGAGCTTGAGTGAGAGTTGCAGACCATAGTTCATGCTGGTGAATCGAATCAGTAAGCTGCTTAATTGCATTGAATCGAAGTGGAGGGAAAACACCCACTTGCTAGCCTTCTTGAACTTGCCCGCCCTCTTGAACCCTTCAGGTGAGGATGAATGAGGCGGCCTAGCTACCCAGCCAATATTGTGGTTGGCGTAGAATGCAATACGCTCGTTCTGGTCGGTCTCTGGTATGCATTGCATACCGTCGTCGCAGATGAAGATTGCCGAGGTTCCTCCTAATTCATCAATCATCATGAGACGTTGGAGAGATGTATAAAGAAAGATGGGGAAACTTGCCTTGACGAGCATACGTCTGCATAGCTCTCTTTACTGAAAAAACGGACAGGGATCTACAGAGCGCAAATTACGGTTAATATATGCTGTTGAAATGCAAAACACGCATACATGGTCTGCTCCAAACTCTCCTTGTACACTGGCATTTGGATAGTGATATGCGGCAGATTATTGTCAATCTCTGGGTTCGGCGCGGGTTTGATGGCGGAGTAGTACATTGAGTTTTCATGATATTGCGCTACAGGGCCAAGTCTGGCGAGGGAAGAATGTAAATATATGCGCTTGAGATTAAGTACAATGGGAAACGCACACCAGGCAGATGTTACCGATGAGTTGGAGGCAAAAGAACTGCAGCAGGTTTACTCAGTAGAGTGGTATGGGAGGGAAGATGTGGACGTACGATGGATACGCAATAAATGACAGGTAAAGTAGCCAGCAGGGCAAACCGAGTCATACTCCCATCTAAAGCGTATTCTTCGAGGAGTACACGAATACCCGACGACATGAAATCTGACGCACGCGTAAGTGGAAAGCGTAGCACGTAAGACAATAAAAGAAACGTACAAGCAGCCAACGCAGCACCAAGCCCCGCATACATAGGCCCAATAAGAACCAATTTCCTCTCCTCTCTCTTGCCTGGGGTGCCCTTCTCTGGGTCAGCATTGACAGCAGCCCCATTGCGAGGCTTCAATTTCCAGCCCCACCAGTTGTCTTTCGGAGACGGCTTTTCTGTCTTGGACTCGTCCTCGTTTGACTGCTCTTCCGCCTCTTTCTCATTGAGCTCTGGTAACACTTCTTCTCTCGTCTGTGAGGAGTTGAGGGAACTAGCCAATGACGGGGTCTGTTTCCGCCCGATGGCCCGTGTGCGCCATATATGCTTGATGAGCTTTTCCTCGAACTCTCTACAGAGCGGTATCATGCCTTCTAAAGCATAACTCCAGAGAACGACCGCATTTTCGTCTCGCTGAAGAGAAAATTCCCAGTGTAAGCAACGGGTGCATTACGAAGGAGTGAAAGAAGTTGTGGGGAACGTACGATAAAAGCACCGCATTGATCCTTCTCTGCCTGGGGCAGCTGATCCATCGATTGTAAGATTTGGATGCGGGTGTTTTGGTCGAGATATAACGAATCGTCCGTTGCGCCGCTGATCAATTAGGTGAGAAAATGCGCATTTGAGTGAGTAGTGAAAGCCTGCTTACATTTTACGAATGGCAGCGTGTACGGCGGCACTGCGTATTTTGACTGCGACGACTGGGTTGAGTCTCCGAACTGCAGCCTCGAAGGGGATGAGTGAACGGTTCTCATAAGGGAACAAGCGGAAGAAACCGCTGTCGACGCGTATGGCTACACCCGTCGAGGCGGTATCTTGTGAAGGCATGAACCAGTTGTCCTGTTGCGTGTTCTCATCTGCGCAGAGATTAGATGAATATTATTGGTGAACACGATGAAAGAAACTGACAGATTTTGTGAAGCCATGCGTCCCAGAGATCATAGTCGCTGTTTTGGATGGTGACCGCGGTCATGGAGGATTAAGGGGCGTGGATTAGCAGTAGTAAGGTAACTTTTAGTAGTAAAGAGGGAGGGGGCAAGAGCGGGGACCAAAGAACCAAGTGAAGGCTTTATGGACATCATGGACAGCGATATACTTAGTAGTAGGAAGGAACATGATGGCCTTTCCAAAAACGTAAATTTACGAGTTATTTCCTGCCCACCACGGACCCTTCCCTTCGACACAAATATCCCCATACAGTCCTTCATCCTGACACTGATATTGGTGTCAACTGCAAGTGAGCATCATTATCATTTCTCCGTGCCCTCCATTCTCACCTTCTACCGCACCTGACACAGTACCTTTTCTTCTCTTATAGACAACTTTTGTTGAGATCATTATACCCGTTATCGATTCGACGAGTGGGACAAATTATGATCCTACATAACAGACTGTATCACAATATACCTCAGCAAAGCGTCAGTTAGAATCACGCAATACTTGGACACCCGTGAATCTGACTTTTTTTCCTACAAGTTTCAGCTTTGACATGCACCGGCCATGGCAGGCATGAAGGCCTTGAGGAATCAATAGATTGCATCCCCGACGGCCCAACTGATTATCTTCCCGCGGGAAGAAAAATCCCAGCTTCGTACTTACCGACCCATTGGAATGCCACCGTATTTCCTCTTCCTCCGGTGAAAAGAAGACCATTTTATGTAAATAAAATGATGCCGATGTCCTGCCTATGGAGCGGTACAGCCCACGTTGGTATTGCATACTCTCCCACCCGGTGACAGCCCCCATCGAACCTACCCACACAATCTTCAAGTTCATCCACACCCGGATGCTAGACCCACCCCTGGCGACAAAAATATCAAGGTAAGTGATCAGAATCTTCTTACCGTCCATCCCTAATTAACTAATCCTCTTAGTCGTTTATAACTGTCTTCCTTCCAAAGTCGTGCACTCACACTTCGAATTATCATCCCCCAAGTTTTTTTTCGCCATGTCCGAAACAAGCAGCAAAATCTCTACCGACAAAACTCCATCCGAGCCTACTCGTCCAAACACAAGTAGCTCCCTCGCAAGCAACCCATTCACCCCCGCCCATCCAAACACAAGCAGCTCCCTCGCAAGCAACCCCTTCGCCACACCCGTCTCCAGCCGCCCCCCCTCCATCATCGCAACAAGCACCCGCATCGCCGGTCCCTCAAAAGTCTCCTTCTCCGAAACCACCTCGAACACCTCAAACTACCTCACAATCCCACCACGCACCGGCACCATCCCCGCCTCGCGCTCAAACCTCTCCGCCTGGTCCTCCTCCTCCCGCCTGAGCAACGTTTTCCCCAAATCCGAGTCGTCTACTACTAGTGGCGTACAGTTCCGCGGAATCAACGATGCTTCAGCCAAACCACCCGTCCCGCGCATGCGCTCACACATGCTCCCGGAGGGCATTGAGGTCCCCAAACCATGGTCCGACGTCAAAAACCCGCGAGCGGCGATTTCCTATTGGATGGTCTACGCGATTGTTTTTATGGGTCTAGCTGGGGGCGCTGTGCAGTGCTATTTCACGTATACGGGCGTAGCGCTTGATAAGCAGCCGCTTTGTCTGGTGATGGAGGAGAACTTTGATAATGAGACGGCCGTCTTTGGACCTGGTGGGACTTTTTTTAGGGAGGTTAATATGGATGGATTTGGGTTCGTACTTTCGAATACGTCTAATTAAATTACTTATCGACAATCTTCCTTAGGAATGGCGAATTCGAAATGACAACCGCATCAACGAACAACTCCTACGTCTCCAACGGGCACCTATACATCGTGCCCACCCTCACATCCGACAACATCGGTACAGCCGCCGTGCTCGATGGGACGGTGTACAATATCACAGACTGTACATTCAACACCACCGCTCCGGACAATGGGTGGATCGATTCAGGGAGTGGAAGGGTGTTCGATTGGGACTCGTATTATCGGAGTTGTAGTGCTGTTAGCAATGCTACGAGTGGGAGTATCATCAACCCCGTGCAGAGCGCGAGGTTGACGACGCAGTTTAGTGCTAGTATTAAGTTTGGGAGGGTTGAAATCAGGGCGAAGATGCCGAATGGGTGCGTAGAATTTTTTTCAACATGGGGAGTGTTGCTGATACCTGTTATTTCAGAGACTGGGTAAGTTGATCTTGTTGTTCTGAAAATTCGTCTGTTAAGCTGTGATCCCGCAGCTTTGGCCCGCTATGTGGATGTTACCCAAAGACAACGTTTACGGTGCTTGGCCTCTCAGTGGCGAAATCGACATTGTCGAATCGCGCGGTAACGGCTTGCGATACACTGCCCAGTACGTCCCATCCAATGTTATCTTCTAGCCTAATACAGATAGTACATTCCTATAGTGGTTCAAACTACGTCAACGGCGCACTAAACTGGGGCCCAACGTTAAACCTCAACGGGGTATCCCTATCCCACTCCTGGTGGACCGAAAAACGCACATCATTCGCATCTGATTTTCATACCTACGCATTGGAGTGGACCGAGGATTTCCTGTACGTTTTTTTCATTCTCCCTTGTTTTCCATGTAATCAATCCTGAGTTTTTGCTTTATCAAATTTGAAGGCGGATATACGTCGACTCCCGACTCCACACGCTCCTAGACATGCGCTTCAACATGCCTTTCTTCCAACGAGGTAATTTCCCAGAGGTCATATACAACGGATCCTCCCGCACTCCCCTCCGGAACCCATGGATCAACGGGACGAGCGCCACGCCATTCGACCAAGGTAACTCAAATCATCTTTCTCGCTCTTTCCATCATTCTTACCTTGATTGAATACGCGCCAGAATTCTACCTCATCTTAAACGTGGCGGTAGGCAGCACGAACGGGTGGTTCCCTGAAGGACAAGGCGACAAGCCGTGGCTGGATCACGCCGCTAGTACGTCTACGTCTTCTCCTCTCCTCCATTTTACTCTTTCCTTTTTTCTAAACCGAAGCATACTTTTTTTCCTGCGCTGCATAGACCCGATGCGCGATTTCCTGAAGAACATCAAGCAATGGTACCCCACGTGGCCTGCAAACGCCGAAGATCGTGCGTTGGTTGTGTATGTGCATTTTCCCCGTCTGATCCTTTCCGGGAGTGTTTGTTACTCACACATTTTTTTTTTGCAGTGACTATGTCAAGATGTGGAAACATTGTTGACCGGGTTTCGTTGCACGCCTGTCATAACGCGTGCCCTTGTTCTTTGGGTCGACTTTATTTATCACGATAGGGTTGGGTGCCATGCACTGCAATCAGACGCTTTAATATGTATTACGACTATGATGCTTTAGACCACAATTTAGCATGGACCTTGCCTTGCGTACGTACTTTACAAAGTTGCAACTAAAATAATCGTTCAATCACTCCTTGAATCGAGCTAAGGCTACAAACCCTCACCGGGGCCCTAGCTTACCCCTTATGTCGTTACGTTCATTAACTTGAAGGTACTAACACTCTAATCATAATTAAATTTCCGTCCGCCCGTGTTGGTGCTTCCTGGTCTTGATCAACTCTACCCTTAATTAAATTTCCTGCGGAACGGCCAGGAACCGCCGCGGGACGGAAGAAAATACTAGTCCAGGGTGGTGGATATAGCGGACAGCAGTCTAGGTTAAGGAGAGTCAAGGAGACATTTCGCAAGTGCCAAGACAAGGGCGGCTAGAGCTGAACTAAGAATAGATAGGTCGTTCGATAATTCTCAGCCTATACGCATCTTAACAAAAAAAGATCAACGGAACCGGCACATCTAGAAACTCATTTACATCAGTGATAAATGGTGAAACGCCGATGTTTGGTACGACATGAAGACGGGGAGTGTCCAAGGCGGCTGGAAAAATTCAAGGCACGTACACCTTACAAAAAAAGCTGGCGCTAAGCAGGGAGAGCTGAGCGCTCAGGATTGCAAAGGTTGCGTTATCGCTGAGCCTCGGCCGCGTCGCTAACGCGGCGACGGAAACCGTGCCTCGAAAAGGCACAGGTGTGTTGTACTTGCGGAAGGCCCGCGTCAAGTGGGACATTTCCTCCTGAAATTCAGCAGAGCGAAAGGTAAATGATGTTTATCTGCAATCGCGTAGACAAACACGACTGTGGATGCCAATGCATGCATTTCAGAGGCCCTGAACAGTTGAACCCCGTATATATCACAACGGATCAAAGTCAGCAGCAGCGCAGCCATGATCTGGACAAGCCCAAGAACATTCAGGGATAAATTCTCTGTTGAAAGCAGCAGCCTAGATAGTAAGATTGTCCGAAATGTGAACAATAGTTCCATCGTCGCAAATAACCTTGAAGCGCACTGGGGGGGTGTTTGTTAGGGAGAGATTCAGGGACAAAAACCTGATGGAGCAGAACGTACGAACTGTGAAGGGCACACCCTTTTCTTTTCGTATGCTGGTAAAGTATATCGTTCCCGAGCCTGCGCGAGATAACAGGGAGGTGAGCAAAGATAAGAGGCATGGGAAGTGAACAACCGACTTCGTGACCCTCGTATCCTAAAGCTGACATCGATATTACCCTGCAGCTGGTTAATCTAAGAAGCACCAACATAAAATTAGGTCGGGCGGCAGGTACTGGGAAACAAGAGAAAAAACGTACATGCCCACTTATCCAAGGGTCTCCATTCAACCACCACTCCGGCTGCGGTCTTATCACTTCACCCAACACTTGTCTCAACTGAGGATCCTCCCGCACGGCTCGCAATATGCTCCGAGATACAGAGCTTGAAAGTTTCTCTTGATTCGTCACGTACGCCATGAACCCCGACCACCCCAGCACGGCAATGGTCAATGCGGAGATCGCAACAGGCCACTTGGACTACAACACTGGATGTAAGAACATGAACGGGCAAATGCATCTAGAACGTACTTTTATTTTTGGCAACTCTCTATATGGTGGGTGTTTGGCGTAGTAAGGCCGCGGTTTTGAGGTAGCTGAGTATGTCTCGACGACGGGCTCGCTTGTTGAAGGCGGAGGTCGAGGAAGTTCTGTAGCGTAGTGCCTAATGCAGCTACCGAGAGCTTCGCGCCTGCACAATGCGCTACGTTGCCTGACGGCACGGAATGCGATTGAAGCCATGAGGGCTATTGGTAGTGAATACTGTTTTGAAGCCCCTTGGCTCGGCCAAAATCACGTGTCGAGTTATCTTTGCTCCGTTCGACGGCGACCACTTTCTTTCCCTCCCTTCATCAAAGTGATGGAATGCCAACAATGTGTTGCAATTCCACCTTTCACCCTTCTTCACGGGGTTCCGGTTAACACCTCTCATTTAGACGCGATAATTTCACCATTCACTCCAAAGCCGTCGTTTGCCAGGAATTAGGTGATATCACGATAGGCTCTAGTAACCCCTTTGCATTCGGCTTGCATTCCACCTCTCATACCCGTGTTGCGTATAGGCACAATCGTACACCCCCAAAGACACTATATTCGCTCTGGCAGGTCCCATTGTGATTGGGACGGGGTGCATCATCGCAGAGGGCGCCGTTACGGTGAACATGAATAAAGGCAGCTGCTAAAACATAGAAGGAAAGAAGCCATGCGAGTAGGAGATGATAACCTCTCTGAATCGGTTGTCGTGCGTTTTCTCTCAAGGCCATTGAACCACTACTCTTCAAGCAAAGCTGAAACGCTACAGACGGCGGCCTTTCTGGGTCCCGTGAGCTGAAGGTTGATTTGATTTCCAGGATTGAGGTGCAAGTAATTCAAAGCCAGAGAGGGTGCTGACCGCCTGCCAAAGGCAGCTCTAGATTTCAACTGTGACTTTTCTTTGGATCTGTGATGAGATTCAAATAACGCCATCATAGAAAAAGTCAACACCTCAAACAGAAATTGGGATGTTGCCCATTGCAAGGTTCGTTCTTCCTAACTGTTATTTTCCATTACTTACTTATCCACGTTCAGCTGGGGCGTCATCTGGCTCATCCATGCTTTCATATTCCTCGCTTTGGGAATCATCGTTGGCCTTGTTGTAAGGCGACTCCTTCGACCTTCTGGATTATGACCTGTCGTGTGATAGGAAAATGCTGAGCAGCAAAAGATTGACTCCTCACTTCCCCCCAGTCCCCGGATCGAAAAAGAACGTTGTCATTGCCTACTGCAACGTTGACTATCCTTGACGTTAACGCGCGTGCGTATTTGCAAGACCACGAAGAAAGAAAATACCTTGTAAAACAACAACGGTACTTCGACTATTTACTTCCTTGACTCCGGATTCGCGTTACGAAACTGATGACAGAATACAATTTTGATCAAATTACAATTATGTTTCTTGACGCGCTGCTCGCCATTGAGGAATCAGAGCTGGTGTTTTACGCCAATTGCTTTGCTGATGATCGAGCTGTCCAATGTGAATTTTTTTTCGAGGTGAACGTATACGACAACAGTAAAATGGTAAGTAAAGAGTCTGATCAATTGATTGTAAGTACTCGGGATGTTACTGGTCTGTTCTCATCAGAAAAATGGGCAGGGGATCTTACAACACTCTTATTTGGAAATTGGAAATATGAAAGAGACGTTGAAGGAGGCTGAATTACAGTGACCAGGCGCGATTGCATACCCTAACAAATTCGTGACTATGAATAAGAATGGTGGCCACCACGCTCGCAACGATGCTTAATTTTGCGAGGTAATCACGTACTCTGTGGCCTCGGGCACCTTCATGGAAGCGAAGGAGTCAAGAATGGGGGACGGGACGGAATACGGAGCCTTCATCAAAAGTTGGCGGACAGGGGTGTAAAGTGTATCCGCGATACTTGCCCTGTTGGGTGGATCTGCCTTCACATCCTCCCTCAGCTTTTTCTTGGTGTCCTGATCGAGGTTTTTCCAGACAGCCAACCCAAAGGTGTTTGCGTCCGGGTCAGATTTCAGGTTGGTTCTGATCTGTGCCGCAATGATCTGCGAAAGCTGGAGTGACCTGTGGCCGTTTGGAGGAGCAGCTTCATAGAATTGCTCCATATCTGCGCGGCAGTCTCGATCGTCTGGCTGGCCGATGGCGGGAACGTCGCTGTTGGTACCCCCAGTTGGGTCATTTCTGGCCGACAGTGCAGCGAGATGGGCCGGCAGATGGTCGGGTTTCAACCCAGCAGCGAGGAGAATCCTTCGATCTGAACGACGATGAAAAGAAAATGGGCATGCGAAGATCCAAGAATTGGCAGAAGAGCAGCTTACCGAAATATTGCAGAACTTCCTGGCCCTCGGCTGTGTGATGGGGGAATATGAAAGGTCCATGATGCGTAGTCAACTTTGGGTCCTAATATGTATTAATTAGTCCTATTTTCTGAGAAGGATTAAAGAGACGATTCCTACCAGTTTCGGAACATTTGAAACGATAAAGGCCACCAGTGGTGGGATGACTAGATTCGTCACGGCATTCACAAAGAATGCTGGGACCGGAAGGGGGAGGAGACTGAGAGCGCGTTTCACGTAGCCATTGATCTCGTTGGCAATTGGGCCCTGCAAGTTGGCTTTAGCCCAATCCGTTACCTTGGATTTGACAAAGTCTGGCAGTAATTTCCAGACGATCTTGAACAAGTCACCCGCTGAGGGGAGGCCAAAGGTTTTGGCATTGTCTTCGGTGCTGTCATTGTCGCTGGCACTGCTATCGACGCCGTGGTTTCGGGAAACAACTCGGACGATCTGAAGCTGGTCAAGGGAACGGCACCAGTTCATCTGCGGATTGTCGGAATAAATCCGCGCGACATGGTACCTCGCGTCGTGCTCTGTGGGACAGGTCTGAGCAACTTTCGGATCGCTAACATAGGCACCGAGCTCGTCGTTCGTCGTGATACTGCTGAGGCCTATATGAGATGGTGAGGAGGGCAAGATCAAAGCGGAGCTGAATGTAAGTGTCTGACCGATTCCTTTTGTAGTGGTCATTTGGACAGAGGGTAGAACGGACTGCAGAAGTAAGGCGGGAGTTCTTGAGAAAGCTTGCTGAATAGGAAGAACCAAGGTCGAAGTGACGATGTCCGAGTCCAGCAGTGTCTTTAAATACCTTTTCAGACGAAGAACCTGATGCCGCGTCACCGAGAGTGTGTGCAGAGAGAACCGTTCACCCGGTGAGGAATATCCGAAGGAGTGGCTGCGAGGAGGGTCAGTGGGGATAAGTTTCTCCTTCAAAGAGCCAAAGTCTCTCACAGGGCCTGCCAAGTATCGATACATCAATATGATGAACCTTTCTGAATAGACATGAGTTGCGAAAGACCTCACCTTCTGACCCACGCCCCGGCGGACTTTTGTGAGTTGCGAATGATAAATTTGGATCCTTCAAAGAGCCAAAGTCTCTCACAGGACCTGCCAAGTATCGATACATCGATATTTTGAACCTTTCTGAATAGACATGAGTTGCGAAAGACCTCACCTTCTGACCCCCGCGCCGGACTTTCGTGAATTGCGAACGATGGAGAATTGTTCATTCCCAGGGGTTCTGCTTTTCCGAGTCGATCAACCAATCCCGTTTGATCGGACTGCATATGACAGGTGCCCCAGCTTGAGATGGAGATGGCTGTGGAAATGCAGTCCCTGCATTGCTCACACTCATCAGACGTGTGCCTTTCAAATTGGGGACCATAAATGACATGACCTTGAGTCCACTCGATCCCTCTAACTCGATCCATTGGAAAAGGGTGTCTGTTTACATAGTTTCCTATGACAAAACATGCGAGAACGAAGACTCTAGTCACTTCTCTGCCGGTAGACGCCTGAGTAAGTGGGCTGTCCTGAAGAAGTGGCCAGAGGAGGGAGCGGGTATGCCATTACGTAGATCCCACCAGGAGCAAATGGTCAGCACGTTGATGAGGGGTTGGATGACGAGAGGCGCGAGAGCGCGACATCCTTTTATTGTGACAGGTGAGAACGGACGGGGAGCAGAGAGGGGGGTGCTTACGGGTACGCGTTCTTTTCTGCGAACCTGTTTATCTCTCGACGATGGGCTCGTTTGTTGAAGGCGGAGGTCGAGGGAGTTCTGTAGCAAAGTGCTGCACAGCGCAGTCTGTTGCCTGAAGGCATGTAATCCTATAGAAGCCACGAAGGCTTCGCTGGGCTACGGTAATAAATAGAGCAAAAACAGATAATAAGGTTTATCAACCAAGTGCTCTTGAAAACGGACGCATCGGCAGTCGAGAACGCGGTGAAGAAGCAGACGAGGTTTGGACATTGAAGATCCAAAGATCCGTAAGACAGCGCAGGTGTGTTCCATTGTCCATACTATATGCACGTCTTCTAAGGCGGTTTCAAGTCGAGTCGTCGACAGTCTGAGTCTATTAGAACCAAAACCTGCACGGTCTTTCAGCGCGTCTGCTATCGCTAAAGCGTGTTTCCCGTTCGTGGTAACGATGTATTGAAACAGTACTTGACTCGCCAAGGTGTTCCAGCAGCGACTCAACACGAGTTTTGTGTTCATTACAGAGCGGAAGCGGTTGTACGCTGTTGTACGGTCGCGATTTGGTCGCGAATCGCGATGATGAGATGCAATTACGTCACGGGGTCTACCCGATCACGCGGTTTGCAGCAATCTGAATCTCCTCCTTCGAAGGCAACGTTCACTCTACGTATTCCAGAAATACGAGTCGCCAAACAGTGCCAGTACTTCTCTTCCTCAAGCAAAGCTGAAACGCTACAGACGCCGGTGGTCTTTCTGGGTCCCTTCGTCCAGGATTGATCATGACTCTGCGGGTAGTAGTTGGAGGCCAATTGGAGGCCGTTGCCTGCCAAAGGCAGCTCTAGATCTCAGCTGTGACTTTTGGAGCTATGATGAACACCATCGCACGAAAAGTCAACCTCTCAGACGCCTCAGTCTTTTCAAAAAAAATCCGGATGTTGCCCATCACGAGGCTCATTCTTCTTGAAATGTCATTTTCCGTTACCCAGTGCCTATCCACGTTCAGCTGAAGCATCATTTGGCTCATGCAGGCTTTCATATTCTTTGCTCTGGAGATCATAGTTGGCCTTACTGCTTCTAAGGCGACTCCTATGACCTCGTGTATTATGACCTGTTACCCCGGATCGAAGAGGAGCGTTGTCGTTGCCTAATGCACTGTTGACTTTCTTGATGTTAACGCGCGTGCGCATTTGCACGACCATGAAGAAGGCAGATACCCTGTAAAACAACAACGGTACTTCGACTATTTACTTCTTTTTACTCTAGATTTGTGTTACGAAAACCGATGACAGAATATAATTTTGATCGAATTACAACTATGTTTCTTGACGCGCTGCTCGCCATTGAGGCCTATTGAGGATTCAGAGCTGATGTTCGACAGCAAGTGATTACGGGATGTTCGCCATTACTACTTATTAATAAACATGAAGGAGATTTTACGGCTTTAAACCAAATTAGGCGGGGTCGCAGCGGGCCTTTTCAATGGGAGTAGCAGGTGCTGTGGATCATGTTTCCTCAATGTTTCCTCGTCGAAGTTAGGCGACTTCTTCCTGTCTCTAGTTCCTTGGTAATAGTTCTGAGTTACTTCGATATCAATTGCGCCAGTCAAAAAACAAAAGAACTTCAAGCGGGATACGTCTTTGCAGCTGGTGCAATAGCCATTCTATTTTTAACAGCATCGTCAGCCATTCCAAAAAAGTATAAAAACCTCGCCAGGATGCGTTTTATGTCTTTCACAACTTGACCTCGGTCTACCACCACCTCCACTCACTGGCATACCCGCCTTTGCGACCACGCTCTGCACCCTCCACCAGTTATCCTCTCCTTCATCTTCAACGGTTCGACATCCAACATCTTCGCGTTAACTTGACCTCGGTCGACCACCACCTCCACTCAAACCCGCCTTTGCAGCCACGCTCTGAACCCGCCCCCTCCACTAGGCATCCTCTTCTCCGAGACCATCTTCAAGGGTTCGACATCCGACATCTTCACACCGGCTTTGCAAGATATGGGCCACGGCGAGCTGCTCAAGGTAATGAAACGAAGTTACTAACTCGCCCAACAGGATTCTGGTTAACATCTCTGGCCGTGAAACTTCAAGGTAACTATGTTGTTCCTTTTTTGTGTATGTCGGGTGTGGTGTGGAGGTGGAGGTGCGCACGGGGTGCTCAAGCGACACAGCGGCTCTGTCGTGACGAGCAGTGGGCGGGGGTTGATCTCGCGGAGTACCAAGTGGAGGAGTCCGTTTGGCGAGAGGCGGCTTACCACGGGGGGCTGGGACGGTACCGACACCGTGAACCAGGGCAGGGGCCGTTGAGCGTTGGCATCCATGTCACCGTGAGGAGGCTGGACAGTCACACGCCTTCGGAGGGGGCGGGGTGCGGTGCTGGGCGACAAAGCGGCTCTGTCGTGACCGGCGGTGGGCGGTTGATCTCGCGGAGTAGTGGAGGCGTCCGTTAAGCGAGAGGCGGCATACCACGGGGGGCTGGGACGGTACCGACGCCGTGAACCAGGGCAGGAGCCGTTGAGCGTTGGCATCCATGTCACCGTGAGGAGGCTGGACAGCCACACGCCTTCGGAAAATCCTTTTTTTCTTCTTTCTTTTTCTTTCTCTTTTCACGGGGGAGCTGGGGCGGTTTCGGCCGTTGACCAGGGCAGGCGTCTTTCTACCTTGCTAGTTCTCTTGCGATCCTAGTTGTAGGACTCGCTGGAAACCAGCAAGCGATGAGAGTTTTGGATCACCGTTGAATAACACCAGGGGGACCACGATGATATATACGTAGCAGTTTGCGCATTGCTGTTATAAACTTCAGCCGTTCGCATGTACTTATTTCAAGACGTAGCCATACCTCGTAACACAAAAAACGTCGAGTTTGCCTGTTCAGCCAGATTTCTTGATCTCTTGTGTAAATTTCGAACGTCACGAAGAGGTTGTTGATAAAGAGATAATAACCTTGAAATCACCGAATCGCTGATAGCATATAGGAAGAAACAAGGCCCCCAAAAGGCCCTGTTATTTGAGTTGATAACCCATCTAAAAAATGAGGTAAGGTTAATCAAGACGACCCCTTTGTATAACCACCCGACAGACCTTTCCGTTGGCTTGTTTTGTTTCGAATACGACAGGCAGGGTGTGAAGGACACATGGAATGACCATAGTATTATGGTGCGGAATCTTGGTCGCATTTCGCCTTCAAATAAAATCTGCGAAGTTCTACGCGAATTGCAGCATTGTGATGTAGAAGGGGCGCTAAAGTTCCTCTATTCCCGACTTGCCAAGTTACACAGTAAACCCACGGCAGCCGCATGCTTGTGATGTTTTGGAATAGAGACATGGATGAAGTGGTTGAAGTGACTGTTTGTGTCCATCAATTTGAAATCACATCTTCAACGACGATGTCGATGAGTGACCCTATCTTCCAGCTATGCTTGGACTATATGCCCCCACAGTGCCCGGCGTTGACGAGATTTAGAGGCAGAGAATAGATTGCAAGTGGATCTACGGAGCGCCTATGGCGTGCGATGATGACATCCTCTTCGTGATTATCAGGTCAACCGGACCTTACATACCACTTGTCACTACTACCCCCACCGTCGAGCAGCGGTCAGGTATGGCCGGAGCTCATGCGTCTTCGTCCTCCCATCCTAGATATGGCTCAATTTCTGAACAACAAGATGCGCAAGTGGGTTTGCACCGCGGCCTCTCAGCACGTCAAGTCCAGATGATCGCCATCGCAGGAACCATAGGCACAGGCCTCTTCCTCGGGACAGGGCGTTCCTTAGCTCAAGGCGGGCCAGCTAGCATGCTTATATGCTACTCCATAGTCGGGTTTATCGTCTACGTTACCCTCCTACTCCTTGGAGAGATGGCAACGCAGTACCCTGTCGCAGGGTCATTCAATGCGTACACTACACGATTCTTTTCTCCGTCGTACGGGTTTGCGCTGGCTTGGAATTATTGGTTCAATGACGCCGTATCAGTCGCGTCGGATCTTACTGCTGCTCAGCTGGTTTTGCAGTATTGGACACCGTGGAATCCTTGGGTTATTAGTCTCCTGTTTTGGTTGTTCCTCGTTTCTGTGAACGCTACACACGTGAAGGCATATGGGGAGCTTGGTACGCGAACCCTCCGCTTTCAGTACAGCCCCTAAACAAGGTCATTTTTATTGCAGAGTACTGGCTTTCTTCCTTGAAAGTGTTCACTGTTATCCTTTTCATCATAGTCGGCATTTTCGTGAATGTTGGATTGAATACCGAACATCGGTTTATCGGAGTCAGTAATTGGCAGATTCCAGGCGCTCCTTTTGTTGGTGGCTTTGGAGGGTTTGCAAAGGTATTCGTTACAGCAAGTTTTGCTTGTAAGTCTTTTTTGGTGGTGTACGACCGCATATATTTACTTTTTGTCTAGTTGGGGGTACGGAAAGCTTGGGGATAACTGCTGGCGAAACGAAAAATCCGTCCAAAAACATGCCTAGAGTCGTTAAGCTGGTCTTCTGGAGGTAGGTTATATTGAGCTCATCAAAAACGAATATCAATACGATTGAAGTGTTTTTACAGAATCATGATTTTCTACGTACTGAGCATCTTGATAATTGGATTGAATGGTAAATAGTCAGCTATCCGATATCATACTGAACTGACTTACTTCAGTACCCTGGGACTATCCAAACCTATCTAACAGAAGCACAACCACTTCACCGTTCACCGTTGTCTTACAATTAGCAGGCTCAAGTAATGACCTTTTTACTTCACCTGATACTCTTACTAACTTCGTCTCAGCTGTCGCCGCGTCTTCCATGAATACCGTCATCCTCACCTCAGTCCTCTCTGCAGGGAATCACGCACTATTCGCAGGCACTAGAGTTCTTTATGGTCCGACCCTCACTTCTACCACAGTGAACGAAATTATTGAACGTTTACTTTCATCAGGTCTTTCGGTGACCTCGCCACCCCAAGCCCCTAAGATATTCTCATGGACCACGCGGAAGGGTGTACCCATTCCAGCCCTCCTATTGACGAGCAGCATCAGCGCGTTGTGCTTTGGCACCAGCTTCATTGGAAGCGGCGTATTGTGGGGCTGGCTCCAGAATATTGTTGGTGTTTCCAACCAGGTCAGTCCTTTTCGTTCTTCCATCTATGTGTCATTGTGAATCAAGCGCCACTGTACCAAAGATTGCGTGGTTATCCATCGGCCTCTCAAGCTTGCGTTTTCGGAAAGCATGGGTTAAGCAAGGACGCTCGTTGGACGATCTGAAGTTCAGTGCTTCCTGGACAAGGGGTTGGGGTCCACCTTTCGTCGTACGTTGGCCACCCTTCTTTGCTTCCTCCATATGTACTCACCCTTTCTGAAAATAGGTTGTAGCTGTATCAACACTCATACTCAGTAAGTCTTTCTTCAACGATTTCCTTTGCAAATATACCTACGTTTCAACTTTTGTAGTCCAAGGCTGGTCATCAGTGATTCCAGAATTTTCACTCGTCGACTTTATTTCGTTCTACATCGAGCTCCCCGTCATGCTCATCATGTTCCTTGCTTGGCTGTATCTCAAGTCTCCGTCATCATCGTCTCAAACCTCACATTCACATTCAAAATTAACGATAATAAGAAACGATGCAGATGCGTCTCAACCTCTGCTACCACAGGAGAGGCTAATAAACACGGACCTCATACCCCATCGAAAACACTGGTACAGCGATCTCGTTGACGTGGATAATGTGGATCTATTGCGAGACGAGTATGTCGATGAGGAAGACGACATTGTTGATGATGAGGAGAGGACGAAGCGGGTCAGTGGGAGGTTGGGAGTGTTGTGGACGGTTTACTATTGGGTTTTATGATACTAATGCATAGATATCTGCACGAATGCATGGACATACTGTATAATAAGCATTGGTTTCTGTTAGTTTGTTGACAATCTGTGTCGTCGAGAAATGAGCAAGGAACAGTTGAGGAAACCAAGGTAATTGGATGGGTATCTCTATGTAGGTTGAACGTTCATATTACTTACATATGTGATTACAAACACGAAGAAAAGGAACCGACTGTGAGATATCGGCGAACGAAGTCAAGGGGTGGGAGATGGGGAGTTGGGGGCTATAAAAATACGCTTACAAGTATGACGAGCCAATGGAATATGAAGATAAAAGTCACAAATTAGAAGAAAAGGCTCACAAAGCAAGCGCATAGATGCTAACCGCCGCACGAAACAGTGCACAGCCAGCAACAAACAAGGTCAGGACAGGCGCCAGACCCTTTACAGGGGGAATTCCTTAATCATCCGTCAATATCCCCTTGACTCCACCACTCTGCGTCCGGCCTCCATCTCTCGCGCGAGCGGTGTGCATCCTCTTTCCTCCCTTATTTGATGGATTCCTGGACCGCTCCCGAGGCTGGGGTGAAGTACACGGTTCTTCAGCAGGTGTTACTGGGAAGGGGTAGTGTTCTTTGTTGGATTGCTGTGAAGGGAGTCGAACGATGGGCACAGGTACCGGGATCTGTTTCTTCCCCTTCTTGCTTTTCTTTGTGCTCCCGTTCGACTTGCTCTTGGTCAAAGCCGGAGGAGCAGGGGGAGGCGATGGTGGGTCGTCCTTTTCTGGTACTGCTGGTGGTGGGAGGGGCCCGGCGGGAGTTGGCGTAGGCAAGGAAGGTTCTACCCAATCATCCTCGATATCATCATCGAATGTCTCGCCTTCATCCTCGGGGTGGAACTGAAGATCGTCGTCGTCAAACGATTCCCCGCCTTTCCTTGGATCGATCTCGATGATGTCGAACCTGGAGTTGGGGCCTGGTGTGACCGGATCAACGGGGTCTTCCTCCGTGTCGATATCCTCACTCTTGCCTCGCTCACTTCCCCCAGGGTTACTAGCACCTGCACTTGAATTTGACGCTGATCTTGAACAGGACTCGAAAAATGGCTCTCCCTCCGCATCTTCCCCTTCCATATCCATATCCAAGTCATCAGGTTCCGATATTGACTCCAATCCCATGTCATCGTCGTCAGAACCTGAAGGCCACGTCGGAGGTTCGTCCTGAATGGAGAAAATAGTCTTTGGAAGCTGCAATTAATAAAGTTAGCGACTTTCAACTACAGAAAGCAAAACACATACTTCTGCAACTCTTTTCTTGAAATCCCACCATTCTGCCTCATCCCGACACAAGAACCCGATGAGCATACTTGGGTCCAATCCGCTTAGAGGCATTTTCCTGACACGCTCACAATGGAAAGTCCTCAGCTCCGTTGCACTGTAAGCTGAACAATAATGCTCCTGAGCTGGATCGAGTCCAGTATCACGTCCACCCCCGAAAGAGATACCATTCAACTCCCGATGGTCCATGTCAGAGGAGGAAACCATCGGAGAGCCAGCTTGACTGGCACTTGCAGAGCGCCATCGACCGTGGAAAGAAGATGGTGACTTGGAGAGGGAAGAGTCAGTCGATGATGTAGAGAACTGTTGTTGAAGGGGGGAGGGTGAAACTGGGGCGTGGTATGAGAAAGTTGAAGAACCTGTCCTGACTGAGGACGGTGAAGTTGGTGCGCGTTGATGAGTTGGAGAGCGAGCATGTCGGTAGTTGAAGCTATCTCTGTCTGACTCGGGTGTTGATTCCCGTTGTTGTCCAGGTGAAGGAGCAGGACGGAGTGGGATGGCAGGTCGAGTGTTGTGAGGGTCAAGGTAGAAGAGGTTGTCTGCCTGAGAGCCGACAAAGTAGTATGATGAGCTGGGACGGCCACCAGCAATGCCCACAGATTGTGGGAATGTGTACAAGAGCTGCGCAAATGACATTAATGATGAGATTTCCAGATGTATGCTCAAAACACATACCTTAATGGTTTCATAATAAATAGGATTTACACCTTCAATACCCAGTCTGATGCCCAATAAGAGGAGTACAGGTCGATGACCCCAAGTGGTAGTTTTAATCCGTCTTGGGGACCGGCTGCTCATTTCTCCATGGGAGACAGCAAAAACGTCGGATTGAAAGAGTGTGCCATCAGTAGCAACGGATACGCCAAGGCCAGACTCAGGGAAGGAATTTACCAGTGTCCTAGAGTCAACATTAGGTTACGCAGTAAACATGGAAGGGAGAAACATACTTAATGGCACCAGCAGCGACACTTGGGCCAAACCACTGCCCAACATCAGTTCCAAACTCTTTTCCAGCCAAAGCCATCCGATGCACACTAAACGGAGCTTCAGGCGCAGGGGTATCCAAGAACCACGTCACGATCTGCACATAAGTCGCATAATCCGCAGTTTGCACAGGATACGGAGGTCGTCGCCAATCTAATCAGGAAGAAAATGTAAGCGCAAAGAGACTGACAAATGAACCAAACACAGTACCTCGTCCCAAATGCATGTGTACAAGTGCATTCGCCAATAAACTCTGCCCAGTCCTCAACATACATCCCCATCCCGTATCACTCGACCACGTCTTCTCCCCACCCCAATTCCACGGCCGCGTCTTCACAGTCGTTGGGCTATTAGCAATTTCAGGGGCAGCATCGCCACACAGATCCGCCAAACGCGTATCCTTGATCGGTGTTGGGAAATGCGAACGGTAAGTCAACCAAATCCTCGAAGTAAAATCAATATAAAACACCGGGGGCCAATTAGCAGCGGGATTGTGAATGTGTTTCGTCGAGCTGGAAGCTTGGGACGGTGACATATCCGTGCTTGATGCAACTGAGGATGTAGAGGACCGGAACGATGGCGGAGAACCGGAGTTACGACGCCCTGGAGGGCCAAGGTTCATTGTGGGCGACCCAGCGCGAACGACGTCCGGGGTGCCAGAGCGCGTTGATGGTGGAGGGGGCTCGTACCCCGGGTGTTGAACACCCAAGAGCCAAATAGGTTCTGAACACTTGTCTGGAAGAGCGTCACTGTCAAGGAGGTATCGCATAGCCTTGTCCAAGTGGCCTTTCCCGTGTTTAGCAGCCGTTAATAGAGCTGACGCTTTGCTTTTCGGCGAGGCAGATGATTGGGATAGTAATGAGGGGAGGGACAAGTCGGTGGTGGACGTGCTGAATGTGTTGGCGAACCATCCAGAAAGTCGGGTTGGGAGGTCGCCAATGCGTGAGGCAGAGGAAGTAGAAGAGTAGAGTGTAGCGTGGGCTTGTAGTTCGGAGGTAGAAATGGCAGGCCGCTCGGAGCGGGTTCGAGGGCGGGGTATATTGACGGGTTCTACAATTACAGGTGGATCATCCATCTCCGCTGTGGTGTTATTCCCATTGTTGTTGGTGGTGTTATTGGTGTCTGGAGGAGTGTCCGATAATCGTTTGGACTTGTCTTCCTTGTCCTTCTCCCTGATTCCGAGAAATTTGCTGCCTTTGCGAGGGGTCTTCGTTGGCGCCGTGGTAGGTTCCGGAGATGCAAGGGCGGAGCTTCCGCTGGCGAGGCTGCTTGTACTTGTGCTTCCATTAGGATCCATCAACCCTTTCGCCCGATCACGAGTGGACTGCTTCTGAAGGAATTTGGGAAGTTTGGATGGGGCATGATTCGGAGGCGGTGTAGACGGGGATGATTGTCGTGAGTTCTTGTTTGACATGAAGAAGCAAAAGTAAGGGGCTGAGGAGGGATCGACAATTAGCGGCTGTATGTGCATACCACAAGATAGCTTACTCGTTAACGTAAATGAGGTTGAGTCGTGGAGGGATCCTGCTACCTCGTGGCTCAACTTGTGAGGTTTGACTTGAAAACGGTCTAGTCAGTAATGGGACGATGATGGAATTCAACGGTGGCAGGGTGCTGCGAAGGATGTAAACCAGCCAGGGATACATGAGTAGAACGATCACGACGGAGTGATGGTCATGTGTCCGCCAGCAACGGTGTAAAATGTATGAGACAAAACCTCACCTTCAAAACACAATTGATGTAGGATGAGTCGTTGCGTCGAGCCTCTCCTGGCGATGGCTACGACAAATGAGCAAGCTCGTTCGAGTGGTGGCGAAAACTAAAGGACGTATCAGTCAGCATCGTCAAAGTAAAACACCATCAGTACGAATCAAGAATAAGAGCAAAGACATGTAGCTCAACCGCCAGATCCGTTACACAACTGCATGAAACACCTCCTATAGTCGAAATCAGGCTACTTCCGTAAGCACCCCGCATTATCTTCATCCAGCATCTCCCCCAAACTAACAAGATCTCAATCCGGAACGAAGCAACGACAACCTACCTTCAATGGGGGCCTTGGTTTTGTAAACAACGCAGCGCCAAGTGCCTTTTGAGGATCAAAAGTGGAGGATGTCTTCCTGCCTGCCGAGATAGTTGAAGAGAAAGGTTGAGGATCCGAGGAAACTGCAGCGTCAGCGCGGTTATTTATGTAGAATCGCGCATCTTGCACAACGCAGGAATGTTCTCACCAACCCAGTGACAGCGAATACGCCAAAATCGTCGATGTTCGGATTACTTAAGGTTCGGGACACCCCGTTTCTAGGCTGATGACGTTTTCTCCTGCTGGATCACCAGCTAAAGTGGTGTGGAGAGAAAGGTCAACAAGGCGAAATAAAAATGTGAGCCTATGGGGGGGGAGTATACGTGGCGGAAGGGGAATGGGAGACGGTGAAAATGGTGGGTTGGTCGTCGCCCGTGACAGTGATAACCTTGTTTGGATGTTTGTCATGACACAACCGCCACAAAATAGCCGACTCATTCTGTTCTAGCCGGGGAACAGCCTGGACACTCTGCACGAGGCCACTCGCTTTTTCTTCTTCTTCAATGCAGGATGTTTATCGGAGTGCACATAAAAAAATTATGCGGGACTGGTGTAACAGCTAACGAGGTATCGATAGACCAAATTTCAAAACGCTCCGCTTAGTGATTTTGTTTACTTGTGGAGCCTCAGGGTATGTGCAAATAACCTTACTGGGAATCTATGACTATATATGCAACAAGTGAGAAGGGGCGGGAAGGCAATGCCCGCCAAATGGCTGGCCGTAGTTGTTTGGTCAGCTCCAAAAGTAAATAAAATCACTAAGCGGAGTGTTTTGGAATATGGTCTATCGATACCTCGTTAGCTGAAATATGTTGGCAATGAACATTTCAAGTCAGGTATGACCGAATCCCGTCTTTGTGATGTGAATAAAATCCTAACGGGCTTTTATTGTAGATTAAGCACCAAAAAGTAACTCTCGAGTCTCGACAGAGCTTAGTGACCTTAACATCCCGCCATCTGTAGTCCCGAAGTTATTTCCATGTCAAAAGCGCTCCCCGAGGAACTTACAGTTTGATGCAAAACCCTAGACACCTCCCCGAAATTTCTGAGCTCCGCCTTGCTTTGTGCAAACAACCTTTCGAGGGAGGAGGCAGGCGCGGATGACGCAAGTCCTCCGCCAACTCAGGGTATATGTAAATGGAGTGCTCCATGCTCCAATCGAGGCAAGGGGGTGCCGGCATTGAAAAAAAAGACCCGGGGTCGATTTTTTTTTTAAGGTGACCTTGAGGTGGACTAACTAACTAACGTAATCAGGAACGTGTCTATATATAGTAATATGACATCATTTGTGAGCGCTCTCCCCACGTTTTGCACAAGTTGTGCAGGCACAATTCCGGGGTGCTTGCACATGTTCCACACTTTTAGATGGAACTAGGCATATAACGTGAGTTGGAAAATCACTCAGTTCTCATAATACAATGTACTTACCCAGCGTTTCTCGCACACCTTGTTTGCATATGAGAATTTGATGAGGATACACGGCTACCACAATCTGGACAGATTGCGAAGCCCTCCATGGCATCAAGAACAGCTGGCTCTGTCTCAATGGTGTGATACATAGAATGAAACCAATGTTAGACATACTGTAGATTTTAGGATATTGTTGGTCAACGGTAATTCAAGTAATGTCAAAAAAATGCCCAAATATGGCAGGAATTGATGAATATCTTATATCATGGTGCCTGATGGCCTCTATTGGAGCTGTATTCCTCCCAGTACATTCTGTAGTTACTATATTATGCTGCAAAGTACTCAACTTAATGATTGAAGGCCCTCTGCCCAAGGTGTCCTTTTTTTTTTTTTCACAGCCTGTGGCTGGACTAACTAACCGGGTCCCGGTACGGGATTCCCGGGCCGGCACCCCCTTGAATCGAGGTTATGATGATACCGACCTGGGCCAAATGCGGCTGTTTGCACAAAGCGAGGCGGACACCAGAAATTTTCGGTGCCTAGGGTTTTGCATCTAGCTGTAAGTAAGAACGTGTTCCTTCCACTCAAACACGACATTTACCCTCCTACCATTTCAAGGGACGTGGCCAACATCGATCATAGGGTGGCCTAACACGCTTTGTCCACCCATCACTGACACCCACCATTATTGGTTGGAAACCTGAGCCACTCGCATTGTTCTCTGGTGATCATGTCTATCATTTCGGATATAATCAACGGGACTCTCAGTACGGATCACTACATGTCCACCTGGTGGCCATGCAGCACCTCCTGCAACCAGTCCACCGTGGCCAGTAGGTGGCTTAATCGTATTCCACATTCTCCTCTTTATAAAGGCGCCTCCATCTCCTTTCTTTTGTCACCGTTGCTCCCTGTCTTTGTCTCCCCCCTTTTCTTTGTGGCGCTCAACGCGTATATGAACCCGCCATCGACAATAAAGACCGCCAAATTAATAGCAATCCCCCGCACACGACTTCAACGACGCTTTCCCATTTCTCTTCCCTTCAAGTTTCCTTGGAAGATGAACTCCCCACATTTTCTCCAGCGTGTCATGTCTTTAGGAGACGCCTCAAGAATTCTCTACGACCAGGAGGACGATGCCGATTCGTCCACCGACGTTGACTCTTCGGACGAAGTCACGCTCATATCCCACGAGCCACTTCCACTCCTCCCAAAGCTAAACAAGTTTGAGGACCACCCACAGTTCTTGAAACCGCTGTACCCTACTCCAACCCGTCAACGCTCTTTTCCAGTAAAAATTCAAACCCATCAGGTTCATCCACACCTCTCCCAACCTAACCTCCTCACTAACCCCTCGGTCAAGTCAATCTACGCACGAAAAATCCAACCCACCGCTCCCTCAAACCCGAACCCAACGCCCTCCACGTACACAGCTCCCCAAAACAGCCACCCCTCCGGCTCTCCCTGGCTTCCCTCCGCCTACCCGCGCAGTCCCGCCGAACCGCACTACCACATCCTCCCTGACGACCTCTCATCCCAAAACACGGCACTCTCCCCGCCTCCTTGGCATCAGGGAGGGAAGGTGTCTTACGAACGTCTGGATCATACATTTTGTCCGTGAGTGTTCATCTGTCTTATCTCATTGTTCCAGATTGAGCGAAAGCTTACTTTCAATTGTGCACTAGGATCCATCACGCAGCTCAACCTTGTTGGTCATGCGATAGGGCTCGCAACGGCTATGCCAATGAGGAGTTGAGATTTCCATTTTGATCTTTTTCTTCTATTCTGTTCAACTTGATCAATGTACGACAATGGCAAGACTCTTTGACTAGATGCCCACAACTACTTACTACCCGCTCGATCAGAATCGTCGAGCGTATATCATTATCTGTACTTATACTCATCATTGTACACTTTCATCCAATTACGAGCCACTTGACAATGTACCCATCCCAAGCGTACCAATAGACTCACAATTTATACGTTTGACGAATCGAAAACAACGCATCCTTTTCATGCTCACTACGTAGACCCTCAACAAGTATTTGCAAGACCCCAAGGCCTACCTAACCATACACAGAGCGAATTTTACCTTTCAAGCAGCCACACAAGTCACTATTTATACAACTCCTCCTTCCCTGTCCTCACCCCCTTGCAGGAACCGCCTGTCCCTGTCCCTGCCCACCCCTCCCCGCAGGTCCACCCCTCCTCGGACGCCCACCCCTCCTCCCATACCCTCCCCATCCACCCACATACGCTCCAGGGCCCATAAGCCCCACACCCCCAGGCTCCCCAAAAGTAGCCACATTCCTCTCCCTCTCCTCTTCCCTCCTATTCCGGCCCATAGCTCCAAACCCACCACCTCCCCTCCTTCCCCTCCCACCCCCATGCCCGCCATTCATCGCAGGCGGGGGAGGGGTAGCCGCAGATGAGGATAAAGAATCAAAGAACGATTTCTGCGGATTATAAGCAGCAGCTGCAGCTTTTTCCTTCTCCTTCTCTGCGCTTGCTTCTTTCTCTTTCTCTTTCGCTTCGCCGCCTTCGCTGCTGCCCTCGTCTACCGTCGACGCAGCTGCAGAGCTTCCGTTGACACCAGGAGACAAAGCAGCTTTATCAAACTTTGCATTGCTACTCTCGAAATCGAAATCCGTAGTGGGGACTTTGATATGCTCAGCAGCGTCTGGGCGAGGACCGCGGCCTCGTCGGCCACCTCCGCCTGCTCCACGACCACCATGCCCATGCCCGTGAGCACCGCGTGCAGAGACAGCCGCAGAGGTATCTGCACCGACACGAAGGTCGCCCAGGGCACGTTCTACAGTTTCCAAGGACGCAGCAGCCGTATGCACGGGGTTGGGCGCGCGTCGGGGCTGTTGGTGCCCGCCACGGACTGCAGCTGCGGCGGTTGCTGGGCCGGAGGATTGGGACTGTGGGAGGACGACGGCAGGCGTGGGTGTTGCTGCTTGCTGCGGTTGACGTGGTTGGTAGCCTTGTTGGGCTGGTGGGACGTGGGGTTGTTGTTGGAGAGGCTGTTGAGAGCTGGGTGGAGGCGCGGCAGGCGCTGCGGGTGTTGGGTATGAGGAGTACGATTCGGGAGCGGCGATGGGTGGTGCTGAAGCCTGTAGAAGAGGTTGTTAGTTGACGTATTGCAACATGAATGATTTGAAGAAAGGGTAGGGGATCAGAAGGAAGGCAACGGAAAATTCCACATGGGGTTTATGCGCTCTCGGTATGTTTTATGTGTTTAACATCCGTAAATGGCTTCATCATATGTAGTTTGGGGTATGGGGTAGAGAAAGAGATGACACGCACCCCAATGACAGCTGGGTCGTCATGGACGTTGCGACGTTGCTGCTGAGCGGGTTCATCCACCGCTAAATCCTTGACCTCTGAAGCACGGAAGATGATGTATTGGTAGGGTTCTTGCACAGGAGGTATGAACTCTGTTGGAGGTCTACATTGTGTGCATAAGCGCGAAACTCCGCACACGTTGCCAGAAGGCTACTCACCGCCGTGACTCGGTTCCCATAGAATACACTACATCAATACAAGCTCATTAGATTGTGCAACATATGATCAAAGAAAGCTGCTCACCATTTGACAATTGGATAGTCGAGGCAGCAGGATCAATACCCGCTAAAATGCCTCTATAACGAACATCTGAGTGAGATATGAGAGATATAGGTTTGCTATGGTAACGAATGAGCCAAGAACCCGTCAACAACGAGAGAAAAAGACGTACCCGATAAAACTAAGAGCCATTCTTCGAAAGCCGTAAAGAAAATGTGCACAATAACGTGTTGACGTGTTTTGTCGTTCAAACTCCGACCGAGGGTTCAGCCAAACAGGCGCAACGCAAATTCTTGACGAGCGAGACCCTTTACCAAGGGTTATAGACGACTGGGAAGCTCAATTCTGCGATGCGAACGGCCGGGACGATGTAGAAAGCACCTCATAAACCCGGGGACTTAACCCAGCTTTAATCGAAGGCATGCAATCCCCACGACGAGTCGGGGCCAGGACACAGCTGGACTGGAGGGCGTAGTCTTTCCCTCAAACCATTGTTCACTCTTTTCAGAGTGCACCTACGGGAGCCGTGATGGGATTTTTGAACGAGCGGTATGTATGAATTATCATGCAGACGCCCAGTACGGGATCCTCACTCCACTCAACTCGAAAGGTTATCTACGCAGTCCCAGAAATCCTCCGTCGTTCAGTCGAAGAAGCACAGATCGAGGACCTCGTACAAGTGGCAGGAGCAGTTCCTCGTCCGGATGTTACAGAGAGCCGATGCTGAGGTTGGCATGTTGAAACCACTTGCCACAGAAGTGGTAGAACCACTCTAGTCAGCGTGAAAACCACAAGCAACGCAGCCAGCGACGCGAGATCTGGCTATGGCACGGATATATATTGTCCGGAACGGCGGATATGTGAAATCTACTAGACGCCCCACAGAGTTCACAGGTGGTCTACGTCGCTCCAGCTCTCTTTAATGTGATCGGCGCAGTAATGGCTGGGGGGTTGAGAAAGGCAATCTGTAGGTTCTGACACAAATGGTAACATGGTATTTGCTATAACGGAGACCACGAATAATTGCAATTTCTTGTTTTATCTACAAAAAACCTGATCACTCAGGCTTACAATGCAGGAGCCAGTAGGTTACAAACACTCAGTACATTTCTCCTTCTCAGAATGACTCAGTACGTCAGGAACTTGGTAGTGTTTTTCGCATTTCTCCAAATCGCACCCTCCGCAATGCACAGTCCTCTCATACGAATGCGGCGGTACCACAACGCAATCCGCAAACACCACCTGCGCGGTCACACAGGCGCAATTGCCTCTGGCCGTGCGGCCGTCAGGCAAAGGCGGATTTCCCGCCTCCAAATAAGAAGCGATCAGCTCACGGATCTCGGTGTCGTCCACGGCCAACAAGTTTGGCTGGAAGCCACAGGCAACCACATCTTCGATGAAATCATCCTCACTGGCAACAACATTGTCAAACGGTACATGACCAGTGTAGAGCTGCCAGATTGTGATTCCGGTCGCGTACAAATCATCGGCCTTGGCTAGGGGCGCCTTCCACATGACCATACGGAAGGGGGAGACGTACTGCGACGTAGAGCCAAGCATGCCTCCTTCCCTGCCCTCGAGAGCGGCGCAACCAAAGTCACAGAGGAGGAGACGAGAAGTGGTTTTGTCGAGTATGAGATTGCTTGCTTTGATATCGCTGTGTATGATTCCTTTTCCGTGAAGACTGGAAACTAGCTGCGTCAACTCTTTGATAAGGTGTTCGGGCGGTGGAATGGTGCCGGGTGGTGGTGGTGGTGGTGGTGGTAAGTTCATGAACGGATGAGGGTCCTGTGAAATTGCGATTCCCAAAGGCATGATGATGCCGCATAGAGTTCCCCTCAGGTTTACCCGACCAACAGGTTGAACCGCACAGTCACCGGCTAAGAGCATCATGGAGAATTCCCTCTCTAGCGAACGAACGCGGTATTGCTCCGGTTCTTCGTCGCCCTTCTGCCCATTCTCAATTATCTTAACGAAATAGACCCCATCGTATATCCAAATAGACCTCATGTTCGCCTCGTAAATCGACCTCGACCTCTTGGGTATTATGTCTGCCTTTTCCTTGATCATTTGGTGGGCTCCGGACTGCTTGAGAGGTAGGGTGAGCGCTGTGCTCCTCGAAGAGAATATGGAACTACACACCATTTGAGAACAATTACAGGGAGAGTGGACGGGCGAAGGTGAAAATGATACGATAGACCGGAAATAATGTACCCTCGCAAAGTCTCGATAGGAACGGTAAAGGAGTAAGTTTCAACTTTCAGATAGGTATAGGCTCCGTGGTATTTGACACCGGCCTTGGTGTGCAGATAAATGATTCAAGGCCACAAGATGGGATGATAATAGGACAGATTGAAGCTGGGCTCCCTGTCGAACGTGGTGAGAGTGGGTCCAGAGGATAGCGCGGTGCAGGGTAGTAAACGATGATCGATGTCGATGGAGAAAAAGGAGTTGGAAAGGAGTACTGCCAAGATGGATCAGCATCGTGGTACTTATAGAGGGTAGTAGCGCTGATATCTGAGGTCAACATCCTGTCAACGAGATCAGCGAACTTGAGCTTTGTACTTAAGTAGATGATGGACGTTTGATGCATTCCTTAGTATGGCAACTGGGTTACTTAGGTAGGTTATTCCAAGACCACGACCTGTAAACCCCTCAAAATCCCCTGCTGTCGTTCTGCACTCACCCATTTGTTGACAGATTCAAATGCCTGTGCGTATAGTGATTGAAAGTGCCAATGGCATTTGTCATGCGACGAACATATGGATGGAGATAGAAGCAAGGTGGAAGGATGAACTGCCACTGTCAGGGGGCGCCGGGTGGTCCGTTACTAGCATTGGTAAAGCATATGCAATACTTGTGCAATACCAATGAGCCAAGGTGACTAAAATAACTGCTTACAGGTCTCCGGAGCGACTATTCTTACGAAGATGGAATGATCTTGGAATGATCCAATGCTTATCAACTCATCCATCTCAAAAGCCTCAAATACCTCTCCTCCAAGCTCTTCTCCATATCTCATTTCAAAGTACCAACCCAAACTATGGCCGAACAACAAAAAGCACTTCTCCTCCCCGTCAAACTTGGCGAATTCACTTTGGGAACCACCCAAGTCTACAAGCCCGGCCCAGGCGAATTGCTCGTTAAGAACAAAGCGGCGTCACTCAATCCGGTAGATTGGAAGGTCCGGAAGTACCACGCATTCATCAAAGAGTACCCTGCTATCCTCGGGTTGGATATTGCAGGAGACGTAGAATATATTGGTGAGGGGGTCACTGGGTTTTTGAAGGGCGACAGAGTGTGCGTAGCAGCCCGTTACGCTATAAGTACTTCTTCGAACTTATCTTTTCTACAGTCTCTCACAAGGCCAATTTGAACGCCAATGGGGTGGTTTCCAGCAGTATGTCAAGACCACCGCCGTCACTACCACAAAGGTAAGGAAACATTGGCTTCTTCATGTAAAAAATTTTCATCCATTTAATTTTTTTAGATCCCGGAAAATATTTCCTATGAACAAGCTGCAACGATTCCACTTGCCCTGACGACGGCGTACGCGGGACTCTATAGTAACAAGCCAAACGGGGGAGGGTTAGAGGCTCCTGTTGAACCGACTGCGGTAGGAAAGTACGCTGGCTCCCCAATCGTCGTCCTTGGAGGATCAAGTTCCGTGGGACAATACGGCAAGTTCTTCCTATATAACACGTACACGTCGTTCCTGATCTCAGTTTTTCTCCAGTCATACAACTCGCCAAACTTTCGGGATTCTCACCCATCATAACAACGTCCTCCGTCAAACACACGGAATACCTCAAATCACTCGGCGCAACACATGTCGTAGACCGCAACTCACCTCTTCTCGCGCAAATCAAGGATATCACAACGCAGCCGATTCTTTTCGTATACGATGCTATTTCGGAAAGGGACACGCAACAGGCGGGCCTGGATATCCTTGCAGCTGGCGGCACTATGGTGACGGTGTTGCCCGCCGTCGGTTCACAGGTTGAGGGTAAAGAAATCATACACGTTGCGGGATTGTTGAAGGCTCCTGCGCATTTGACATTGCTGGAGACGCTTTACGGCACGAAGTTGTCTGGCTGGCTGGAAGAAGGTACAATTAAGGTAAGCTTTATATACTTCCGATGGGACATAACAAGCTCACTTACTTACTCGTATGGCAGCCCAACCGTGTCGAGTATCTTCCAGGTGGACTCGGAGGTATCGTCGCTGGCCTGAAGCGAATGGAGGACAATGAAGTGTCTGGTGTGAAGCTTGTCGTTAACCCTCAGGATACGGAATAGAGAGAATGGCCTTCGCTAATACCCTAACTTGACTATATCCTATTGAACATTCATACCCATTCTAAGCGAGATATGTAACCGTTGCATGGGACCGACATCATTGATTTCTCACTGCGACAAATTATCGGGTGCTGAGACAAAGGTCACGATTTCTTTTCTCACCTTCGAGTCGGACAAACTTGAACATTATTGGGCACTGGGACAAAAGTGCTCCTCAACGTATAGGTGAGCGAGATCAGCTGGATGTACGTGCTCGGTGATGAAGTGAACACAGGCAACGCATTGTCAGGGTAGCAATCAGTGCTTTCTTGCCTTGTTAAAACCCAGAACACGTCGCTCCTCCCAAAAATGTGTGAAACACTCCCGGAGGAACTCCTTCATCAAATCATGGCCATGTGCCACTTCATAGACTATGAGGCGTTTGCACATCGATCCCCTGAACAATTGTTCGCCCATCGTAAAGAGACTGCCCGTCTGCTTCTTGTTTGCCAACGTTGGCGGCGCGTTGCGACTCCACTGAAATACGAAATGGCCATTGTCACCTCTGAAGCCGAGGCCAGCGTCTTGGCCACTATCCTATCTCGAGGTCGAGTCGGTTCATATGTCAAAAAACTCCGGATAGAGGGCGGATTTGGCCGGGCTCTACGCACAATTCTTTCCAAGGTCCCAAATCTCCTGTACATCTTCATCTCTCTCGATATTTCCTCCGAGGCGAAAGTGGCTGGGCTATGCGCTGGTCTCAAGCTAGTAAATCCTCAATACCTCGTCCTGCGCGATCGGCGCGTCCTTGGGAATCAAACAGTGCGTTCTGTTGTTGATACTCTGATTACATGCATGAAAACCCTCTGGACGAACGTGGTAAGCAGTGTTTCACCCATCCGCGACTCTGTACCGACTCTCTTAGATATCATATGATCATCCGTACGACGAATGGGTCTGGCTTGGCCAAGAGTTTGACAATCGCCAATATTGCGCACGAACACAACGTGCAAGGGACCTCGCAAGAGCTCTCGTCCACATACCAAAGTTACAGATCGTACACGTTCCGCGAGCGTATTATACCAGCGAGTACGATGTGGTTTTGAAAGCCGTTAAGAATCCTTCCGTCCAGAGGATTATTAGTTGGATGCCCTGGCAAGACGGCTTTATCGTCCCTTTGGACAGATACCCTCGACTTCGCGATATTATCTACCTCCCGCTCCCAGGACCATGGTTGCGACCCACGTACGCTGCCATTGGCCAAGGTGATCCTGCGTATGTTTGCCCTTATACTATTCTTTGCTGCTACTGAGTCAATTCTATTTAGCTCCCTCTTTCCGACAACTTTTGGGTTTTGTACCCAGCCACACAAGCTTAAGAGAACGTGGTCGGATCGATGGTCGGGTGATCGATGGTATTGACCTGTCACCAACTTCTTTCCATTTCAAAAGCACTTCTGTCGACTCCTCTAGGGCATAACAAAGCAAGGGCTATAATATAACTCGAACAAAAGGGAGGACAAGGAGGAAGAATGTAGCTAAACCTCGAGCCCTCCAAAGATTTTCTCCTCGCGAATACAAGCGGCATGCGCAGCATACTACATGATGGGCCAGCATATCATACATACTTACATTCATAAGGTAGAGCAAATCAAGTATCCATATCAACATCCTTATTTTCCGTCTGTGTACTGGTTTCTCCCGTCGCTTGTTCAACCCCAACACTCCCAGCAGGCCTCCATACATTTCCAGCAGTAGCTTTCCACAAACGAATACGACCATCGTTGCCTGCAGACGACAATACCGTACTTTCAACACCAAAATCAACAAAGAGACAAGAGAAGAGCGCGCAAGACCTCGTACCCAGTGATGTTCCATTCCACTCTACCAACAGCCGACCTAAAGACAAATTTCGATGAGACGGCAAGAGAAAAAAACGGAGAGAAGCCTACTTGTGATGATCAAAGTCAGCCACAGACGCAGCTGTCCATTTCGCAGCTTCGTGGTCGCCTTCCGCTGCGTCGTCAGATCCGGGTTTGACTTTCCATATCCTCACATGGCCATCCCGCCCACCAGTGGCGATGAGATGGTAAGACCTCCCACATAAAGGGGCCCATGCCACTGAGGTAATGGCGTATGCGGTTGAGGAGGGCGTATTAGTTGTTTCTACTGCTGTAGAGGTCTGCAGTGGGTTGACTGGTGCTCCTGTGTTGGAAGCAGATGAAGAGGGTGTGGCGTCGAGGGTGAGGAGGGTATTTGACCGGCGAGCGTTGATTTGAATGATCTGAGAGAAGACGATCAGCCAAAGGAAAGGAGGGAAGGCTTGGGGAGGTGTACCTTTATGGTCCCACTTGTCCCACATCCAGCGGCTATCACTTCTCCCCAATACCGATCTTTGCACCACGACAAACACCACCCACCATCAGCCTCGCGGTTTCCTATCCCTGGACGGGCTAGAGGCGCAGAGCTTCCTGTGCCTTGCTGCAACCCTTGTTGTAAAGCCTGCGCTACAAGCGAAGCAGATGCACCATCAAGTGTTGCGTGAGTTTGCGTTGGCGTAGCGAGTGCGATGGTGTGCGTCTTTGAAAGATAGCCGGGCGAAGGTCCTGAAACGACGGTCTGGACATCGATTTCTTCCACGAGCTGCCAAGATGTAAGTGAGGGCTGTTCGAGGCATTCGTGTATCCTAAGGATGCTATCAGAAGCAATTGAAGCCTAGTAGAGAAAAATCAAAATCAGACTAACTGTCATGCCTTCCATGGGTATGATTTAGAGATAGACCCACCAATTTCAACCCAAAATGATGCGGTGCGAATTCTACCATTCTGACAGTTCCTCTAGCATCAGGCAAAACAGCCCTTTCTATCCACCTTGAAGATGATTGCCCACCCGCGTTTGCATTTGTCTGTTGGTCCGCCGCCGCCGCTGGGGCCGCTTGCTCCCACACCTTCACTGTACGGTCAAATGACGATGAGGCAATGATAGAGCCGAATTCGGGATGAGCCCAGCTGATCTTAGAGACAGCGGCATCGTGAGCCTGAAATGGCGAGACACTTTGAGCTTGTTGCCAGGATATTATCCGTAAAGCCAAAGAATACCTTCCAGTCGTCCTCTGTGCTCCATGTTCCGTTGGCTTCATCTAGTTGCCATATTTTGATTCTAGCACATCATTTAGACCAACTATCGAGATAATTGGGCTCAAATACTACTTACCGCTGGTCCAGGCTACACGTCGCGAGCCTCAAGCCATAAAAATCGTACGACGCGTCAGTTACGAGGTCGCCGTGCGCGTTTGGGATGAGGCCTGTTTGTATCATGTTGTGGTTTAGGCCAAGGGTAGCCGCGCACGTGACGGTTGAGATAAATCATTCAGGGGTTGAACGTTGAACTTGCCCAGAGTCTTCAATCTTACTTCCACTGTCCAGGCATAGCGAAAGCATCGTCTCAACTGGTTCGTCGTTTATAAAATTCAAGGATTGATCTTATTCAATACCACTTCAGATGACGGTGCAAATACCTATACACCATATCTCTGGAAGCGACCCCGTTTCCGAGCCAACTGAACACTCAGTGAGGGTTCATGGGCTTCATGAGAACTACGAGAGGTCAGGACATTCCTTCTATAGCCTTTTACGCGTTCCCGACAAGTCTGATAGGTCTACAACCAAAAAATTCAAGGTTACTTCTGGGCTAGACCCATCGCCAGAGCCTCCCTTGATCCAGCGACTGCCCGCAGAGATCTTGACAGAAATATTTACCTACTGCGTCTGCGACGTCACCCGACCTCCTCCTAAAGAGGTAGACTCCATTCTACGAGAGCCGTGGACCGTATCCCAAACATGCCAATATTGGCGCAACATCGTTCTATCCTTCCCCAAGCTCTGGTCCTACATCCACCTAGACCTCTCCGAGATCCAGGAAAAAGATGTTATACTAAAAACGAATTTTCCTGAAATGCTCGCACTATGGATGAGCCGCTCTGGTTTTAAAACCCCTCTCCATATCACATTCCACGACTTCGCTGTCCCAACAGACGACATCCGCCTCCGGTCTATAAGCCGAAACCTCATGAGCACCCTCGTATCTCGATCAAACCGCTGGGCCGAAGTCTCCCTCTGTGTAAGCCCATCCATCGTGCATTGCCTACGCCAAGTCAAAGCAAACATCCCGCTCCTTCACTCCTTCACCCTCAAGTCCACCGATCCCTTGGCGGGATCTCCAACAGTCAAAGAAGCACGGCTTTATAAGCTCCTGGTATCCGCACCCGCGCTACGCAATCTAACTCTCGACTTCTCCCGCAGCTTCGTTCTTGACAAGCTCCAACCCCCTTACGCGCAACTCCAATCCGTCTCAGCTAGAACCCTCACCCCGCACGTGCTCCTCTCGAAAACCCGTAGCATTAAGAGTGCAAGCATCCGCGCGGTGATGTTTTCTGGGTTTCTGTACTCTATGTGCACAGTGGCCATTTGCCCCGAACTGACATCCCTCGAACTATTTGTCTCCCCCATCCTCCTCGACTTCCTGGAGCTACCCGCCTTGCAACACCTCTCCATCCAATACACCACGGAACCTGATGACTTTGCGCGCATCACGTCCCTTATCAACCGTTCGTCGTGCTTCATACGCACGTTGAAGCTGTCGCAAGTCACTTTACCGCGTAAACAAGTAGCGATCGAGCTCTTTGAGTGTTTGCCCAGCCTAGTAGATTTGGAAGTGTCTATAGACAAAGGACGTTCCGAAACGTTCCATGGTTTCGTGAATGCGATGGTCATCAAGCCATCCACTAATCCCACTCTGGAATCCGACAAAAAAGAGAACGAAGTCCAATCGAATCTCCTCACTCACCTCGAGCGAATCAAGTTTGAGTGCCCGAGGCGCGGTGCTTACTCCTCGAACGATGTGAAACAACTTGTGGACATGGTTGAGTCGCGCTGGCGGCTACACGTCGAATTGGACAACGATGTAGTCCAGTTGAAAACTATCCATCTTGCCGCACCTGCGTTGAGGCAGGAAAGGCTGGAGTTGATGAGAGAGGAGGGGTTGGAGGTCATTGGGGACTTTTATTGAGCCACTTACGAGTGGATAACTACGTGAACGCAGTAAATTTAATGATTATGTACGTTGCATTTAACGCAACACGGAAGATAGAATTCATTGATATTGTCCGACTCTATATATCTCTGAGGCCCGAATTGGTAAACATTGCGAATGTGTGATGGGGAGTTCACGGTTCAACCAGAGCTAACTCTTGTCCATACAATCAAAAAACCTTCAAAATAGATTGAATTTCATCGAGAATACCACTTGAACCCCGGCGTTCGGAGGCCTTCTTAGAAACGGTCCACGATTTCGCAAACCTGTCAAACATTCGATGGGTCGATACAAGCATCAGTCGAATGAACCGAAACCTCACGTTTCTTCACTGAAATAGCCCATTCTGACGAGCAACTAGTGTATTCAGTTCGTTTGAAATCCGCGCGTATCGCGTCTACAAAAACCAACTGTTCAGTTATACTTCAATGTGGGGTACACGCTTTGCGCACCGAGGATGGCGGAACGCTCAAAACATGACCAGGAGCAGGGGAGACCCTTGAAAGAGAAGGTCGCGAGAATTTCCTATGTCGGCTTGTTGAACATTGGGCAGTCGAATTCATTGCTGGAGGCTACATTTTTGAGAAACGCGCAAAGGGTAGTTCCCTTCTAAGTTTTTGCGGGAAGTCAGAGCGCAGCAATCAAGCCATGTCCCGCGCCTCACGCTCATATGCATAGCGAGCGATTAAATAATATTATTCGCCGCAAAGAAAATAGGGAAAACAAGTCTAAAAAGCAGACTTATAACAACCATTAGTTTCTCAGATCTCAAGCTGGCCAAAAGACTCACCAGACAGCCGAACCAACAACTATCACTATTGGGTCAGCATAAAATTCCTATCCTTTATAGCCTGCCGATTCGCTGCCCTCCGCTTCACGCGTTCCAACTTCCCTCCAGGTCCGTCGTCCTCATACACCTTGGGCTGTAACACTGTCCATAACCATTTGGGGTAGTCCTTGTCCGGCAACGCGAGCACCGTCGGTTGTCCCTTGAGATAGTTAAGCCCTGTCAATACCGTGTCCTCCGGACACGCAGACGGGCCGACTGGGTGGAGAGGTCAGTAACCCAACCAATGGCGATCTGTTCAGACGAACTAGAAGCTGGGGATGGTTTTTTGGCAGCTGCCGGCTTGACTGCAGCTTTTCCTGGCGAGCTGCTACTCGCATATGTTCTACATGATGCCCTCAGGCAAGTTGGACGTCGTAGGACATAGAGGAAGGACATTTGGCTTGTACAAAATTCGAGGTGTGTCACGAGCTCAATTTCTGCATGCTTAGTCAGCACCCCTTTACCCTTGCAAGCAGGTAAATCGAAATTGAAGGCCATGCAGGAACAATGCAGGAATATTCAATAGTACAGAAGTAGAAGTTTCGCCCAGCTAACTACAAGCCCTTGGCAGTCTGTAAGCTTAGAGAGTCTTCTACATGTATTCAACAACTATGTCAAAACTATGTAGTCACGGTCAACGATGAAAATTGAGGGTACTTCGATAAGGAGTCAAGTCATGTCTTCTTCCTTTTGCAATTTGCTTTATGGGCTCTACTTGAAAATCAGCGATCACTGAAATTCCGGAAGCGGGGAGCAAATTACGGCCAATCAGCATTTTGACATTCCGTTCCACAATCTACAACGTTCAAGTTGTTTGTTCAATAGATTATTCAGAAAGAAAGAACGAATCTCACATTTAACAGCAGTACATCGGCTACAACGCCTTAGCCCGAGACCCCTCTTTCCACAGTTCTCGCAAGCGTCCGTGGCCACCGAGACAGAATCTTGAACGTTCACCGTTCCGTCGCCTTCAACTCTCGTGTTTCGAATTGCGATCTCCTCTCGCCTTGAATTGCCTGCTGATGAACCATCCGCTGCTATAACGTTCGCATTCATTTCGTCGTTCCGCGTGAGCATTGCAAGATTCTCTCGGGTGGCCTGGACATCTGTTGCAATCCATCGTTCCAGATTGGTACATGAAGACGGTGGTCCGTTGAACGGAGCGTGGGTGGCAGCAAGATCCAGGGCTTCTCTGTATCTCTTGGCAGCCGTTGCTCGATCCTTGAGATCCCAAGCGAGAATACCGACGGTCAAGGAAGCAATTATCTGCATCCCCTTCAACAAAACTTTAGCGCGAGGGGACTTGAACTGTTTATGTTCCTTTTTCGAAGAGACGCGAAAGGAATCAAGAAGACGATAGGCATCGGGTGCTCGTTCCTCTGGAAGGCCACAGCTTGAGTTAGTACCCTCGTCACAAACGTGGGCATACCTGTGGCAAATTTCATGGCAGGATCTTTGAAAAAGCCTGCAAAATTTCTCCAAAGAAACCCAAGAGTCTCTTTAGGGGTGTCATTTGGAACTATTGCAGGAAGGAGTGCAGCAACGTCTTCATCCTTCAGTATTTTTTTGATTGCTCGTTGATACATCTCAAACGTTTCCTCGATTTTGCCTTGAGCATATAGAGCCTCCGCCCGCTGAAAAAGTACGACACCACGTTCTGGCATGGATATAAATTGAGATTGAATCAAGATCGAAGTGATAATCGATAATCGAGACTCTGTTCAAGACCTGGAGGCGGTGTCGGTATATTTGTCGAGGCTCCTCGACCAAACAACGTTATACTGAGTACCGGTGAGTTATTGGTGAGTTCACTGTTCGACCACTTGTCGACCGAGCGGTGGATTGCATTAGACGCGCAGAAAACTTGGAACAACCTTGCAAAACGCTTACAAAACGATATTACCATTGCAAGTGTTTCAGCGGCGACAGGTTCATCCGCAGGTCGAATGGCACGAGGTTCGAAGGCGACGGCTCAGTAAACATTCAAGATCCTCTCTCAAGGGCCACTGACTCTGACGCTTGCGAGAATTGTGGAAAGAGGGGTCTCGACCTCAGGCGCTGTAGCTGACGTGCTACTGACTGACAGGTGAAATTCACTTTCACTTCCTACATACTGGGTGACTTTCCGTAACACAAATTCTCTAGATTTGAATAAATCGACGAAATCTAGGGTCCTTTGCCGGGATGCCGAGTCTTGTAAGGGTTCGACTTTGATGGAGTCCCTGGTTGGAACCCAGTTACAAACCTTAATCTATTCAGAGGGTACAGACCCCTCGAACAGATTTCGATTTTTTGGGCTTCACCCAGAGTGTGGTCTAATTTTACAGCGGGGTGGATGAACAATCAGTATAATAAACCCATCCACAGGCCTACACGACCTCAGAGCAGCTCAGATGGGAGGGAAGTGAGTTTGTACAAGGCAAGCAAATACATCAAATAGAATCTAATCAGTTGGCATTACGGTTTATTCACTCCAATAAACTCTCCTGTGAAGTTCTCGTTTCAAACTCCGATAAGGGTCAAATTTATTCATTTTTATAGATTTGAGTTACGGAAAGTCACCCACTAACTAGTAACTCCTGCCAAACAATATTTGTAGACCGTGGAACGGAATGTCAAAACGATGATTAGCCGTAGGTTCCTTTCCCAGATATTCCCTCAAGCGTTGATTTTCAAACAAGAGCCCAGTCCCACCTCCGTTGACAATGCCACTGTCAGGATTGAACGTTAAAATTAGTGTTCGGCAACAAAACTACCACCGACTCACACGTCATGGGGGAGTCAGCTAGGTATTATAAGATGGTGAGAACCACTCGTCAACATGAGTCACCAACGAAAAATGCGTGGAATCTCTTCGGGAGTCGGGAGTACTAGCCCGACAGTTACAAGCCCGCTTTTTAGGCGGTTGTTAGGCGGACCTGCGACAACATGGTGTGTAAATTCACCTACTCCCAAAGAGCGTCAATAGGAAACTTCACTTCAATGTACTTTTAGGAGCGCAGGGCCTCGCCACGTTCGTAGAGATGATATTGCTGTCTCCGACGACGCGGAAGTTGGGTTATTAATTAAACACGTCGCGATCACGACACGTGTGTGTGTGACAATCACGCCATTGCCCCTGAAGGAGTCATATCGCGTGTCGCTCCCAGGAATGGCCTGGGAGCGACGCGCAATGAGTGCTTACTTCCCTCCTTTTCCCCCTTCTGATGAGTAGATTGAAACTTTTTTGTCGCTGAGGAACTGCTTATTACGAAACTGCAAGACTATGACTGCAAATTGATACTATGTGAGGCTGGATGCTCGCCATCAACTCGAGAACCATGATAAAATACAAAAACAAGCTGAAACGTCCGATTGAACATCCTTCCAACCTCGATCCGTCTTGTGCTGAAGACTCGGGATGGACGTCTCAATTGAGTGAGGGCAATTTTGCGGTGTGTGATTCAAAGCCAATTTCGTTGTACTTTTGGGTATGAGGCCATTTGCGTAGAAATGCCGACAAGAAACGCTAAGAGTATCATCAATACCGGGAGTTCAACATGAAGGCAGAAGCGATAGCGTACCCGGAGAGATGACGAACGGTTCTTCGTAGGTTGGTCATCAAATACCGTTTGAATCGAGCGTCGGTCATCCCAATCACCAAACTCGGTTTCAAAATCTGAATCAGCGTCACTCATGAAGCTGGAGTCGGGCTGAACATTGACCATGAGAGGATGCTTGTAATGGGAAGTAACATATAGGCAAACCAGAAAGAAACTGCGGCTGAACTCGTACGTCTCTTGTGAATGTCGGCCGATGGTACGCTGAGATGGCTTATGATCAGTATGTGCACAATACTGTACACCGCGTCAGAAAGGCTCACATACCATCAAACTTCGTGAAGGGGAACCATCGCGGCGACTGTAAGAAGTGGAATCACCCTCAGCCATAAGGGAGGAGCTTTTAAAAGAGAAGGAGGAGAGTGCCAGACTGAAGGAGGGAAGAGGGCCGTTTCTGCGGAAGAAGATCATTTCAAGAATATGTTATAGATATTATAGGATAGGTGATCGACAGCGAGAGAGCAGAGTGAGGGAGCTGTGTGCAAGAGAGAGGGAGGGCGACGTGCAGAGGAAAGAGCTGAAAGGCAAGCAAATGAGAGTCGAAGAAATAGAGGTAAGAAAAACGAACACGGAGGGCATCCCAATATCCTCAACGATACACTTCTCCGCTTATATAGCCGAGATTCGAACGGTGGGCATGAGGCGGCGCCGTAACAAATTGGGTGATGCTATCCCGATTGAGGATAGAGCTTTCGGTAAATAATTTCAACTCAGGACCGCGTTCGCCTGTCCCCCGAAAGATGCAGGGACTGGTGGGGTTGGAGTCAGAATTAGTGACCGGGATCTTTGCCCCGATTGGAGCACAGGGCTCATCCACTGTGTCTGTTTGAGGAGCAGGTGGAAGTTGAGAATTGGTGAGCGCATGCAGTTTGAAGGATCGTTGCTGACAAGTCGATGGGCCAGGAAGCATACTTCGGATGGCCTCAGAAAGTGGAGGGGAGGGGCCACCCACACCGGCTCGTCATATGCTGGCCCGCATGTGCCAGTCATAGCCATCCAGATGCAAGCAACCGAGGCAAATTTCAACCTGTGTCTTTATCTAACTCATTGCTTGGCTGCTTGACATCTTTTCTAAGGAGAAGTCAAGGCATCTGTCCTCGCAAATAGAAAAGAGTCCAAAGACAAGGCAACGAAAGTGAGAAACAGGAATTACATACAAGACCAGAGGGTAAGACTCACAGAGAACCTGTTTCGAGAGAAAGATTTCCGGAAAGCGCAGTATAAGGGGCAGCTTGTCGCGACATGCCAGCGACTGACATCGCAATAGAAAGGGGAGGGTCATTCCTGCGAGACGACCAACTTGCTAATTCAATGCCCAGATTGCTCCTTGAGCAGATAAGCAACTCATAAACTTGAGGCTACATCCATCTTAAAGGATGTGTACCAATGCATAAGCAAGGCATCCGATATAACCAGGGGTCAACCACAGAACTAGAATCAACGATAGGAACGATGACAACTAAAAAGATGAAAGCTCTCACCATACTCGTTGGCCCTTTCCTCATTTTACACCCCATTTACCTAGTGCGAGAGGAGCCGACTGTCACGATGATGCCCCAAGACCCAGTTCAGCTATCGACCGCCAAAAGCATTCCAGTGCTTGCAACGATACCCTCAGACATCAACTCATTTGTCTCATGCGTGAATTGTGAAGACAAAAAAACACTGTTCAGATGTATAAGTGATACTGAATCTAAAACGAGGCGAATAAAAGCCCCCACTGAATTTGCGACATTGCTGAATTCAGGATATATTGCAGCCATCTTATCCTGTTCTCCCGTTCTGTCCAGTTTTTCTTTTTAAAGGCGATGCGGAAAAAAGTGCGGAAGCAAGATACTATGACAGCTAACTGCATAACCGTAGACCATATCTAAATTTTACTTTGTGCGCCTTTATTTGTACAAACAACCGTATTAGGTAGAACGCCCTTCCAAGTTGGCAAGTTCCAACCGCTCCACCCTTATGACATGCGGGGCGGGATTGGAGCGTTTGGAGCAACTACCGAAACGGTGCTAGAACTTGGAGCAATGGGCAGTGCGCGCGAATCGGCGTCATGGTTTACATAGCCACGGCCTCAAACGGATGTTTACGCACAGACAAAGGCGCAAAGTGAAATTTCAGATGTGGTCTACGATTATGCAGTTAGCTGGAAGGGATTCAACTGGCAGTTCAGTGAAGATTTGAACAGTCGTGGTTGCTGGCAGCTGAGTGTGCCTGGCAGTGGGCATCAAGGCTCTAATTCGCAGGAGATCCCAGGGAAAGCCAGATATATTGTTCGTCTTCACTTTACTTTCATTCCCGCTGCTACCTACGTTCAAGTTTGCTGGCGACTCAGATACTCTCTATTGATCTGAGGTAACTCAGACTCCAAAGAACTTTCCTTGGTGGCTCTTGTTTGTTTCTGTCCCGTGCGGCAAATGATACGGGCTATTATTCTTCGGCTTTTCCATCCTCCAAGTGCACCACCGATTGGCCGTCTTTGAGCCTCACACACACGTCACCTGATGGAATATGATGAAGAACTGGATGGTATCGATTTGGATTCCTCAAGCCGGAAGCAGTTGCAGCAACTCCAATCATCGAATGCATACTCTGGACCCCCCGATCTGCTGCTGTATGAACAGAGAGAAATGGATGCCAAGAATCGCGCACTTTGGGCTGGATATAAGCTACGTAACGGGATGACACAGGAATCGGAACCATTTTATGAAGGACGGAACGTTGCAAGGACCTGGCGTCTCCTTCGTTTTTTCAGATCATTGGAAGGGTTTCTAAAGGTGATATACCCAACGGCATGACAGTCACCAACTCATAAACTCACAACGATGCACTAGGGAGAACTTGATTTGACCGGGCGCCATCTCCCAGTGAGGCTCTACATATTCCGTTAGTGCGGCTGCACTAAAGGTTTTGTTTGAAGAGATGGAACATGTTGCATAAATCTTTCAAAGACTACCTTGTAGACTTCTTGGAACTGTGGCCCACACTTGAGCTGGTCATAACTCGTGAACCGATGCGTCTCGAACCGGAAATGTATTTCGAGACAAAGTCGTACAAAGTACTGGACGAGGACCTCTGGAAAAGTGTTATGAATAGATGGCGTCTGACAGAGTATCATGGCTATATAGCTATTGATGGGATGAGTGAGTTCCTTGCTTTTGCATGTCTTGTCGAAGGTTAACATTTTTGTGTCAACCTGGGCTTAAGAGCACGCCTTGAAGAAATATACTGAAGCCAAGGGTATTCCCCGAATACAGAAACTGTGCCTTCTTCATCTCGCAAATGAGCTTCTTTACGCCATCTTCTCTCAGACACAATTCGACAGTGCTCGAATGTTATCCTTGACTTGCAAGGCCCTTAACGCGATTGGGAGGCAATACATTTTCCACGTGTGTCATGTTTACAACTTCTGTGATGACGTTCTGTCTCTCAATCTCTCATTTCTACAGCGTCGAACCTTTACCTTTGAATATTCGTACACGAAGGTCGACCACAATCTTCCTCTAGCTCCCCAGTACACCAAGCTGGCCCAAATTGCAAAGGTGAAGCTGACGGACTCTGCTGGCTTCTTCTTTTCTAGACCAGATCTTTGTCAGAAGGTGGACAATTTGTCTTTGTCAAACGAATGGGGTGGATCCCTTTTTGTGAAAGATGAAGATTTCAGTCTGGATGATGTTGAATCTGGATTTATGGCTCGTATTTCTGAGACGTTTACCGAAGCCGTCTCTCTGAGCGCCCATGTCACCACATTAAGCCTCTTCCGCAACTGCCTGGACTCAGATATGCTGCGTGCCATCTGCAGCCTTCAGAGTTTAAATGTATTGGAAGCAAAATTCTGCGATTTACCTGTCGAAACACGAGAACCGCTGTTAGCCAGCTCATTCACAAATTCCCACTTGACAAATCTCAAAATCATGATGGAGGCTAGCTTTGACGATGGCTCTTGGGATGTTTGGTATATTCTGGTCCTCTTTTCAAATCTGCGGACTTTGGATGTACATGGACTTGGCGAGAATCCGTTACCCATGGCATTGGAAACCCTTTGGACTCACTGGACCTTCATGGACACCTTGGAGCGCTTGTGCATCGAGCCCCTGTGTTCACATGATGTCGTTGGACTTGCTTCATGGATTCGTGGAGAACTCGTGGGGGGGTTGCCACGGCCCTTGCGTTTGACCCACTTCAAGCTAACCGTTAATTATTTCTTATGGGATGTCTGGACTGCTCAAATCATTCGGGCCCTCCAAACAGCTCCTCTCCAAGTCCTGGTTTTGGAGGGAATTCACCGCGACTCAGCTTACCCAAGGCTGATTGAGGTCATTGCAATCCAGTTTCCCGACCTCATCGGTTTGACCTTGGTTATGCGTGACAGTGATCGGCAAACGCAGAACAAACCGGCAACTTGGCCATGCTCTTCTTGGGAATACGCCCCAAGCCTTGCTCGTTTCAATCACCTTGAACACTTTGGATGGAATTTCCTTATCAACGAGGACGATGTCTCGACGCGAACACTTCTTCTTTTCGAGAATGGATTTATTGCGGATGATGATTGGGAGAGGGCGAGAGAAGAAGACACAGCAATGGGTTATGATCGCGACGACCATTGCGCCGTGTTGCCCTTTGCCACCGCTTGTTCCACTCTAAACTCCTTTGGATTACTCAAGGGAAATCATTTCAGTCTCTATCAAATTACGCGTGAGGTGAATGGGCCGGTGAACATCGAATGGGAGTTCTGTTGGGGGTCTAAGGTGATTCAGCGTTGGGTTCCTGACCCTTTCGTAGGGGGGTGGCCTTACATCAAGGATGACTGTAGGAAGGGAGGATGATAAAGAACAAATCGTAGCAATTATAACAGAATCCTCAGGGGTACCATTGCCACCTATCTAGTTCCGAGGAGCAAATGAAAAGATGAACCACAGCAGTTCAACGACATGATTTATACTGTAATTTCCAAGACAATGCTAAACTTCTCTGGAATCTCGAGAACGTGGCATGGGACGATGATGGAGCCCGGCTGGAATGAGATGGGTTATTTGTCCGAGTGGTACACATCTTTTCCTTCATTCTTGACACGATTGAAAGGCTAGCAGAGGGATACGACAGTGATAGCAAAGGACAGATATGAATGGCATACCTCGAGTGTTCCTAACGGACATGCTATGCAATTATGATACACAGCAAAACATTCACGTTGAGAATCTATCCTCCTTTTTCGCCATCCTGGGATACGTAGTAGGCAGGTAAAAGCCAACGCAAAAGAGGGATATAGAGCTTGGCGTGGTCGTGGCTCGAAGATCAGGGCTTGACGAGAGCCGTGCATGTTAAACGAATGCGGATGAAAAGGTGTAAGAGGAGAGAGGGTTTTGTAGGTTAGCCACAAGTGAAGGGAAAGAGGCCGTCTTCCAAGTCGAGAATCGTCAGTTGCCGGTCAGGCACCGAGATTTGAACTCGAAACATGAAAAGAGTGGGATGGTTTCCAAATCGAAGTTAGACTGCATCGCATATGCCATTTCCAGAGGATGGGCTAAGCAAAGAGGGCGTGAACTGGAAAATAATGTGATAATGATTGCTGGTGTGGAGACGACTTGAAATGGCGAGAGGGGGGGATTCAATGAATGGGCCAGTTTCCCATACAGGTTCGGGAGAGTTTGATGGGTGTGGAAGGGTAGTACTTGATGGAGTGAAGCCTGTGAAGGAATACTTTGATGACCACCAGACGACCTGTTTCTCTCGACGTCCAAAAGGCTTCGTTTGCAAAATATGTCCTGGTGAGCAACCCATTCTCGAAAAACGTCGATAACGAAAGGTTCCGTCCTTTAATCAACCAGGCTGAGCGCCTCATTCCAGGCGGCTTCATGCATCCAAACATATCTTCGCGGCCAGAGCAATAATAGAGGCAGCCTCTAGAACGAACTAATAAAGCGAGATGAGACACATAATGTGTTCAGCCCATTAGGCACCAGTGAACACACCTTCGATCACTAGGACTTCGGGGTGTCAACAAACAGATGAGGACGCCAATACCCTGTCGTTGACGTTGAGGATGCGAGACATCGGCAGGTGCATTGACAAGCATCTGGGATTCATGTAGCACGCTAACATCAGCGTTCTGACGGAGCCATGGACTAAAAGACATTCTCTCTGAGATGCTGCTTCCAACGTTTGTGAAGTCCTCAGCGGCTGACGAAACTGGTTATTCACTGGCCCAGACATCATTAACGCCGATCCAAGGACCAGCTTCAAACGATAGACTCTCCCAAAACTTTCTCAGTGGTCAACAGATGAGGGCCCTATGCTGGCCATGCGGGCTGCGACTACCACCCATGTTCGTCACGTGATAACGACGTCTGGGAGTCGGGATTGGGGATTGATGAGTCAAATCTTTTCATTTTCAACCGGTACACCTGCTGAAAATAGAGTATAACTGCAGCTTAATGTGATATAAGCTGCCGGCGTCATCCTCAAACGATGACAAATCGTCCTGGAACTGCAAAACATAATTGGTCCAACATTGCAACATGGACAAGAGAATGAAAACCCACGTTGACGACTCTCTCTCTCAAATCGTGTGATCCTAATGCTCCATTAATATGAAGCACAAAAGGATACAAAAGAGCTGCATAATTACTCACCAACGTAAAACGCCCGCGACTTCTGGACCGAAGCGCCTCTGAACTCAGGTAAGGACCTTACTCTCCCCGGACGGCTAGCCCTTGAGCGTGCGGATGATCGCCAAAGTGCACGATAACAGATAAACCCTTTTCGAAGAGTGTTGGTATGGTCCTGTACGTCTCGCCACTGTCAGTCGCCAGCAAGGCGATATAAAGTAGTCCTTCCTCCATATAAGTGGACCGGCTCGTTGGATTTCAAAGACAGCGGCTGTGTGCAGGTCATAGGTCCCTAGTCCTTGAGCACTTGTCACAAGTCGTCGTCTACAAGTGCCAATTGTGGTGATTGTTTCCGAATGATATAAGATCTCCGTCTGATCCTTCAAGTTGGGCGTTCTATGCAACAAAGAATGTGCAAGTTTCTCTAAGCTCTGGCCATTGGAAACCTGATAGATGCTCGTGCCACTCGGCTGCCTCCCCAAAAGGTCGAAGAGCTGAAAAAAGAATACTGAATATGAATTTCGCAGGAGACGACAGAGGAAACGCAGGTTGACGTCGGGAGTCGGTGTTCAAAATTGAAAATATCCGTCTGGGTCTGACCACATTCTGTACAGTTCCATTAAGTATCAGTACTCAGTCTCCAAGAAACCCGCATACTTCGTATCTAACACTGCATCCTCTCCCCAGTATCACGAATTCCTGCATTGGACGCCGATCCTTCTAAACGCTGTGTATCCATTTTAGCTGGTATGTGATCTGTCGATAACTTCGCCTGCAGATGAATAATTCTCATCAAGATGCCTCCCAATTCTCGCAATTTCTTGGCTTTCAATTGGATTCGAATGTTTGAGGTGGCGTTGTATACCGTAGAGAAGGGGTTCAGATCTGCGCCGTCTCAACACTGAAACAGACGCTTTATGAACCCGAAGGATTTCCGAGGGCCTCGCCGCCTCCGACCTCGTCGAGTTCCCGCGCACCATGTGCTATGGGCGCCTGCATCATACTTCTTGCTACTCATCATTGGCATGTCACCATTGCTGCACATGATCAACTGGCTTTGCTGCGAAAGCTACCGATGGATTTGCATGCTCAAACTACCGACTCAAGCCGGACCTTCCTGAACGCGGGTCTCCCATAAATGCAAACGTACATCAAGATCCAAGCTCTTATCATCTTTCTCCTCATGTCCATACGTGAAGCGGAGTCTGAGGTCAGCCTTGTCTTCTCTCTTTCTCGTTTTCCGAGCCTGACCGGTGACCTATTGCGTTGTGTAGCCTCTCTTTGGAAACGTCCGACTCATCTTAGACTCCATCTTTGCCATCTCACTAGGTCTTGCTTCTCCTGTCATTACTGGAGGTTTCACCAAGCAGGTCAATTTGACCCAAAGCAACTTCTTTTCCCGAAGATATGGATGAGTCATCGGGATTAGTTGCCCACAGTCCAAGATGGCTGGTGCGCACCTCGTTATGCTTGGAATCAATCAGGGGGTGGTTGAGAATGTGATGACGTGGCTCGGCAAACAATTGACGATGAGACACCCCAGACTGCCTTGGACAAGAATTCAAGATACATCCAACGGAAGTGAGTGTCTTCTTTGTGGAATCACGTTTCAATCTTGAACGCACCTTCTCGCGACCTTCAGATATGGATTGTGTTGAATGACAGAGCTTCGTGCAGGCTGGGAAAGCAGATGTCGTTCCTCTGCCTCCTGTACTCATCCACCATCGAGTTGCGCGTAGACGGGGAAAGTCGCCAGTACCAGAGGGCCCTTGTTGTGACGAAGCTCCCGCTGACGATGAGAGGTTAGCCGCTGCTCCTGCAAATAAACATAGGGTCCACCTTGCTCTCAAGCGCGCAGGGAAGCGGTAATTAATGTCGATTATAACATAATAACAATCATCATTCCGAAAGAAAAAGGAGAGAGTAAGAATGAGCTAAATACATCCTCTAAAGGATGCGTGCCCAGATTGTATTCTCATTAGTTTTCGTCTCGCCTTCGAAGATCCCTGCTGGTAAGAAAGGGATTGGAATAGAATTAGAAGTCGTAAGGCTTCCTCCCAACGGAGGAGGAGGAGGGAGGAGGGGTTCCCTGCAGCACAAAAAGGTCAAGGTTTGATCACTCTGAAGAAAAAGTCAAGCAAGGTGAGTGTATTTTAAAGGGGCAAGTACAATATAGTGAATAACTATTCAGGCATTACTCTGGGAGAGATGGTGGGTAGGTAAATGAGCGTGACAAGAAAAGAAGAATTGCGCATCTGTAAACCAATGTAGCTGATCTATCTTCAGAAGTAGCATAGTCCATTTATGAGTCTAGGAACGAGCGCGATGACGACTGAAGGCAGAAGAGCTCATGCTCTAAGAAACCAAAGTCAGCGCGCTGCCATCAGGGTGGACAGAAGATACCTTGAGAAACGCGAGTCTCATTTTGGAAGCTTCACAGGCACTGACAAATTGCGGGATACACCCTTTGGGTACATGGTCGCTGGCGACGTCGTCGTCAGGGTCCTCCTCGCTGACAGAGGCGCTCGGCTGCGCTCGAGATTAAACACCGAAGTACGGTAACGTATGACAGTCGGTGTGACAAACCTTTGCGGGGGAACTGGTGTACTGCAGGGCACTCAAATATGAGCAAGGCAAGAAAATTGAACAGATTGAGACGAGACGAACTTTGGCTTGTGGTGAAGTGTGATATTCTGCAAAATGTTGTCGCTGAGGATCGATACGTTTTCCCTGCGATGGTGCCAAGTGTGGCAGGCAAGCGACCGCCAACGCGAGCGACAAACATGGCTCTTTGGGAGGGCGAGGTTCAAGGATGTCGTTCAACATGAGAGCGACGAGAAAGGAAAAGAAAGAAAAAAAAGGAATACTGTAGGTTAGAGCCAGGCTGGCTATTAAAGAAACGTAATTAGGTTTGCCGTTTTCAGGTACACAAATGAGGCGGCTGAAACGCCAAACGGCGGAGGAGGGCGTCCATATCGAGAATAGGGTATTCCTCCATTAGGAAGAAGTAACCAAGTCTATCCATTGTTTTTGTGCGCATCGACAGTCCTCGGTTCCAGTATCCTGGATTTGCGCTTTCCACCTGTTTACAAAGGGTAAGACGCAACATTTCGACCCGTGCTGTATCTACTTACAGGATGTTATGGCACCCACGCTGCGGTGTGCAGGGAAGGGCGGGAGAAGATTGATGCACGCATTTATATGGCAGCTTGGATGGTCCACGGTGCACGTCCCTTCAAGTTCAACGAGGCCGACCATGGCCAGCACTAGGTGCCTGCTACCTTAACGACGATTATCCTCGTCAAAACTGCGGTGAATGGACACGCAAATTTGCTGTAGGGTGATTCTGCGCCGATCAACATGCTACACCAGATAAGTTATCTTCAGTATGGAATTTTTGCGAGAGAGAAAATCTAATCTCTTGACACACAGAAGGGGGGAAAAGAATCATTACGCCCCTAGACTCTCGAGGCTTGTTCGAGGTCTTCGTCGGGCCTTGAGCAGATTGGGGCACGTCAACACCGTATTCAACTACACCGATAGTGTATGTGGAAGCGCCTGTAGGCATTCGTGCGTATGGTTCACCAACCTCCTCGCTGTGAATTGCGCTTGGACCACTGGCGTGACGTGACCCGATGTCACAAACACAAGGTGGTGAGCTCAGGGCTCGCGTCTTGTTCTATTTCACCCATCCTACGCTCAATGCCAGTATAGATGCACCACAGAAACGGGGAAAGTAAGGCTGCCAGAGAAACACATCAGAACCAACAACAACGAGACGGCCAGAATACCGTCATCGCAACATTTCTCTGCCTGGCCTCTTCCGCCCGAATTCTGGCACCATCTCCAAAATTCCAGAGTGAGATGTTCGAATCCAACACGATGCAAAAGCGCAGTCGTGTGGCCGACATTCTCAAAGAACATAGAAATGTTTGTGAAAGGCTCACCATTCTACAAACTTGTTGCCGCCTTGACATGAGATACCGAAAGATAGATCAGCAGAGACGGCTACGGCATCTGCAGCTGAAATTTAGAGCCTTCGAGCACCAATTTCTCTGCACGCTTTTGAGAGACCCAGTCCTATTCCAGTCGGAATGCATTCCCGAAAATGCAGCCACAAGGACGAGCAGTTTCATGCTTTGATGATGCTGTTCTAGTGAAATTCTGGCGACCAACAAGCTATGCAGCAGAATTTAGGCTTCCGAGCAGTTGGAGTGCAGTAAGACATACCTGCAGGCTACCTGCAGGCCTACCCCGCCTGCCGGTTTACCACCCATCAACTGGTGTTCCTCCTACTAACCCCAATGTTAACTATCTCTTCTCAGCTGCGGCATTGACGCTTGAAGGATGGAATGTCGGTCGACATCGCACGGATCAGTGATGAAGCGTGTCACGGACGTCGAAAAGGCGAGTCAGTCACGAGTCCTCAATAACACCGTTGGACACGCTGAAATATTTGCATTACGTGGGCGGAGGGCGGGCGAATGGATATGACAGGATTGTGTTGTTGAAACGTTGATGTTTACGATCGTCCAGTGCGCTCAGCGGCGTTCCAAATAAATCGAAGAATATTACGGAATTTACGACTGGTTTCCCCACTCAAATTCCTTCAGCTACGATCGACGCCTAACAGCTCCTGCCACCTCTCTCTCCGATGCAAGTAAAAAAAATGTCAGCGTGGTGCGAAGGGCAGCCTAGCTCGCACCTCAGCCCCCTCCCGGGCAGTACTTTAGCGTCCCCAAATCCCAAACTTTGTTGTGGCGAAGTTTGAATCCGAGTGGCTTTCCCCAAAGATCGTATTTATCTGCTCCTGAATGAAGATTGCCCACCCTTTCTGACGGTCCTCTACATGGTTTCCCAACGGTTACCTCCCTCTTTCTTGCACACTCCACTCCGATATGCAAGGCGGGGTGGCATTTCTGCATGCCAGCGTCTTTGACTCCATTCCCGTCCGGATCCCCATACTTGTCTATAATATATAAACTTTTTACATTTTCAGATCTACCCAACTCCAAGTCGTTTTCAGGTGATAATCTGGTAATCCAGCCGGTCGCTCTTACCACCGAATGCAATCCCATTGCGAAAGCGTTTGTCGAGTTGGACGAAACTACCACTATTGTTTCTTCTCTGCAAAACAGTGTTACGGAGCACCGCTGTGGCCCCTAGGACTCTGCGTGATCTGAAGTGTTGAGGTTTTTCAGCCATTCAGTGACATCTGAGCACTCAAGTACGTCCTCAAGCCAACGATGCAAAAATGTCTCACCAGCATTTTGTTCGTTTTTTGCAACAGGAAGAAAGCTCTACTAACAGACGTACTATATTTTGCAGCGCAGCTGTCGATAAGTCGGAGTTTGAATTGATCTAGGACCTGTCCTACCATGGAGCCTTCTACAAGTCAATCGCCAGCTCCTGATACTGCAGCTAGAATGGCTATTCGACAACGGCCACAGGTCAAAGTAGCTCCGCATGGACCCCCATCCGACCTATCTTTGGTTAAGTTTCGGCACCCAGCTAATAATCGATGTTTTTTGAGGCTTCCCGCTTTTGACTGTTGTCCTCCCGACAACTTTGGTATACACTATGGAACCGCAATCACCGCATGTCGGATACTGGCCTGTAATGAGGATGGCTATCTCTCCACTTCTCGTGATCGCCATGCTAATGGACGCTTAAATGTTGACCTGGATTCAATTATACCCCCAGGGAAATACTACTACCATCTCAGTACCCAACAATCCGACCCGCTATACCCAATATGCTGTGATTTTCCTCTCTGGAAATTTCCGCACTTACAACTCCCCCCGGCCTGGCAGACCGAGCTCCTAAAACCTGTTTGGTCTTCAAATTCGATTGCAATAAGCGAAATTGTTAAAAGCCGAGACACCCAGTGTCTCATATCGGAATCGCGGGATTGCCTTACTATTGCCCATGTTGTCGGGAATAATGAGAAATGGGTACGCAAAATGCTTGTATTCGACGTAGGTTTGTCGCCAATCTGACTTGTCATCAGCTGGTTCAAAATAATATGAACGTCTATCTAACTGGCAACCAATACTCGATCACCAACAGCCTCAGCAACCTCTTCACTCTTCGGTGGGACTTGCGCCTGGGCCTATTTGATCAGGCGGCATTTGTTATCGTCCCAAAACTTGGTAAACTCGTTGTTCATTTCCTCATACCCACTCAAAGTGCCGAACGATATCACAACGTTCAATTCGATCTCAAAAACTCATTGTCTCATGAAGCCCTCTATGCTCGTTTCGCGTGGGCGTTGATGGACATTGTCAAGGGCTCCACGGTGGCTCTCAAGAAAGACTTTAGATTTCTGACGGCCTCAGGCACTGATGATAGAGCCGACGATAGTGACGGAGACGAAGACGGTGGTTGGGACGAAGGCGGTGGTGCAGACGAATACGATAGTGGTGGAGGAGAAGAAGGCGGCGGACGCAGTGGTGGCGGACGCGGCGGTGGTAGAGGCGGACGCGGTGGTGTAAAACGCAAACGCGAGTATGAAAACGAAGACGACGAAATCCATGATGATATGGGTACCACGTCCGATCCAGGTAGCGGTCGACGGAGAAGCGGCAGTCACGTTACATCTGATGCTTGTCCGCGAGAAGGTAGAGCCTGGCCAACATCACACCTTCCAGAGTTGTATGCTGATGTTATTGAGCCAGATGGTAGCCAGCTGTTGCTTGACAGTGAAGCTCGAGAACTTGAAGAGGACATGAAGAAAGCAAGTCGCACCCTTCCTTTCTTCGGTAAGTATTTCACATGGGATGTATGCAAATCCGCGTTGACGACCTTGACATAACAATCATAGTGGATCCCAATGTCAAGGTGCCCGCTGATTACTATGAAGAGATTACTTGGTACCCAGGGAGCGCGATTGTTGAGAGAAGAAAACAAGCTTATCTTGATGCCCATCCGCAGATCAGGGCCCACAGTGATCAACTTTTACCTGCGGACTATAACCTTTCCGATGATGAGAATTTGGTGTAATATTACAACTTCAATAACTGTTTGCTACTTTTTGGGCGTCAGTTCAGTGACCGGCGGTTGACAAGCGAGATGTCCAGCACCGATGTCCAAGCCGATGCGTTCAGTAAGTCAGCAAGAAGGGACAACTATAGACCCAGTTAACTTTCAGGTTCAGTAACCTAAAGCAATAATCGTGTCGCATGAGGGGCCAGACACCTCAAGAAGAAGCGAACGATACTCAGATGCTATGTGCAGAAATAAGATAAGATAAGGTTTCTACCTTTTTTGACCATAAACCACAACATCCTTCAAGACGTCCTCTCATATTTATTCATGAAACCGCGTTTTCTTCGTGTTTTCTCAGGACGATGACTCGACAACTTCGGCCGCGTACGAGCAGGCCGAGCTATGCCTTCATGGCAGGTTTTGACGACATAGAAGACGAGGCTGGCTCGTCGACTCTTGCTGCCGAGGAAGAGGGTTCTAGTGGAAGTGATTTTGCCCTCGACGAACCACAAGCTGCCAATCCAGAAGACTTGGAAGACGACGACGAAGATGCAGAAGGTGATGTAGTCGATGAAGACGTACTCGAAGTTGAGACGACTGTCGTGTCTCCCACCGGTGCCTCGACCCCCAACTACCAGCTTGCGGACAACTTCGCGCCGTCTGACATTGAAGTAGTGCCACCGCCGAAAGTCAAAGGGAAAGGAAAGGCCAAAGCTGGCTCAACTATAAAATCTGTCGGCGGTCCTGGTACGAACCTCGTCCGTTCATCCAAGCGGCAGATGTATGTTCTTCCGGCTCCAAGCGTCCATCACCGACACCGAGCGGTGCCTCTGTTTTCTCGTTCCGGACGCGTGGAAAGGTTTACTGTGCGACCGCCTCTCTTTGGATCTGCGCCTGTCGTCTTGACGAATAGCTTCACCCAAAGCCCGAAGGTTACGGATAGGGTGAACAAGTCCTGGGGTTACAACGTCGGCTCCGGACCTCTCTGGGAAATGGTGGAGGACCGTGGGTGGTACAAGGAGGCTGTGACGACCGGGAACGACGTTGATAGCGAGGCGAAGAGGCGGCCGCGGGTATGGGCAGACCTGTGCGTGAAGAATGGGTGGAGAGTTTTGAGCGAGAGGTGAGCGCTACGTACTTTCAAAAGCCAGATTTTCTAACTCTGGAACTTTGGATACTTTTCAGTGATGCAGCTCCTTATGTACCAACCGATGATACTACCACTGATGAAGGCAATCTTAAATCGCCTCCACCAGTACATTGCTACTTTGGCCACATTACGTCTCAAACGCTTGTCGAGATGAACATGCTAGAATCCCATCCCATGTGTTGGTCACCCGCTTCTTCCTTGTTCCGGAGTGATCGTTTATTTGTTTCCCTCGCAGCAAAATTCCTACCAGAGAGCAAAGCGCACATTTTCAACGCGGGTGCCCCGGTCTGGGGTCTTGATTGGTGCCCAATCCACGTCGAAGATCGTGCTGGTAAGTAGACATTACAGGTTTTCTTCGTTATTGATTGAACCTTCTCTTCTGAAGCACGCTCGTATAAGCAATACCTTGCAGTTGCGCCTTTCCCGTCACGTTCACATTTGCCAGACATCGGAACAAAGGTACCAAGACCTGCCTACGCATGCATTCAGATCTGGTCTCTGGCCCCTACCAGACCTATACCAGCTAACCGCGCTGCGGCGATGAAAAACAATGATCCCGGCATTATGAAATGCGAAATGATCATCTGCGTAGACGCTGGTCCAGCTCATGAGATCAAATGGTGCCCCCTTGCGTCTCATGACTCTGTAACGTTTACCCTCTGCTTTTTTGTGATTAGATGATTGAACCTGTTGCAAATCTTCAGATTTCGGAGTCAAAACGACCACGAAAGTTGGGCATTCTTGCTGGTACCTTTGAGGATGGTTCCCTCTCTATCTACAGCGTGCCCCAACCTGAGGACGTAAGGAGCCCTGATCACGACCCGTCGAAGCCTGTTTGCAGTATGTTTTCCCCAAATCGGTGACCTTTTGAAATTGACTTGGTCCCATGTCACAGTCAGCCTGCCTGAGCCTATCATTCGGATCGAACTTGAAGAAACATCATGCTGGACCTTTGACTGGGCCAACAGCGAACTAGTGGCTATTGGCACCACTAATGGTCCGTCGTGCCTGCCTATAACAGCCTTACGCTGACAATTCAATGCAGGCATCATTGCGGTCTATGACCTTGGACCCTCCCTCAAATCTTGGACATCCCCAGGTGTGCCTTCTCGTCATTGTTTACCATTGCGCCTGCTAACTTATTGACCCTATCACAGATTCTGAAACAATCACCGATATACTTCCTACACACTACCTCACTGTTCACCAATCTGCGATCCATGCCTTGGCTTGGATACAGGCTCCGCCATGCTGGCCATCTGGTGCCCCGCGCGTTGATGGAGACCCCACGGTTATAGCTAGCGGTGGGTATGATGGTATGGAGTGCATGACGGACATCCGTGAAGGGCACGGGTCCGTCATGAACAGGACTAGGGGCAAGCACATTTCTGGAACTTTCTTCAGGCGATGCTGATAGTATATCATAGATGTGATAAACGCATTGGCGTTTTCGCCTTTCGCTGGTGGTCCAATCACCATGGATCATGAGAATACTGTGAAAGCGTACTCCGCGTCGCCGAGTATGCTGGGTAGGGGACATTCATTGCTGGAGCCTCAAGGTCCTGTGTGGGTGCGTACCTGATTTAAGCTTCTAAATGACACAGAACGAGTGAGGCTAATTGTTGTGATAGAGCGTCGACGCATCTCAGTATCATCCCCAGCTGGCGGTTGGCGCTGCTGACGGATCCTGTTCTACCACGAACACGCTGAGATCAACACGAAGGGGTGGCTCTGTGGTATGTTCCCTCATTGGATCTATTCATCGAGACTCGTTGAATTGGTGTCCTCCAACAGCCCTTCTTTGTACATAAGCTCTACCAAATGGACTACAGTCGTAACACAAAAGAGTATCGCATGCTAGATAGATTTCTTCCCCAAGTAAGTAGCATACGACCAAGACGACCACTTCAATCTGTATCGCTAACTATGTCCACAGGAAACATTCGACAGGCCAACAGTCACCCGAGCAGCGAACAACAAATCAAAAGGTGGTACCTCCAACGTTAACGCTAATCCTCCTGGTACGGGCGCATGGCCGCGAGAGGTTGGCGTCCATCGCGTATCATGGAATAGTGGAAACGGACTTGCAGCGTCAGGCCTGCTCGCGTCAGCTACTGCTTCGGGGATTTGTAGAGTCGATGTGCTTTGGGGGAGATGGATCAAAGACAAGCTACCTTATGGAGGCATTGAGCAGATTAGGGGAGAGTCAGATGGTGACGGTGATGCTATGGACGTTGATTCAGAAGCGTCGGACGTAGTTTCGAGTTAGATAATGTTCTTCTCGTTGTTTTCTTGCACGTATAGATGCCGAAAGTTGGTCGGTGAATATGTCAATCCTCTGGGAGTGCGCGAATGACAGCAGCAGCGTGTGTCCGTTGATCACCCCTCACATAAGCTTGTATCTTGTCAGTCGGGAGCCCTACGAAGGGCGAAGGAAGCTGGACCTCTATCCTCGCAGCTGGTGGTGCCCCCTTGATCTCTTGCAAGACTTCAACTTTGCTTCCTTGCTGACCAGCTGTGATCATAACCGTGACCCAAATACGTGGCTGGCCTTTGGGCATTGGCCTCAGCCCATCCAGGACCACTCTAGAGGATACATTGCGGATCTCGGCCGTATGGTTCCCTAGCACCAGTTCCACAGCGACGCGGGACTGATTGTCGCGTGCAGTGGTGAGGAGGACGCTTTGGCCTATTGGGAGGCAATCATGACCGGGCACAATTTGAAATGGAGTGCCATCGGCAGTGAGGATGGAGATAGGACTGGGTGCCATAGGCATGCCGATGGTCATTCCCATACTTGTAGGGCTAGGGTCATCGGGTTCACGGAGCTCCTCAGCATGAGCAAATGCGTACGCAGCAGCATAACGTGCGAGGTCAGCGCCACATGCGTGAAACATGGGGCAAGGGATGGTGATGTGTGACAAGGCCACGCGTGCAGTCTTACGGTCTATGTCGAGGAAGACTACCCTGGAAAGCTTGCAGTTCTGGAGCAACATCCATGCTATGACCTGACCAATGAGCTCTACTAGAGAGCGGAAAGAACTTCCGGAGACGGTGTGGGTTCGGATAGGATGTTGGATCCGTTGGGACCCTTGATGGCGAATATTCAGGAGCCGCGCGGTGAAACTCGTTGGTGTTGCCTCGATGAATAAAAAAATCCCCGTGTTGAGGAGCTCCGTCAGCGTCATCCCCGCTATGTAGGCGTCGATGTGGTCGAAAACGAAGCGGCTGTTGATCCCCTCGGCCTTCACTGTGGCTTCAATGAGGTACCTCTCACGGGCATTCAATTGCGTTGGCAGTGTGAGGACCGTGAGTTCACTGGGATGGGCGCTGAAGAGAGCCGCGAGCGACGTGGATAGCGACGTCGACACCATCACATGAAGAGGTTCGTTTCCTGAGCTCTCGAAAGAGCCGTCTTTTGAGGAGATGCAGTGGAGGTCTATACCCGACTTTGAGATACAAAGACCAGAGAGCAAGTTCGACATGGTGGTAGATAAGGAGATTGAGCCACGGCTCTTTTTACTCATTTCGGCCATTCAGGCGATTTGTAGGACAATCCCCTATCAGCGCAATCCCCGAGCCGTTCAGCGCTCAGCGCTCAGAGACATCTGACCTGTCAGTATTCTTGTTCTCGTTTTCTGCAATACTGGGGCGACGAATACTCCTTCGATGGGGGACGATTCGGTGAGGGAGTTAGGTGTCGAGCTGTTGTCGAACGGATCTTGTGTGGATCCGCTCCGAGTTCAGCAGGAAGCAGGTTCTTTCAGTTGTGGTAAATAAACGTGGAGCCGTCCTGAGCCATTAAGTAGACATATTGGCCTGTCCGGGTCCCTGGTCTGCTCGCGTCTGCCTCCAGCCGATAACGGATAAGATAGGAGACTTCTTGGAAACTTCGCAATGCAAGTTCCTTGGAAAATGTTCATCGTTGGTTATAACATTCCAGGCGCATTCGCCAACATAGATGCCTACCTTCTAGTTTTGCGGACGATGCCTCGATACTTGTGAAATAGAGGCGCTCGTGCGTGTCACTCTCTTTCTTGTTGAGTGATCCGAATCACACGGAACGTCCAACCATTCCGCTTGTTTGTCTGTATAAACAAGTCGCTTTGTGAGCACTGAGTCCCATGTGCGCATCGTTCAACTCAAAGCAAGGTATCCCCACATAGTCCATTGCATACCTACCTAATGACATTGTCTTCCAGATGTATAAACGCCTTGTCTCTGTGTTACTTCTGCTCGGCTCGCTCGGTACTCACTGCGTAAACGCTGTCACTTGCGGTGGTTTTCCCCCGGCGAAATTGGAACATTGCGTGGTTCTTATGAACAGGTATCTCGGAGATGTATCAGTGGCACCTATCCGTAATGGATATGCGGTCATTGAATTCGCCACCTGTGCTATTACGACCAGGCCAGCTTCTGGCCAGGTACCGGTTACAAATGACTACTTGGCCCGGCGGGGTAAAAGTACCTTCAATGATTGTGAAAGTATTTCTATCTCTGGGTCTATTCCGGACCCGAAATGGCCCAGGGTCTGTATGCTTAATACCGACGCGTGCGTGTTTTTTCTCTTTCTGAGGCGCGAATGAGTACTAAATAATCTTTTAGGATAGATTGGTGTTAGATGGGAAGAAGGGATGTGAGGGGCTGACTCCTAGTGAATTACGATATCCAAGACGACTTGCAACGACATTCTACCAGCTACAGCATCATTCTCGGATCGTCCTCTATTTATTTGCTATGGCTCGTCGTTATAGTACGGGTACCAATCTATACCATCACTATAATTTCCGGAAATATAAAGATTGAAGGAGCAACTTTTAGTTTGCTTTCAAATATATCAGCCCCATCGACACTACGGCTCTCGTTCTGGGCGTCTAGTATGCCAACCCGCTAACGTTCAAGTTCAACCAAATTTCAACATTCAACAGAACTTCAACCTTTGTCTTCCCCTGGTTCCATAAGCGTTCTCTTTTGGAGGTCTATAGTCTATAAGGTCTACTGCTATGTTCTAAGCCCCTTCGGCGTTCACGAGTTTCGAAGTTTTGAGCAGGTGCATTGTGGCCAATTACCGGCGCGACGATTATTATCCTAGTCGAATTTCATCTGTCAATTCCATTTCTCGCTTTGCACAATAATATCGAAGAATAATGTATTCTTGATCCATTCTCTATCACGAACTTCGTCTCCACAATGTCTACCTCATCAGCAACAAGTAAGGTAGGATAAGCATCGATCCCTTGAGAAGAACACCTCGGGGGGAATGTTTCGCTTTCAAATCGCAACCTTTACCCGAAAGTGATCGCAACTGGCTTCGTAGTTGGACCTTGAGGATTAGTGTAAACCCGTGGTTCCGACGCTGCGGATTGGGCAACACACACAGGCATCGGCGTAAAGATAAAGTTGACGCGCAGTAGCTCAACACGCCATGAGCTACTAGCTAGGATGACTCTGACGGAGGCTCGGACGATTTTGGCGGAGGTTCTGTGGGAGGAACGCCCCATTCCGGTACACCTTTTGGCCGCGGAATCCGTCGGGGTTCCCATTCTTCCTCAGCTTGGGCACTCAGTCTCTGCAACGTCTCGCTTAGTATACAACCAAAAAGTGTATGAACGTTGGATTGGCGTACGAAGTATTCTTCGCGTATATCGAACTTCTTGCGATTCTTGTCCAGCTTGAGTTCCTGTTCCTTCGTTACCTGGGCCAACGACATAAGCGATACCTTTCAAGAAGAAGTGAAAACAAACATACATTCTTGACTTTCTGGTCATGCAGATCGTACCGAGTTTGAGTGACCGTGCTGAGGCCATATGACGCGGCAACCATGAGAAGAACGAATGGGACACCAAAGAGAGCTGGGTATCTTCTGACGGTTTGGTTCAATGAGCTAGGTTTCACAGGTCTTGAAGGGAACACGGCCATCCTTGGGCTTTCGACGAGTCCGTGGTGGTGGTTGATGATCAGGAGGACCGTCGGCATCGGCCGAAAGTCCCGATCTCCAAGTTTTCATAGCAATCCGATCACTCTCCTACCAACCACGAGCTACAAGAGGCGTTGTTGGAGCGTTCCACAGTCGTTCACTGAGAACGATACCGCTGTTTTACTCGGACAGACTATGAGTGGTGAGTGCTCATAAAGGATTATCACAGTCACTATCTAATCTTTCCCTGACAGTAACCGTCGTGTTAGGCAGTCAGTGGGGAGATGAGGGGAAAGGAAAACTGGTCGACATCCTTGCTGCTGATATTGATGTGTGCGCAAGATGCGCTGGAGGCAACAATGCTGGACATACCATCATCGTTCCTATCGATGGCGTTTTGAAAACCTTTGCTTTCCATCTATTACCCAGCGGTACGTTCCACTTTCATTGAATGAAATTACTCTTTATCACGTTGATAGGGCTCGTGAACCCTCGCTGTACCGGCTTGATTGGGTCTGGGCTCGTCGTCCACGTTCCATCTTTCTTTGCTGAGCTTGACGCTCTGGAAGCGCAGGGTGAGTGCTCGATGATCCTTTTGGTTTTTATTCATTATTGAAGTCATATACAGGGCTGGATTGCTCCAACCGTCTCTTTATATCCGATCGCGCTCATCTGGTGTTCGATTTCCATCAGATTGTCGATGGGCTGAAGGAGGTAGAGCTTGGGGGCAAGAGGTACGGTAACCCTACTTTTTTAATGTCTGATGTTGAAGTATACAATGTAGCATTGGCACCACGAAGCGAGGTATCGGTCCAGCTTACTCCGGCAAAGCTTCACGGTCAGGATTACGCGTTCACCACCTCTTCGACCACGAGACCTTTGCCGAGAAATTCCGAAAGCTCGTAGAAGGCCGGTATAAGCGCTACGGCCACTTTGAGTACGATACAGAAGGAGAGATTGAACGATACAAGGTGATTCTGACCACCTACATATGCAAAGCCCACGTCTGACATTTACAGAAACTCGCAGAACGACTGCGGCCATATGTCGTAGATAGTGTCGCCTACATCCACAAAGCCATCACATCTGGGAAAAAGGTTCTTGTGGAAGGAGCCAACGCTTTGATGCTCGACCTTGACTTCGGAACCTACCCTTACGTCACCTCTTCGTCAACTACGATTGGCGGTGTCTGCACCGGTCTCGGTATACCCCCCAAGATGATTGGGCGCACCATTGGCGTTGTCAAAGCTTACACCACACGTGTCGGTGGAGGGCCATTCCCCGCCGAACAGCTCAACGTACGTGTCTAACACCTGTTGGAGTGTGGAAATAACTAATCTGTTGGCATTACAGGACATTGGCGTTCACCTACAAGAGGTAGGCAGGGAATATGGTACTACGACCGGCAGGCGAAGACGCTGTGGTTGGCTCGACCTCGTCGTGCTCCGCCACTCAAGCATGATAAACGGCTACGACAGTCTCAACTTGACGAAACTTGATGTCCTCGATCAGCTTCCTGAAATTAAGGTTGCGACGCGGTACCTGGTGGATGGAAAGGAACTGGAAGGATTCCCAGGTCAGGTGCTCAGCTCACTTCCCCAATTTCACTCGCTGATACCCTTTTTTTCCACGCAGCCGACCTGGAATTGCTTGCGAACGTGGATGTAGAGTACGTTACCCTGCCTGGGTGGCAGAGCTCGATCGAGAACATTACAACTTACGACGACCTGCCGGAGAACTGCAAGGGATACATTAAATTCATAGAAGATTCGTTAAACGTCCCTATAGAGTGGATTGGTGTTGGACCCGCGAGGAAGAGTATGGTGAGGAAGGAACTCAAGCAATAATGAAAAGGCAGTTTAATAGAAGCCTCGTCTATCAAATATATTGTAAATTATCTCGGTACAGTTATGCAGTATCTATACATGTATCTTGGGAGCACACCAAAGCGTTTGAAAGAAGAGGAATATCCGGTACTTGTGTACCCAATTATTTTGGTTGTTTTCCGATTTGATCAAAGATTTGCAAGTCCCTGAATCGATGAGCGCTCATCCTCATTCCTTGAATCATATTCTCATGCAACAACGCGTCCTGGTCCTCTGGATGCCGCCGCGTTCCTTGACCACCGCTTGACACCAGTAAAGACCTGACGCTGTTCAAATCCCCGAAAATCCTATTATCATCAAGCTACTTGAAGTTGAACTGTGGATTCTTCGGCGAAGAAACTTTAGAAGGAGGGAACACGACGGAGAAACGTTTCGATTAATATGGGGAGATTTCCAAGGCGTAACGACCCATATCCTTGTGGGGCCGTGATCTTCTATGGGAGATCAGGGCAAAAGACTCAGCAGATGGTGTCCATCCCAATTCCCGATAGCACTTCCAAGAGGGCTTCGAACACTTATTCGGACACTGATTCCTCAAAGACATTGGGAAGTGTCGATTCAGGAACTTTGGTCACTACATCGACTTCTGGATCTTTGAAAACAGATTCACAACCTGGCTCTCCCCCCAATGATGTCCCCCCCACACTCGCGTCAATGGTCTCAGCTCAAACTGACTCTGCTGCTACCAATGGCCACGATACCATCGTAGCCAATTCGGCGACCATGCTTTCGCTTCTGGCCGAAGTCTCCGACCTCTTCTCCAACGTTCCGTACGTGAAGGTTGTAGCTGGAGTCGTGAAACAAATCATTGATATTTCAAATGTATTTTCTTTCTTCTTCAGCTTTATTTTCGCTTATACAAGTCATAGCAAGTCCGCACCAACCAGGAGAGGTGCAAAGAGCTGGTGGAAAAGGTGATGAGCTACTCTCGCGTTGTTTTCACTGCGTTGCTCGCGACGCAGAAGGATTCTTCGACCGGGCTCGACGACCTTAAGGAGGATTTATTGCAGATAGCTAGGTGAAGTTCATCAATCATGCCTCCTCAATCTATTATAACGATATGACAGTGTTTTGGAGGCGATATATACAGGCCTCGCTTCCTTTTCAAATCAGACGATGCTTTCCCGTTTAGATCGCCTCATTAACCGCGACGCCGTTGCGGGTAACATGATGGTTCAAGACCGTAGATTGGATACCGCTATCACCTCTTTTCAAGTAAATCAATTCTCGTACTCTGATGAGAAGGGTACTAACGTCCTCGCAGTTGAAGTCTTCTATTGTGTTACGCACTACGAAAATCGCAGAGGGTGTATCAAACGAGGTGATCCCCTTTTCAATGTTCAGATTCTGCAACACAGCTTTAACCCCGTTTGATTACAGGAACGGTTCAAGCCACAGTCGCTGGATGTCCCCCGTCCGCGTTTAACAAGGCTTCGATCCAAGCCACAGATTATGTTTGGTCGTGACCATGAGATTGAGACGCTTGTAGCTGCCGTTTTGAAGCATGACTACTCAGATGATATCAATCATCTGACGAGAATAGCCATATTGGGAGCCGGAGGTATAGGCAAGACATCGCTAGCCCTCTCTGTCCTGCACGACGCAAGAGTTCAAACCAAGTATGGGGATGCCAGAGTCTTCGTCTCATGCGAAGCAGCATCGTCCCCTGATCGGCTTGTCAATGAACTGGCAGTTGCGTTACAGATAAAGACAGAGGATGTAACAGACCTACTTTTGGACGCCATTCTTCGACATTTAGCTCTGAATCCATGTATCCTTGTCCTTGACAATTTCGAGACATGTTGGGACCCCCCAGAATATCGGTCGGATGTCGAGCTCATGCTCAACGAAATCACTGCGATTTCGCATGTCGTAGTCATGATTACCTTGCGTGGATCGCAACGCCCAGCCGGAGTTGAGTGGTCCAACCTCATGCCCCCGCTACAGCCAGTAGATCTGGATTCTGCATCTTCTATCTTCCACACCATCTCGCAGAAACTGGACTCTCATGCGGTCAACCTTATGAAAGCTGTTGACTGCGTGCCGTTGGCAGTGACCCTCTTAGCCAATCTAGCGGCGGTCGACGGGGAAACGACGGAGGCACTATGGGCGCGCTGGACAGAGGAGAGCACGGCGATGGTGGAAGGCGGCCAAGATCGACTCTCAAGCCTCGAGGCATCTGTTCGGTTGTCCCTCTCTAGTCCAAGATTGAACAAGGACCCTGATGCGCTTTCGTTCCTCAGCGTTCTCGCTTGCCTTCCTGACGGAATGTCGAGCTGGGCACTGCATGCGTGTGAGAGGGGCCTTCCTAGTGTCGTCAGGGTGAAGAAGGCGGTATCAACTTTGCGCCAGAATTCGCTAGTATTCGAGGATCCCGATCATCGTATCCGAATTCTTAGCCCCATTAGATTATATGTCTGTGCTCACCATCCACCATCTTTCGAAGCACGCTCTTTCCTGCAGGACGTCTTCATTGGGCTTGCATCTCAGGGAACTTCATACGGCGATGCCAGCATCCGTAAACGTTTCAGTGAGGAGACAAGTAACGTCGAGACCATGCTCATTGACGCATTAAAGTCCGGCAGGCCTTTGGATAAAACGGTGGAGGCGGTCCTAAGCTTTAGCCATTTTGCCTACACTTCTGGATTGGGCACTTCGGGAGCGATATCCGTTGCAGTAGACCGTTTAGCTGAGTCGCAAGTCATCGGTAAAACCGTTACTCCTCTTACTTCCCCGGGACTACCGGTGAACCTATCAAAACCGAATCTGCTTCCACGGGTGAAGCTCTTCAAATTTTTGACGAAACCTGCCATGTCGCCTCCAACTGTGGTAAACCCGGCGGCAGTGGATCTCACCTTGAAGCTCCGTGGGGATTGTCTGGGATGTTGGGGACAACTCGCGAGTAGGAAATCTTGTTTCCTTCAAGCCGAGGAGAAGTTCACGCTTGCTGTGAAGCTACATCTTGAAGCTGGAGACGTATCTGGGCAAGCGTATGACCTTCACAATCTCGGTTGTCTGTTGTTGAGAGACAAGTCCAAGCTGGACCAGTCGAAGGCCCAGTTTGAGCGGGCCATGGGGCTTCACGACCAGATTGGGGATAAATCAGGCAAAGCCTATGACCTCATAGGTGTGGGTCGTGTTTTCCTGGAAAGATATGAGTACGCCAATGCACAAACGGCGATTTCGGATGCTTTACAAATTTTCGATGATATTGACGATGAAGTTGGTCGTGCGTTTGCATTCAATAGCATGGGAATCGTAATGCAGGTGTCCTGCAACGCCGTCAAGGCCCACCATTTCTTCACACAAGCTCTTAGGATCAATTCGGACATGGGCGACACTGTCGGCCAGGCAGAGAGTTTAGCTGGATTGGCCTGCAGCCTTTTGCTGCGTTCACAATTTGCCGAAGCCAAAGTCGCGGTAGACAAGGCACTCGCCCTCAGAGCGCCACATATCAATCCAGACCACCTTCATCTTCTCGGAAGGGTTTTAATCGCACTTGCTCAATATGATGAAGCCGAGAAGGTTTTAACCCTCTCAAAGGATCTTCATGAGGAAGTGGGCAACGTCTTGGGCTATTCTGATGACAATTTGTATCTGGCAGACATCTCCTTGTGGCGGGGTCAACGTGAAGTGGCGGAAAACTTTAAAAATGATGCGAAGTATGGATATGAACAGGAGGACAATCTGGTCGGACTGGCGGACACCCTTGTGCTCGATGGGGTTCTGCACTTGCGAAAGCCTGATCTGCCAGCAGCGCAAGACTCTTTCCAAGAGGCACTGAAACTCTACGTCCAGATGTGCTGCCCCCTTGGGCAAGCGATCGGCTTATACCACCTGGGTCTCTATTTTCTCCGTGTTGCAAATTTTGAACATGCGGTGGAGAGCTTCCAAGAGGCTCTTCGTTTGCATACACAAACCGGCAATATACAAGGGCAGGCGGCCGATTTGAACAAAATTTCCGAGGTTTATCTGCAGCAGGGCTCCATTCAGGAAGCATTGACCAGAATATCTGACGCACTGGCAATGCATATACAAATCGGAGATGTCGCTGGACAAGGAGACGATGTTTACATTCAAGCGGGCATATTCTTGCAGGAGTCAAGGTTTGACGATGCCGAGAAAACAATACGGAAAGCCCTGGACTTGCACACGCAAGTTGGTGATGTTTATGGGCAGGCCAGAGACAGGGCGACGTTGGGCTCTATTTTATCGTGGCAATTTAGAAAAGGACGTGACTCTTGGAATTCACAGGATGAGGAACACGCCATCGAGGCTATTGCAGAGGCGATGCAATTGTTTAGACGTGCTGGTGCGCACGGAGAACAGCAAGAGTGTTACGATGAGTTACTTGACACTTACGATTATTGGTACTAGGCACTTCGAATGTATCTTTTGGGACAAAGTTCGTCACCAAGGATGAATCCTGCGACTGTGCTGGAAATGTAGAAATATTGCCATACCCTATAAATATCTAATCCACCCATTACTGTCCTTGAAATTATTTAGCATCTGCTCCGACATCCACGGTATAGATCTGGTAACTAACTAAAGAGCTCGAAATAGAAAAACGAAGGAGAAATTAATATGCGATTCCAATTTGCTTGTTTCCGTACTCGGACCAGCGATTGAGGACGGCATCTTCAATGAAATGGGCCACGTCTTTCCTCGACACTGTCCACCCAATAACATGGCCTTCTCCAGCCCGATAGGGTATTTTTTCGCCCTCCTTTCTCTTATCTGCTAAGCAGTCGCCGTCTGTCAATCCTGCGGCTCTCAACACTATCGCATCCTTCAATGTCCCCGGAGCAGGAAGACCCTCGGTGTCCCTCCACTCTTTACTGCCCATAATCTCTTCGCCAGGCTCTCCGTCAACCTCGGTATTCCACTCCCATCCGGCGCAATGATAAATGAGGCGCTCCATGCCAAGTTTGTCGCGCAGAGGCTGGGCGATAAGCCACCCGTAAAGAATCTTCAAAAGGAAGGGTACATGTGCAATCGATGAGCGACTGACGCCTGCGGTGGAGAGGACGATGACTTTGGGAAGTGGGGGTGTTTTGGGCATTGTGGTTAGAATGTTGAGCAGGGCTTGCGTTACGAGGTTTGGAGGAGTGATTTGGAAGCCTTTGAGGATGTTGAAGGTGGGTTTTCCGGCTTATAGGAGTTTATGATTAGCCGCAGTGAGGGAGATTCAAAGAAGGAGTTGGATTGCGTACTGTAGCCGAGGGTGAAGAGGAGAAGGTCAATGGGTCGTTCAGAGGATGCTTCTGCCCAGAGACGCTTGATGTCCTCTTGGACTAGGGCATCCCCCTTTACGAGACGTGCCTTTCCAGACTTGACGTATGTTTGGATCGCTTCGTTTTCGTCAAAGACAGCTGGGTTGCGTAGAAGGAAAGTCACTGTTGAGCCGCCCCCTAGTATTGGCGCACAAATGATCAGACGAAATGGTACCACAAAGTCATTAAACGGCTCACCGAGAAATCTGAGAGCAGAATGGTAGCCTATGTGACGAGAGCCACCAATAGAAAGTACGTTTAGGGCCATGAGAGGATAGACTGCTGAAGACTTGGCGCCCTCCGATAACGAAGATCGTTCTTTTATCTGTTTTTACCACAGCATCATTTGCAATGGTACACATCAGCCGCAGTAACATATGGGCAGTGCCACGTTCCTTTTTTTTCTGACGTGTTCGAGACAGGAAGGAGGAGGAGACACGCGTGTTCTCGGTTACAACGTCACTGACGGCAACTCCGGTACTTTCTGTCCACCCAATGTCCACCAGTCACCGGTCATGGCGCAGTACTCAGTCGTGACCAGCCAGGACCAGCCTCAAGGCATCTAGGGACTTACGCGTTTCTGACTAGACCTTAGGTTGTTTCTTGATACCAATCTAGTGATTTTCGATGAAAAACCTGGTGCGAAGCCGAGGTACCAGCCGCGAAGCTTTATTATTCCTTTTTACCGATGCGAACAGATCAAGTACTTACTGATTTTTAGGGGGATCGGCAGCCAAACCCGACACCGATTCTTCAAGCACACGCAGCCCACAAGTTTCAATGCCAAAAACTTGAAGCTTGAAGTCTCGGGGCCGTCTCGCAAATCTCTTCCTGGATTGGTTTCAGTGCGTCTCCGCCTCTGCAAATTTCTTCGGCTGGCTCTACTATTCTCCAACCTCTACTTTGTAAACGATTCTTTCAGGTATCTCCGACTCTTTTCAGTGACGTTCTTGGGTCGTGAATTGCAAATCATTGACATTCCGAATACCTGAGGGCCGATATACGTCATGTTTCCTTTTCGCCCTCACCTGTACTGTAGCAAGTTCAGGACCGGTGTGGGAAACTCGTCGAAAAGTACTCCGGTGTTGTTTTCGGTGGTGATTGCTGGGGTCGCAAAAGACTTCATCGTCCAATCAACTCATTGCAGATCAGAGAGATTTGTTGCAGATTGCTAGGTGGGTTTCTAACAATGTATCCCTCCTCCTCAACTAATTATGACAGTAAGATTTTAGGGCGCCAAATGTCTTATAATCAATCTCGCGTCCTTGTCGGCGTCGACGTCGACCTCCCGTTTTCATCGCGTCATTAACGGTGAAGCCGCAACTCATGTTTCGACGTGACGAAAGGATCCACACGCTTGTTTTAGCTACCGATTTGGACCATGATTCCGAGTACCCGGCAATCTCTGACAGGGGTAAATATCCGTTTTAGGACCCGGTGGTATCGGAAAGACTTTTTTTGTTGTTTCTGTGCTGCACAACACTAGCATTGAGGACGAATGAATTTTCTTCCAGCAGCATCTTCCCCTTACCGGCTCGCCGACGGGCTAGCAGTCGCACTCCAGATGAATACATCGCTGGGTCTATGTACATTCATCTGCGCGTTCGGACAATCCTGCAGCCTGACGGATAGTTGTTGCACACAGTCGGTTAGTAGGCCTGATAGGCCTGATAGTGACTTCCCAGTCATGTGAATGAGATCGCGTCCCTCGTGACCTCAACGCGGTCAACTGATTTCTACCGAGTGTTCCTCAGAGGCGTGAGGGGGGTTAAGGAGGGGGGTTAAGGAGGGTATTTCAGGAAGGACTTGGGATGAGTCTGCCATAAAGTTGCGCAGAAGACTCGGAGTTGAGAGATAATGTACATGATGTTGTTACACTTCTAGTCTAAACGTCCACAGCACTTTGATTGTGTATTCAAGTTGAAGTCAGGCCTCCTCTTCGACATGACGATCCGCACCACCACCCCGCCTGCGTGTACCCCTTTCCCTCCTCTCCGGCTCCTCACCCTGCACAGAAACAGCACTCAAGCTCGTCCCCATCTCATCCACCCTCATCTCACCCCATTCCTTCATCAACGTATTCAGTATCATCGCCAAATACACCAACCCAAGCACCAACACCCCCGTGATAGCCACCCGTGTACCCAAAACTGCTGTTGCGCTTGACGGTGCACGGGAGGAAGGATCGTTGCCTGATCCGGTAAGCCAAATGAATGAGAGGATGAATGTAATGAAGAAGAGCATTGACCTGTGGGGAAAGGAAGAAAGCATGAGGGCGAGGGTCAGCAAGGAGGGTAAAGGTAAAGATTACCAAGCCATCGACACCGCCGGCATCGCCAGTAACATCCAAACATTCCACCATATCGCAGTATTTGTCCTCCTTGCTTCCTAACACCAGCATCCCAAACAATCAAGTTGATCATTCTTTTTTGAACACAAAAACGTACCTCAGCCCACCTCGAAGCTCGATACATACTCCTCATAGTCCCAAACCTCACAATGTATATACACCCATACGAAAGACTCATCAGAGCACATATCAACGAGAGCAGCGCAGTGCTCCTCGTAATCAGGTCGTCGGCTGCTTCAGGGATTTGCAAGATTGCCAGAAGGGTCCTACAATTTTTTTATTAGCTCTGTTGTACTTGAAAGGGGAACAAAAAGAAACGCACGGAATCAATAAAGCAGAAACAAGATTCAATGTCTTCCACTCTTTCAATAACGAATTTATAAACGCCTCCCAATAATCAAATCCATTCGCTGCCGCACCCAGCACCCCTGATGTCCCTTGGTGTCCACTAAACCCAGACACCCATCTTCCAGAACCACCATGAAAAGGCGCCCCATTGGCAGAGTTAACTCCAGCCCCACCTCCACCCTGAGAATTCAAGTCCAACTCAACCATCCTCGCAGCCCTCAAAGAATACATCGCAGCCCTCGAAGAATACATCGCAGGGAACCTCAGCAGCAAAAAATTGTGGTATACCAGTCTGGGAAGGGTATTGCTCAAGAACAGACGTGCAGCTTCACAGAATGACTTGATAGAGGTGACGTTGATGAACTTCAAATTGGGGTTGTAGGAGCCGTTTGACGATGAATTGAAGGAGGGGGAGGGGGAGGTCCCTGGGCCTGAAATTGCGTCTAAGCCTGGGCCGGCGCCAGTCTCGAGGTCGACATCTAGAGGCGAGAAAGAGGAAGGGTGACGCCACTCTTCTGGTAAAAAGGAAGCCGTGCGCGACCGGGAGGGGGAGTGGGAGGGAGGGGGGAATCTGAAAGGCAAGTTAATGTTTGTATTTGGCCCTGTTTGCGGGTTTGGGTTTGGATCGTGACAGTCTGATGTACCAGGCGCGGGACTAGATGGCATGGGGTTGCTCCCTCTTGCTTGAAGCCGAAAGAACACTGGCAAAACAGTTTAACAAATTAGGAGTTTAAGAAGAGGTTAGAAGGCATACCTTGACCGACGCTTTGCGTAGTAGTCAACGACCCACTGCCACCGGTAGTATCAGAGGAAACTCCCCTGGGCATCCCTCCATCAGCAACAGACATACTGTTCGTCTCCGTATTCAAGCTTCCATCCCCCACCGCATGATTAAGATTCAGTGGGGTATTCAAGCTAGACTGAGAATTGGAGTTATTTGCCGAAAACGACCCGTGTTTCGCACAAATCGTCGTAATACCAAAATTCGTAAGCCCCGTCGACGTTATCGTGCCAGTGGTGTATATGGGAGACGCAGGGGGAGCGGAGAACTTGTCGGAGTCGGAGGGTCTGACCTTTGTAGAGAATTCTGTGCAGTCTTCGTATCGAGATTTGAAAACAAGAAAACAAGGAACGATGCTCACCTGGACTGGCACCTGACGTTCGACGCTGTTCTAAGTTGAACTTGTGCAGACCTTCAGAGTATGAGGATGATCATGAAGACTTTACGAGACGAGCAAGAATTTTCACCTCGAGCCATGATTGGCCTGCTGCCTTTTGCTGTGTTCACAATCTGCCCGACCTGCCCGACCGCCTCCACCTCTGGATCTGAGCTGTTTGTTAAAGTCGTCGCGAGGACGGGTTCGAAATCCATTCCAGTGATGGAGTGTTCTTGGTCTTAGTTTTGGTAAGGGTTGGAATGGGTTGGAATTGACGGTCTGATCTGCACGTGCCGAACTTTGCACTGCAATCTTACATGTAAGAGGCGCCGGGGGGTAATAGTGACGTTCACCTGAGAACACCCCCGCCCATTCGCCGCACTGCGCGACCCACTCCGCCTTGGTCAAGTGGATAGACTCCTATGCCAGCCAAAAAAAAAAGCCCGTTCCCCAGAGCCACGAAAACGAAGACGCGACCCCCAACTGGGAGGCTCATCGTTAACGACACATTGAGCACAAACTTCTTTCGAACCAACCATCCTCTCAATATCAGGCCTACTGACCTCCGCATCCTCAAACAGCGCATAGCGCGCAAAATATATCGCAAGCAACCTCAACAAAAGATTGAGGTATACTTGTCGAGGCAGGGCATCCCCTACGAACATGCATGCAGCTTCACAGAATGAATTGATAGAAGTGACGTTTGATGAACGTTGAATCGAGGTCGTCGCAGTTGTAAGGGCCATTTCATAATGAGTTGGAGCTGGAGGAAGGGGAGGAGGGAGAGGTCCCTGAAATTGGAACCTGGCTTATGCCGTTCTCGGGGTCGAGGTCTAAATGGGGGGAAGCGGGGAAGGAGAGATCCTTGAAATTGAAACTTGGCTTACGCCGTTTTCGGGGTCGAGGTCGTAACACGAAGACCAGCTCAACCGTATATGCGTACGCCGCTGACGCGGGTTACAGGCACTAAACCTCGCTTCCACAGGAGCACCGTGGTGCGCTGTACAGTGACGGTGTAGCCCAGCCAACCACTGTTGGAAGATACGTAAAAGGAAGCTGCACGCGACCGGGAGCGGGAGAGGGGGATCTGGAATTCATGTTTATGTTTATGTTTGGCCAGACGCCCCAGGATGTGTACCTCTACCTCTTTGCGGGTTTAGAGGGTCTGGTGTCAACGCTGTTGATAGGGATTGGATGGTATGGGATCGCTTCCCCCTGCTTGAAGCCGAGAGCCTAACGCTGTGGCACAACAGTTTCAATATCAGGACCTTGAACTTGAAGAGAGGTAGGAAGACATGCCTGACCGACGCTCCGCATAGCGAGCGACCCAGTGCCACTAGTACTATGAAACGAAACGCTCTCCCCCTCCCTCTTTATCGGCCGTACGAAAGTTGATGGACAGGCTCGTCAAATGGTTTAAGGAAGCAGGATTTCATTGTCAATGGCCTCATCCTCGCCCGCGGAAACGAATGACTTGTCCCCGCATTCAAACCTCCATTTCGTTAAGATTCAGCGGGGGTATACAAGCTAGGCTCAGAATTGGGGTTGTTCGCCGAAAACGACCCGCGTTTCATCCCAGTCGTCGCAAAACCAATTCGTAGGCAACATCGACGTTATCGTACCAGTGGTGTGTATGGGAGTCCGTGAGGAGTGTAGACCTTATTGGACTCGGAGGATGTGAGCTTTGATGAGGGATCTGGGTACATCAAATAGGTTTTGGGCTGAGAGTTGAAATGTTAGGTTAGGCGGTGAGGGCTCACCTAGACTGGGTTGACTCTGAGTATGAGTACCAGTATGAAGGACTTTGATGACTCTCACCTCGAGCCCTCCGCCCCTCCATCTCCACCTCTGCATCTGCTCTCTGTTGTAGTCGGGAACGGGACGGGTTCGTAACCCATTCAAACAGTGTAAACATGCAAGCAGCAAGGAGCCTTTAGCGCCCGCAACCGTCCCAAAAGACACCGAGGGTACAAAAGGCAGTGTAACGGAGATAGCCCCGTAGTTTGTTTGGCTTGGTTACAATAGTTGAGATGCGCAAGCCAAAAGTAATTTGCGGCAGACTACTGGTGTTTGTAGCTGCTATTACATAATAGCAGGTGGCTATGTGCTTATGTGATAGCAGGTGGCTATGCATATGCTTATGTGATAGCAGGTGGCTATGCATATGCTTATGTGATAGCAGGTGGCTATGCATTTGCTTATGTGATAGCAAGTGGTTATGTAATCTAGCTCTTGACAGCCTACTTGTCACTTCTACAATACTTCTGCCCTCTCTGCAGCCTTCTACCACATTTTTACACCATATAAAATCGAAAATATATTGAGATTATTACATAAATGTGAGCTATCACCAAATTTCTATGCATTTTACTGTTTAAATTGTTAAATCAGCAACATCAGTTGAAATCAAAGTTTTGATCAGTTGCATCTGGTCATACTACTTCTCTTTCAATATGGCTGGTGTGTTCCTTGTATTCTTGCTTGTTTGGATGGCTGTATAATTATCTGGTAGATGGGGATTCTGATGAATTTTTCCATTTTTCTGCTGATGACTATATCTTCTCCAATGTTACTGAAGCAGAAGCCATTGCCTTATCTGGGTAAGTGCTCTCTCTTGCAAAAAATACCACTCATTGACATCTTACATTTATCAGTGGTACTATTTTGCTACCAGTTCCTGACTCACCTCCAGCTAGATCTGCAGAAGTTGTCCTCTCTCCAGAGTTGGAACCTTCTATGTCTCCCTTCAACCATGATTCAGTTCCCTTCTTCAGTGCTCTCTCTATTCAGAATTTGGTACCATCTTCATCTGACCATGAGATTATGGGTAGTTTAGATACAGTCTTTTCCTCTGGTCTGGAACTGGACCTACTCACAAGTTCTGCTGGAGGTAGTAATTCTTCTGTCTCTGTTTCTGTTTCTGGTCTTGGATTAGATGTCAACTCTATTCCTGGTCTGGGACCAGATGATAACCCTATTCCTGGTCTGGGACCAGATGATTACTCTATTCCTGGTCTGGGACCAGATGAGATCTCTACATCTGATCTGGAATTAATTGAGAATGACTCTGCTGATAATGATAGCATCATAAATCAGCTCTCTCAGTCTGAGATAGTTAACACTGAGCAATCTGCACCAGATACCTTAGCACCTTCTAAGCGATCTAGAGGACGTCCACGTACCCGACCATTACCAGATCCAAATGCACCAAAACGCCCTCAAGGGAGGCCTAAAAAATATCAAGATGTACAGGATACTCTGGATGATGCTGGATCTGCAATGTCTAGTAGTGAGATGACTGCAGAAGAAAGTAGTGCAAATAAGCAAAAAAAATATAAACAACCTCAGCTAAGAGATCCTAATGCTCCTCGTGGGCCTGCCTTCACATCAGTCAGTGCCTGGGTTTCCAGTGCTACTAGTGCACCACAGTCACCTCCACATTTGCCACTTTCACCTGTGGCACCAGTAACAACAACAGAACCACCACCAGTCCGTGTTATTATTTCAGAGCCAGACATTACTGGAATTGATAACAATGAAGATGCTCTTGATGCAGTGCTTGGAGTGGAAGATTTTATCTTTGACAAGCCATCTGATGATATTGACAAAGATCTTGATAATGAAGATGACTTCATAGAATCTGAAGAAATTCCAAAGCCAAAGCATACTCGTGTGAAACCACCCAAATGGTTTTCAAATGTTCTAAAAGAAAAACTCCAAACTGTTGAAAAGCGTGACAAGCTTGGAAAATACTCATTCTATGATGAGCATGAAAGCTTTTGGCTTCCACAGAAATCGTCCTGGTTCAAAATGATGAAAGCTAAAATTCTGGGCCCTGAACTATTGTATGAGCAGAGATGGTTTTTCTGGGATCCAATGCAAATGACTAGAATTAAGTGTCCAAGAGAGAGATGTAACTCTTGGTTAACTAGGCATAATATTTCCAAGAGGCCTCGCAGATGTGTTGATTTAAATGATGGATTTTGGATGATTGGTGCTCGGTACAAATGCCCAACCTGCAAGAATAAATCACAGAAAAAGACTGTCACATTCATGAGTTGGGACTCAGATATAATAAAAAGTCTTCCAAAAGCATTGTCTGCAGAATTCCCAATTGTTCTGACCCACCGCAGTGGAATGACAGATGGACTTTTTTCACTGCAGTGCTCACTACTACATAAAGGCTTGGGAACACAACAGTTCAGAGATATCCTCAGAGTTCAACATTTGCGTCGATTTGATCAGTTACAAATTCAGTACCTGGAGTTGATTGATTATACAAGAGCTGCATCTCCATGGACAAATATGATTTTTGGTGCTTTTTCAAGCTTTGATGATGCAGCAGGCTTTGCTGGTTATATACCAAGTTCTCAATGGTTCAGGGACACTTTTGATAAGTTTGTGGAATCACATCGTCCTCGAATTGACCAGTATATGGCAATGCTACCTGCTAGAATTTGTGCAATTGACCATTCCCACAAAATAACAAAGCATATTATTTTAGCCAATGGAGTGTCTATCTTTGTGGGCCTTTTGACAGTTACCAATGAGCTTGGGCAAATACGAGTACTAGCTCTGGTAGCTACAAAAGCACATGCTCAATTTGAGTATGCACTCAAGCAGATGCTAGAGTCATTGAAAATGTATGGGCATGATGAACCATGGATTTTTTATACTGATAACATCAGTGATAAAGCCTTCCTAGAAAAATGCTTTCCATCCTTGAGACGAGGCATTACCCCAATTGACAAATTTTCTGAGCTTCCAGAATTTCAAATACCTACCCATGTTCAAATTTTTGAAAAATCCTCAGTTAGCCAAATTGAAATTGCTCTTGCTACAATTCAGGAGCTATTAATTGATTTACCAGAAAGTGAAAATGTTTTTATTGGATTTGATCTTGAGTGGAATGTAGATATAACTCCTGGAAAAAGCAGGCAGGGAAAAACTGCAGTTGCTACAATTGCATATGACAATACCATATATCTGCTTCAGATTGCTCGGCTTCATGGAAATAAATTTCCAAGAGCTTTGACCAATTTTCTTCTGGAACCCCGTATCATCAAAGTTGGATGTAGAATAAAAGGTGATCTACAGAGACTTCAGAAGGAGAGTGGTTCAGAAAGTGAATTTTCTGGATTTATTGAGCTAGCACATATGGCTAAAGCATGCCGAGCAAGTCAAAATGCCAGAGTTGGGTTAGCTGAATTATCTTCATTGGTACTTAAGCAGCAGTTGCCAAAAGATAAAGCTATCCGTATCAGTGATCAGTGGGATAATGAAGTGTTATCTGAGGATCAGGTTTGCTATGCTGCCAGAGATGCATATGCTTCATTACAAATATACAAGAAACTGAAAGTATTAACAGAACTTGGAAGCGTGCCAGAAAATGCACCACCTGGGTTTCTGGTTGATATCTATCAAAGTGATTGTCAAAAGCTAATCGCAACTGGAGCTTGGGTATCAGTAGTTTCTGATGCAACTTCAATGTGCATAGTTGAAGTTAAAAAAATTCATGTTCCAGCTGCAATAATCGAGCACCACCAGTGTACACTAGCAACCCTTGGCCCCCCACCTTTCAAAATTACTTGTCGACGGAAACAAATTCACCGTGCATCAATGGAAGATATACAGGTGGCAGAAATTAGTTCATCTCTTCAGGGTGAAACTGAGTCTACCACTGAAGTTTCAGATAATCCAGACTTTTCTGAAAAAGCAATAGAAAATATTTCCAATGATGAAAGTT